CAGGCCCAGGTGCTTTAGACGCGTCAAGTATACTAATAGCATCAGAGACGTCCTGCTGTGTAATAGTAATATTTTCTAGTATGATAGTAATATTGTCATGATTAACTGGAAGGGGTCGATGTAAGTCGTTAAGTTCGGTCTGTTGAATAAAGTAGTCATTAAGAATAGTGGCTTTTTCTTTATTATCAATGTACTCTTGACCATTATAAATGATCATAGGTACGTCAGTAGTTTTACATGAAAAGTTAGTTAATGAGTTCAAGACATTCCACCAATTTTTAGAAGAGTTAGGAGTGGTTTGAAGGTAAGATGATATTTTTTTGTAATAATTACTTTTCGCCTGCCGAATAGCATCAACACATGTATTTCTTACTTTTCTGAATGTTTCCCAACGAAGTGGGTTCTGTGTAGTCTTGGCTTTTGCATGAATTCTTTTTCTAGTTCTGATCAATTTACGTATATTATTGTGCATCCAAGGCGGGTCAGCTTTTCTTATTGTGATACATTTGTTTGGTATTGTCTCTGAAGCTATTTGAGTAATTGTTTTTGTAACATAATCTGCATCGAGATCTGTAGATAATGCTTCTGTATCGTTCCAGGTAATGTTATTTAATTTCTCACGATAATTGTTAAAATTGCAATCTTTGTATAACCATATACGACGTTTGGTGCATTTACAGTTCGGTGGGCGTTTGAATTTCAGATACGCATATATAGGACAGTGATACCTTATATTACTTTTCAGAAAAGGATCACCTACATGGGATTGTTCAACAATACCATCATTGCTAACGAGAAACACATCTAGTAAGGATCTTGAGGTTTCTGTGAAATGTGTTGGCTCATTTATTAACTGCTTTAAAGCGAATTGGTTCATAATATCTTTAATTACACTGTTATTCGTGGATAGAATATTGTCATTCAAATCACCAGTAATAAGAATGTTTGTAATACCTGTACTAAATGCAAGTTCTATAGAGTAATGGATTAAATTCCAAGTTTGGTCGTTGATGTTTGGGGGGCGGTAAAAAGTGCCAAGTAGCAGTTTATGAGATTTCAAATGTAATTCTAGCCATACACTTTCAACATTCCTGACCTCGAGATCTTTACGCCGTTTGACAATGATGTTTTTCCGAACATAGACCGCGACACCGCCACCAATTCGCGTTTGTCTGCTTTGACAAAAAGGTGGATAAAAATGGCCGTGAATGAGATCATCAGACGACTCGTTTGAGGGGTTTAGCCATGTTTCGGTAAACGCAAGCACGTCAAAAGTATTCAGTTCAGTAAACAATACATCGATTTTATGAAGGATACTTTGCACGTTATAGTGAACAACACTTATGTGTTCGTCCGCTGTAGTTGGACCTGGATTGCTTTCTACATCTCCACATTGAACAAGAAGATCATATAAGACTACAAGAATGTCTAATAGTAAGATGAAAGTAATTAAGACATACCAATTCTGACTTACTTTATGTGGATGTACCTTTTTAGGACCTCTAGCTATTACACCTATACCGTATAGGAAGATACAAGTGATAATGGGTAAGGCTTTCCATCCAAAGTTAAGTACCAGGTTTACTGCCAGTACAGTAATTGGATCTAAGCGTTTGTGTAAGGGTAATGTTAGGAATTTGTCATAGAAGGCGCCGGTAAGAGTTCGGTGGCTTATTACGTCACTCGGCATCAGGTAATACCAGATACGTAGGAGAGGTAAGTACTTTTAAACACAGCGCCTTCTGCGCTTGAGAGTTCAAATATAATTATCAGATGAATAATGAAAAGTTTCACAAAAATTGTATACATGATCAGTACTCGGATGTAATGCATTCCAGTAACAAAAGCAATGAAAACAACAAAGTGTATATACATATAAAGAAACATATGGAGACATTTTGCACCATGGAGTTGAGATAAGGTAAGTATTCAATATGTACATGTGCAGCAAAGTTGGCTAGCGAACGTTCAGAGTAATAAGATTGGTTTCGGTATGTAATATCAATATTTAATTATTAGTTAAAGTTAGTTATAGATATAATGGTTCCTATATCCTACGTCTGGGTATAATAAGTACAACAACGCTGCCAGTATTCAGCGTTCAGTAGAAACTAGGTTGCAACTCTCTAAAGATTTTAGACAAATATTCAGTATTTGGTAAATATAAAGATTTTAGACAAATATTCAGTATTTAGTAAATATAAAGATTTTAGACAAATATTCAGTATTTGGTAAATATAAAGATTTTAGACAAATATTCAGCATTTGGTAAATATAAGGATTTTAGATAAATATTCAGTATTTGATAAATATAAGGATTTTAGATAAATATTCAGTATTTGATAAATATAATTTAGATAAATATTCAGTATTTGATAAATATAAGGATTTTAGATAAATATTCAGTATTTTATATATATAAGGATTTTAGACAAATATTCAGTATTTGGTAAATATAAAGATTTTAGACAAATATTCAGTATTTGATAAATATAAGGATTTTAGACAAATATTCAGTATTTGGTAAATATAAGGATTTTAGACAAATATTCAGTATTTGATAAATATAAGGATTTTAGACAAATATTCAGTATTTGATAAATATAAGGTAAATATTTTAGACAAATATTCAGTATTTGATAAATATAAGGATTTTAGATAAATATTCAGTATTTGATAAATATAAGGATTTTAGACAAATATTCAGTATTTGATAAATATAAGGATTTTAGACAAATATTCAGTATTTGATAAATATAAGGATTGTAGACAAATATTCAGTATTTGGTAAATATAAGGATTGTAGACAAATATTCAGTATTTGATAAATATAAGGATTTTAGACAAATATTCAGTATTTGGTAAATATAAAGATTTTAGACAAATATTCAGTATTTGGTAAATATAAAGATTTTAGACAAATATTCAGTATTTGGTAAATATAAGGATTTTATACAAATATTCAGTATTTGGTAAATATAAGGATTTTAGACAAATATTCAGTATTTGATAAATATAAGGATTTTAGACAAATATTCAGTATTTGGTAAATATAAGGATTTGATACAAATATTCAGTATTTGGTAAATATAAGGATTTTAGACAAATATTCAGTATTTGATAAATATAAGGGTTTTAGACAAATATTCAGTATTTGATAAATATAAGGATTTTAGATAAATATTCAGTATTTGATAAATATAAGGATTTTAGACAAATATTCAGTATGTGGTAAATGTAAGGATTTTAGACAAATATTCAGTATTTGATAAATATAAGGATTTTAGACAAATATTCAGTATTTGATAAATATAAGGATTTTAGACAAATATTCAGTATTTGGTAAATATAAGGATTGTAGACAAATATTCAGTATTTGATAAATATAAGGATTTTAGACAAATATTCAGTATTTGGTAAATATAAAGATTTTAGACAAATATTCAGTATTTGGTAAATATAAGGATTTTATACAAATATTCAGTATTTGGTAAGTATAAGGATTTTAGATAAATATTCAGTATTTGATAAATATAAGGATTTGATACAAATATTCAGTATTTGGTAAATATAAGGATTTTAGACAAATATTCAGTATTTGATAAATATAAGGGTTTTAGACAAATATTCAGTATTTGATAAATATAAGGATTTTAGACAAATATTCAGTATTTGATAAATATAAGGATTTTAGACAAATATTCAGTATTTGGTAAATATAAGTATTTTAGACAAATATACAGTATTTGGTAAATATAAAGATTTTAGACAAATATTCAGTATTTTGATAAATATAAAGATTTTATACAGATATTCAGTATTTGATAAATATAAGGATTTTAGACAAATATTCAGTATTTGGTAAATATAAGTATTTTAGACAAATATACAGTATTTGGTAAATATAAAGATTTTAGACAAATATTCAGTATTTGGTAAGTATAAAGATTTTAGACAGATATTCAGTATTTGATAAATATAAGGGTTTTAGACAAATATTCAGTATTTGGTAAATATAAGTATTTTAGACAAATATACAGTATTTGGTAAATATAAAGATTTTAGACAAATATTCAGTATTTGGTAAGTATAAAGATTTTAGACAGATATTCAGTATTTGGTAAATATAAGGGTTTTAGACAAATATTCAGTATTTGTAAATATAAAGATTTTAGACAAATATTCAGTATTTGATAAATATAAGGATTTTAGACAAATATTCAGTATTTGGTAAATATAAGGGTTTTAGACAAATATTCAGTATTTAAAGAGACAAATATTCAGTAAAGATTTGATAAATAGACAAATATTCAGTATTTGATAAATATAAGGATTTTAGACAAATATTCAGTATTTGGTAAATATAAGGATTTTAGACAAATATTCAGTATTTGGTATTTTACTGAAGAGTTCTACTCAGTATTTGAAAATGGCGTGACAAGAAACAGTACTTTAACATTTAATTTGTATAGACTACTTTACTGTGGAGCAGAAAATAGTGTTAAAACCGGACCAGTATTTGCTAGATATGTATAAAGAGTGTTGTAGAACGGAAGTTGATACAGTGAAGTAGCCATCCTCGATATAACATTGTCCAACCTTTACAATTCTAGCAGATAGTTTAGTGGGACCATGTGCACGCTCGTAACAACTACATTTATTAGGTTCTATGATCATGAAACAAACCCGGACCCAAGAAAAAAATAATAAAGTTGAGCGTTAAGTTTTTATTGAAAAGATGATAGAAGGCTCATGACGCCAATGAAATTGACAGACTGGCCATATGTTGCGCTCGTTCATCGCTCGTAAGTAAACACTATGTAACTCGGTGATTCTCTCTTGTTGTGTGAGTAACATCAAATTATGTCCTCGTTCATCGCTCGTAAGTCAGCACGATGTAACTCTGTGATTCTCTCTTGTGTGAGTAATAATAAACTATGTCCTGAACATTGTACTGATGTTTACTTTACAGGTCTGGAGATTGACTCGCTAAATCAAACATGAATCCAATAGCTTACAAGAGGTGTGTGAGCCGTGTTCTTGCTAACCCCGTACTGCTGTCAGGTGTTCGCCTCGGTAAAAGAGTTAAACTCTTCCAGGCAATGCAATATCTGAAACATCCGTGTGACATTAATACCTTAGCTTCGGAATTACATCTAAAAGAACCGTAAGTAGGACAGGAATAACTGCTAAACATAAAAGTATATCTGAACGTACAAGAAATCCTTTATCTATTTCTGATAAGGTGCATGTTGAGTTCAACATCGGTAAACAGAACAGCCATTTACATATGTCTGTCTTTTCTGTTTTCTTTTTCCTTGCAGTGTGTCTGTCTTTTCTGTTTTCTTTTTCCTTGCAGTGTGTCTGGTTTTCTTTTTCCTTGCAGTGTGTCTGGTTTTCTTTTTCCTTGCAGTGTGTCTGGTTTTCTTTTTCCTTGCAGTGTGTCTGTCTTTTCTGTTTTCTTTTTCCTTGCAGTGTGTCTGTCTTTTCTGTTTTCTTTTTCCTTGCAGTGTGTCTGGTTTTTGCCTACGCATTTTACAGCTGCAGTCTTTAACACAAGCATTTCGGAAATTTTCTTTTTCCTTGTCATATGACTGTGGATGTGTCTGATGCTCTTCCGAACGCCTGTTGGTTCCGTTGTTGTTTACATTGTTCTCATTTGGTAACATGCATGGTGGGTGTTTTCGATGAAGCAAACGACACAAACCATTTCGGAACACCTCTCTCTTATTCTTTTAGTAACTTTACAATGGTCCCAGTGTAAATATTTCATTTGTTCATATTTCCCCCTCCTTTTATAGAATGTGACTTTAAATTGATATTCTGTTGACTAGTCGATATTTGCCCTGTTGGTTTAGAGCATTAATGTTTAGAAATATATTTCACCTTTTCATCAATATAAACAAAATGTGTTTTTTAAATGTCTACTTTCGGAATCAACTAACCTTGATTTTCAAAGACATATTTTCATTGTGAAATCAACTGCACTATGTTCGTTCATCACTTGTGAATAATTTGTGGATTTTTAATTTTCATTTATCAATGGGATGGCATACTTACAAAGGAAGTGATGTAAGTTTAATAATTGAAGTCATACAGATAAAGTGAGCATGGAACTGTGACGGATTGTGGGTAGTATACCCCACTACTTACGGAGTCTATATTGATCAGTGTCCATAATGCTGACACATATCTTCCCTAGCTACCTGAAGGAGTTGATACATTCCTATGTCTCGTCTGAGGTGATGACACTGACCCCGGATAAGAAGATAATAGTTCCAGACTGGACAATCTTTAAGGAGGCGTTTCTTGACCCAGAGTTAACATATCTGAGACCTTTTGAAAAAGTGGCACCGATCCTTGAGAAATGTTTTGAAGAGAATGGTCCTGCTGGTAAGTTAATTTATATCATATCAGCTGTTGCTAAGACATCGTGATTAAATAATAATGTGGAATAAGAAAGATGGAAAGGAATGAACGAGAAATACATCCATTTTGGTCATTAACAGTATGTTGAGACAGAAAGAGACAGACAAGATAAAGCAGACTGTTTTACTCGAGAGATGTACTAAGACCAGTGCACACTTATACGTTTAATATCTTTTCCATGTTTATAATACAGTCGAACCACGTTATCTCGATGTCGGCGGACAGTGTTATCCGAGTATTCGAATCAAGAAAGTTTAGTTTGAAGTTTTTCCGGAATGGATGAAATACTTTGGGTTATAAGAGTTCGAGTTAACGAGGTTTAATCTTCCATAGTGAGAGATACTTGGTTCCATGTTGCTAGGCGATCTCGTCCAATTATTTCTCTTTCCAAATATCCGGTATGACCGGAAGTACAAAGATTTTTGTTTTAGGCTACACTCATGATGAGGCGCCTTACGTTTTGGACTATGTCAGAACTCTCCGACAAAATTACAACATCCCGCTGGCTATGGAACTGTCGCAGCTCATCTCTGTTCATGCAGGTGTGTACATCAATACGTATTGTTTAATGTATCTCCTATTACATATAGCCTGTAAACTGGTACGCACGTTTCTCTAAAACAATGACACATTGTTGTATACCTCTCCTTTCGAATTATATTCAATTGTTTTACATACAAAAGTCTCAAACGTGTAACATACACAAGTCTTAAACATGTAACATACACAAGTCTTAAACATGTAACATACACAAGTCTTAAACGTGTAACATACACAAGTCTTAAACATGTAACATACACAAGTCTTAAACGTGTAACATACAAAAGTCTTAAACGTGTAACATATACAAGTCTAAAACGTGTAACTTACACAAGTCTTCAACGTGTAACATACAAAAGTCTTAAACATGTAACATACACAAGTCTTAAACATGTAACATACACAAGTCTTAAACGTGTAACATACAAAAATCTTAAACGTGTAACATACAACAATTTTAAACGTGTAACATACACAAGTCTTCAACGTGTAACATACAAAATTCTCAAGCGTGTAACATACACAAGTCTTAAACGTGAAACATACACAAGTCTTAAACGTGTAACATACAAAATTTTCAAACGTGTAACATATTACAGTCTGAAACGTGTAACACATTACAGTCTGAAACGTGTAACGTACCTCAATCTCAAATGTTCATGTTTCCTCATTGTAGATTCCTACACAGACATCCTTGATGTTGGATGTGGGACTGGAGATCTTACAATCCCGTTAGCATCAACACTCGGATCGTCCTCAGTGTACGGCTGTGATATATCAGTAAAAGCTATTACAGCCGCCAATATGGCGTCCTATAAAGTCGACAACGTCAGCTTCGGTATCGAAGATATACACAATTTACCAAAGTCTTGGGGCGGGAAATACAACGTCATTTTAATGTTTGACGTCCTTCATGATCTGCAGTATCCAGAAAAAGCTATGAAGCAGTTACTGAATGTACTAAAGAAGGATGGAATTCTCATCATTGTCGATCCGAAAGTAAGCAGCGACCCGCGCAAAAATATCGGTAACATTCAAGCTGCACAAGCACTTACACTGAGCACGTGGTGGTGTGTTCCCAGCAGCTCCTGTGATCATGGTTCGGGTAATGGCGTGGGCTGGGGTTGGGAGAACAAGGAGGTATTTCTCAGGAATATGGGTTTGAATGTCAGAAGCCGTGTCTGTCTCATCAAAAGCGACTACAACTATGCTTACGTATGTAGAAGGAAGTAGGGAGGTACGCTAACGTACGTGTTTCGACCACAGTAACATGTTATATACCACTAGTATTAACACCAGTATACCTGTGCCCAACATAACTGCCTCTCATTGAACCCTATAAGGATGCTGTATCTATATGAAAAAGCTGCTAGTTGATATTGTAATCAATATATTTTCATATTCACATGAATATGTTTAACGATCACAACCATTATAGTGATAAAACAATCGAAACATAAAAAGTAAGTGTCAGTGATTTGTGTCACATAATATCTCTATAACTCAGGGAACACACATTTAGCAGATCTCTCAACTCGTGCAAAAACTTGACATAAATTGACGTCATCAAATGAAAGCAAGATGACGTCCTATCTCTCCCACGGTACATTGCGGTACCCCAATAACACATCTGTAAACCTTCAGGCCAGCTCAGGATTCTTGAAAAACGTATTTGTGTCCAATAATAAAGTATTCAAGTATTTTATCATTTTTCTGTTGTGTTATTTGTATCACTATTTAGAAAATAGATGTTTGTGCACCTGGAAAATTATTACATTATCTGGTTATAAACGTTATGGATTATACCGCGGAGGAATAAATTTGAGTAAATAGTCACCAATCGCCATATTTACATTTTGACTTTCACTTTCCAACTACCAACATGTTTTTAAGATACATGGTGATATATGATTGTGTCATCAGTGATAACTGGTTGTAATTAGGCTACAATATTTGTGACACATAACGTTTCAGAAATCCCAAATGTTTTTACGCTGACCGATAGCATACTAAACAGTCTGCAGCTGTGTCCTGCATTAATGTTGTCAGGGATCCCTCCATAGTTTTGTACGACATCAACTATTGGTAGTCTGCGAGCTGTTTACAGAGCAGTTTGTGGCTCGTAAGGACCGACAACTCCTGCAGAGATTGGATGACGTGATGAGTGTCTACACTAGGACGTCACTACTGAGATATCCAAGTTAACCTTTCGTCTTTTTTTAATGACAAAGACTTTTATTTTAATGACAAAGACTTTTGTTTTAATGACAAAGACTTTTGTTTTCATGACAAAGACTTTTGTTTAAATGACAAAGACTTTTGTTTTAATGACAAAGACTTTTCTTTTAATGACAAAGAATTTTGTTTAAATGACAAAGACTTTTGTTTTTGTTTTAATGACAAAGACTTTTGTTTAAATGACAAAGACTTTTGTTTTTGTTTTAATGACAAAGACTTTTGTTTTAATGACAAAGACTTTTGTTTAAATGACAAAGACTTTTGTTTAAATGACAAAGACTTTTGTTTTTGTTTTAATGACAAAGACTTTTGTTTAAATGACAAAGACTTTTGTTTTAATGACAAAGAATTTTATTTTAATGACAAAGAATTTTGTTTTAATGACAAAGACTTTTGTTTTAATGACAAAGAATTTTGTTTTAATGACAAAGACTTTTATTTTAATGACAAAGACTTTTATCTTAATGACAAAGACTTTTGTTTTAATGACAAAGACTTTTATTTTAATGACAAAGACTTTTATTTTAATGACAAAGAATTTTGTTTTAATGACAAAGAATTTTGTTTTAATGGCAAGGACTGTTATTTCAATTACATAGACTTTCATTTTAATTACATAGACTTTTCATTTTCACATTGTCAGCAAACCACCCTGATCATGTTATTGTCAGAAAAGTAATATTTACTGTCAATATCGTACATAAAATTCTAAAAATGCACTTGATAACAGGTCACGTTTTATACATGTTAAGAACAAATACCAGAAACGGAAGCGGATGGTAATCATCACTACAAACGTAGAATGATGATTGGACCGGAAATGACTATACACAGTCGTTGATCAGGAAATCCGAGACATTGTAAACAAAAAACGTCGTGTTGGTATATATATATCATCGTTTTATTTATGTTTATACACTCAAGGATACTATAGAAGTTAAAGAGTGCGTCTCTGAATCTAGACTCTATGATTGGCTGATATCATGGTGTGGCCATATTAGTCAGGTAGTGATTTAGATGTCGTTTGCTGCAGGTATATGTAATGTTATCTGCAAAACACAATGAAGATAAAAACATGAGTTGGTTTTAAAAACCACAGTATTACATATATTGAGGACTGTAATTATCATTTCATATAAAATGTATTAATCAAGCCTGACTGCTTTATTCGATCAAGCCTCTTCGCAACGGGATTCTTTGAAATCTTATTAAAATGGAAAGGAATGACAAAACATAATCATATCTATTACATACACTTAGGCTATTGAACATCATTAATATGTCTAGCGGAGCTATGATTATCTGAAGACTCGAGTTATCTGTAATATGTCTAGCGGAGCTATGATTGTCTGTAGACTCGAGTTATCTGTAATATGTCTAGTTGAGCTATGATTGTCTGTAGACTTGAGTTATCTGTAATATGACTGTCGGAGCTATGGTTGTCTGTAGACTCGAGTTATCTGTAATATGTCTAGTTGAGCTATGATTGTCTGTAGACTTGAGTTATCTGTAATATGTCTAGTTGAGCTATGATTGTCTGTAGACTTGAGTTATCTGTAATATGACTGTCAGAGCTATGATTGTCTGAAGATTCGAGTTATCTGTAAAATGTCTAGTTGAGCTGTGATTGTCTGAAGACTCGAGTTATCTGTAATATGTCTAGCGGAGCTATGATTGTCTGAAGACTCGAGTTATCTGTAATATGTCTAGCGGAGCTATGATTGTCTGTAGACTCGAGTTATATGTAATATGTCTAGCGGAGCTATGATTGTCTGTAGACTCGAGTTATCTGTAATATGACTGTCGGAGCTATGATTGTCTGAAGACTCGAGTTGTCTGTAATATGTCTAGCGGAGCTATGATTGTCTGTAGACTCGAGTTATCTGTAATATGTCTAGCGGAGCTATGATTGTCTGAAGACTCGAGTTATCTGTAATATGACCGTCGGAGATATGATTGTCTGTAGACTCGAGTTATCTGTAATATGACCGTCGGAGCTATGATTGTCTGTAGACTCGAGTTATATGTAATATGTCTAGCGGAGCTATGATTGTCTGAAGACTCGAGTTATCTGTAATATAATGTTATATATTGCATCGTGACCTATACAATGAGAATATCGGCAATTAATCATTTGTGCTATACTGAAAATGCTGCCTCCGCGAATTTTTGCCAAAGTTACTTAGGTTTTAGATAAATAGAATAATGTATTCGCGATATTAGACTTAAGAAATGTATCAGATAATTGTTCATTATACCGAGCTTCTGCAATTCGTGAAAACTTCTAAATTGACCACATTCTCACGCGATATCTCTCTTTGGTGAGTCCGCCAAGTGACAAAGTACGCTGATTGCAAGGCGGTGAAGTGACAAATTGCGCTGATGACAGGGCAGTTAAGTGACAAATTGCGCTGATTACAAGACGGTTAAGTGACAAATTGCGCTGATTACAAGACGGTTAAGTGACAAATTGCGCTGATTACATGGGAATTTAGTGACAAATTGTCCACAGATAAGTATAATAATTTTGAAATAATCTTTTTTCGTATGAATTAGTTGATCATAGTCATAATTATTTACTAAATTCAAAAGGAACTCCATTGAAAATTTGAGTTGTTGAACATGTTTGGCATATATTCCGATAACACTACATAAATTTATACTCTCGTGTTACACTATACATACCTGGTGAATATCAAATTATACTCCGATTATACTCCGGCATTAGTTATCTTCTTCCGCCTGTGACGTAGGACTCTAAATATAATGAATACCACGGTACTGAGAGTCACTCCCCCAGCAACCGGCCCAGCAATGATGGCAATTGGAAGGCGTTCTAGTAGCAAGAAAAAATACACAAATTTAGGGTGATTTTTTCAATATAAATACAAGTCACTAAATTCACATCTTACACGTGATACGATTAATTGAATTCTACGGTAATTAACGTTACGCCTCCTCACGTGATACTAATCAATGGGTCAATACTACTAATACAACGAAATACAAACATGTTAATGTACACATAATTCGAAAACAAATTCAATGAAAGTAGGCCAAGATGCAAATGAAAGAAAGGTTACCCGAACACTCCTGTAAAAAAGGACAAAGAGAATAAGACCAGGGGTTCGGTAAGCGTTTTCGGCTTCATCGACGACGCCCGCCGTGTAAATCTTGGTCAATCCAAATAAAAAGAGTAACGCTCTGAAATAAGACCAAGGCAAACAATAACAGAACCACCAAACAAACAAACGAGCATTATCTTAAAATTTAAAGGTTACAATAATTTATACTTAATAGATATGCCATACCCAAAGGTCAATTCTAACATAGCAAATGTTACATAATACATGTACTGCTTGACCATGGTCAGGTGTCATTAATTACCTACATAAGTCACCATGACACCTGCACAGTCTTGTATGATGTTAATGAAAAAAGAGGGGGATATAAATACTATAGGGGGATACTTTTATGATGGCCAGATAAAGTATCCGGATACTTTTATGATGGGGGATACAAATATGATATGACACCGGGTTACTCGATTTGTTTCGTGAATTTTGATTGGTTGACTACAAGTATAAACAGTTGGCAACCAAGGAGGGCGATACACAGGTCCTACATTTAAGGCCGAACGTTCAGCATAGATTAAACACAAAGGGATTCTCGGGGTTCGACAGTCATCGACTGGTTTGTAGTCGGATTCGGGTCTTCTACCCTGGCTTGTAGCATATGGAACCATGTTAGACAGGGCATGGGGATAAACAGTTCTCAATCATTTTTATACAGAACTGTTTATTCAACATTGGGGATAGGATGAAAGAAAAAAGCAAGCAACATCAAATGTTCGCGTTGATGAAGACTACGGGGGTTTTGGTCGTCAATATAATTTCGTTTAAAAATCCATTTCCTTGTACAATATGAAGATGTGTTCAACGGTCATTAGTTTTGTCTGGTGGTTTCGTTGTGACTATCTCAATTTTCATTTTAAGAATATGACATTACTGGAATGAATTGAACAATATTTACACGGCAGGCGTCGTCGATGAAGCAGGAGACGCTTATCCTTCCGGAACAAGCGGTTATATCCTCACTGTATTTTGTTAGTGATTTCCAAGTAAATATTAACTTCTCATCATACGATACATTTGTTTTATCAGCAAAGAATTATAAATTAAAAACCTTTTGAACACTTCAATTTTAACAGTATTTGAAATTCTAGAGAATTATTGCCATCATCGTTGACTTGTTAATGAAACAATGACATATGTGTATAGATGGTAACTCACTGCTAGGAGATGAGGACGAGGTCACTGTGACCTCTAATGTGAAGTATCCTCGGTCACGTGACTTCGATGACCCAATGTTTCCGCCGTCTAATTCTATGTGAAGGTATCGTCCACCAGACGTGCAGTAACGAGAGGGTGAGATGATTGACAGGTAATTATAGCTCTGATAAAAACATGGACTGGTGAGAATAATGACTCAGAATCACTGAAACAAACATGGACTGATGAGAATAAACTGACTCAGAGTCTCTGAAACAAACATGGACTGATGAGAATGAACTGACTCAGAGTCACTGAAACAAACATGGACTGATGAGAATAAACTGACTCAGAGTCTCTGAAACAAACATGGACTGGTGAGAATAAACTGACTCAGAGTCACTGAAACAAACATGGACTGGTCAAAGTCACTGAAACAAACATGGACTGGTGAGAATAAACTGACTCAGAGTCACTGAAACAAACATGGACTGGTGAGAATAAACTGACTCAAAGTCACTGAAACAAACATGGACTGGTGAGAATAAAATGACTCAAAGTCTCTGAAACAAACATGGACTGATGAGAATAAACTGACTCAGAGTCTCTGAAACAAACATGGACTGGTGAGAATAAACTGACTCAAAGTCACTGAAATAAACATGGACTAGTGATAACATACTGACTCATAGTCTCTGAAACAAACATGGACTGGTGAGAATAATGACTCAAAGTCACTGAAACAAACATGGACTGATGATACTAAACTGACTCAGAGTCACTGAAACAAACATGGACTAGTGAGAATAAACTGACTCAAAGTCTCTGAAACAAACATGGACTGGTGAGAATAATGACTCAGAGTCACTGAAACAAACATGGACTGATGAGAATAAAATGACTCAGAGTCACTGAAACAAACATGGACTGGTGAGAATAAACTGACTCAGAGTCACTGAAACAAACATGGACTGATGAGAATAAAATGACTCAGAGTCACTGAAACAAACATGGACTGGTGAGAATAATGACTCAAAGTCACTGAAACAAACATGGACTGATGAGAATAATGACTCAGAATCACTGAAACAAACATGGACTGATGAGAATAAACTGACTCAGAGTCTCTGAAACAAACATGGACTGGTGAGAATAAAATGACTCAAAGTCTCTGAAACAAACATGGACTGGTGAGAATAATGACTCAGAATCACTGAAACAAACATGGACTGGTGATAACAAACTGACTCAGAGTCACTGAAACAATCATGGACTGATGAGAATAAAATGACTCAAAGTCTCTGAAACAAACATGGACTGGTGAGAATAATGACTCAGAATCACTGAAACAAACATGGACTGGTGAGAATAATGACTCAGAATCACTGAAACAAACATGGAAAATGAAATGACTCAAAGTCACTGAAACAAACATGGACTGGTGAGAATAAACTGACTCAGAGTCTCTGAAACAAACATGGACTGGTGAGAATAATGACTCAGAATCACTGAAACAAACATGGACTGGTGAGAATAATGACTCAGAATCACTGAAACAAACATGGACTGGTGAGAATAATGACTCAGAATCACTGAAACAAACATGGACTGGTGAGAATAATGACTCAGAATCACTGAAACAAACATGGACTGATGAGAATAAACTGACTCAGAGTCTCTGAAACAAACATGGACTGATGAGAATAAACTGACTCAAAGTCACTGAAACAAACATGGACTGATGAGAATAAACTGACTCATTTTCAAGGACTGATGAAAATAAACTGACTCAGTCTCGGAAACAAACATACATTTGTAAAAAACACTTTGTAAGACAGTATAACTAGGGAAAGTATGTCTCTATCCCTGAAACAAACATGGGCCGAATCACAATGTGGAAACTTTGTCTCAAAGTCTATCAAACAAATTTGTCACAATGACTTTAAATGGACTGTATGTGTCACAACCGATGAAAATCTCGAATTCTTAAAGTGTCGTCAGAGGATCGTTAAGATATTGGTTGTTTTCTGATATTGATGTATAAAACAGAAACTCATATACGATCTTGATTGTTCAATATTGATTTTCCAAGTTCATTAATACATTTATCTGTTACGTATATTGAAATTTTGTTTTATTAAGTCGAATTTCGAGCTATTATGTCGGAATTTCTTGTTATTAAGTCAAAACTTCGAGTTATTAACACGAAAAAACGAAATAAGTTTTTTCTCTTTGTGGTCCTAATGCTCTCTCATGTCACATGTAAAAAAATTGGATAATTTAATGCATGACGTTCTTTCTATAGATTTCTAAATAATTAAAACTAATAGTGATAAAATCCAGGATGTCATAAACATTAGAGCAAAAAATAAATACTAAAACTACAACGCTTACCTTGCTGTTTATATAACTACTACCCTGAGATAGGGTGAGTGTCGGTCCCAAACCGTTCAGTGTGAATGGAGGCTTACTGACTACACACAATGAAGACTCGTTACGCACTCCTCGGAATCCGATACTACAGTTGGAACTCGGAAGTCTGGAGCCGCTAAACCTCACCAAAGCAACATCGCTTTTACCAAGTGTATGAAGCTTGAATTTACAGTTGTTTTTAAACTGATCTGTAATAAAAACCTTAAACATAAGTCAAATGTAAATATTATAGTTCGCGTCATTAACATGTCTCGTAGATGTTTATATATTACATAGGAATTGTAGGATAATATACATGTATGCTAATATATTTCTTTTATCGAATTTTGAAATCCCTCGGTCTCTTCCTGGCCCAGACACGTTAGGATCTTATAGCATCACTAACGAGTCCTAGAGGGAAGAAAATGCTGCATTATGTAGCATTCATGGCGAGATTAAGAAGAGCGAAACAGCTGTATGAGGACGAAACAGCTGTATGATGCAATTTACTTCATTATTTTAGTGAAAAACGTTTTTTCACTTTGCGAGTCTTTTGTACAATTTTTGTATTGAAAGGTGATACGCATGTTCACTTTTGTGCCTTTTGTACAATCTTTGCCATAATTTGTTATAATTTGATATAATTGCTAATATTAACAATTTGTATAGTTTATATGAAGTCTTGTGAACTGTCTGCGGCATACGTACAGGAAGTTTTGGAGGCCGTGACAAACCCAGCAAGCAGAACGACAGATATAAGTGACCAAATGTACCCCATTGTAAAGTCTGTATCTACAATTCATAAATAAGTATAAATTATATCAAAACATAACAATATCATTTAAAGATGCATGCAGATTTTCAGTCATGACAATAATACTATACATTTATACATGGACTATTGAAGAACATTGAAACTATTGGAATTCTCTGCTACTTGTACCTTGTCAACTCAGTCTAACATCACAAATAAGAGTGACCAAACACATAGTAATTCTTCATCACAATAATCACAGCATATACCCGTGGTATATTACTATAGAGTATATCCCGTATTTACCTACTAAGTGGTTGTTACCTGTATTTACCTACTAAGTGGTTGTTACCTGTATATATTACTATAGAGTATATCCCGTATTTACCTACTAAGTGGTTGTTACCTGTATTTACCAACTAAGTGGTTGTTACCTGTATTTACCTACTAAGTGGTTGTTACCTGTATTTACCTACTAAGTGGTTGTTACCTGTATTTACCTACTAAGTGGTTGTTACCTGTATATATTACTATAGAGTATATCCCGCATTTACCTACATTTGCCCAAGCTTATGTAACGCTCAGATAATGCAACTTTGTCTTCTGTCGTCCGACTTCAGTTTGTTAGATCCATTATATTAATATATCGTATTCTCAGCATCTCATCTTCCATTAATTTGTATATCTTGTACATCAATATTAATTAACTGTATTTAAACTAAATGCGTATATGCTGTACAAGAATGTTATATATGTACTCTGTATACTTATGAGCCGTAAGGCTTAAAGTGAATAAACAATACAACACAATACCTACTAAGTGGTTGTCACCTGTATGGCCAAAGTAGTTGCGACTTGTCTTCTCTTTATCACACCAGTTTATGACAGATAAGTACACGGGTATGTCAGACAAAACTTGCTACTGTGACCGACTAAGACCATGGGTCTTTATCTGTTTTATCACAAATATAGATAATAAATAGGAATTCAGTTTAAACCTTACACCATAGTCAGATCAGAAAATAGAAATTAAATAGGTATTCAGTTGAACTTTGTCAGATAACCGAGGTCAAAATATCACAACCTCGTGTGTTGTCATTTTACTTGATATTCATGGTAGCTGTTGTTACTGATGTTGACAATTTCTGACCCACCAGATAACTGTAAATGTAAATATTTCAACAACATTTGTTTGTGATTTTTATTCACGTTTTTCTTGCTGACAAAATGGAGCTGAAAGATAATTGTACTAAATACAGTTTCTGTAGTTTATGTAGCAATAATTGTACATGCGCTAATTGAATTTTTGCGTTAAGATTATCAAAAAGGGACATTACGCTGACATTTGACATCAAACTTATAAAGTTTAAATCAATGACGCTGCTGACTTAGTAGTCATTAATCTTTACATGAAGCATGGCCTAAAGTGAAAGGGTAGCACTACAACCTGTAAGATAAACATGGTGATTTCAGTTATCATTTGGTGAATCTATTCAGTTCTCACATTTCCCTAACTTTCTTTTCATTGGAAATAAGCCTCATGTTTGTCTTTATCACTGGAGACATTTACATATCACATGTTTGGGGAAGCAGGGAATATTGTATAGAAATGGAAAGTTCACGATAGTAAGTGAAAAAGAAATCGTAACACTTATCGTACATGTAAGCGTACAAGTCGCGTAAGTGTTCACCTGGCTTCTTCCAAAATCACGATTTCCTTCGACAATAGTTTACTGATATAAAACAAAGAGTTACCTTCACAAGGGAAGCCCTTGACTCAGCATAGTCTATGACCAACTGTTAAACAAACATAGCCGGATTGACTACAGTACATTGTTTCCATCTTGTGTACTTCTGTTTACCATCTCGTCACAATTCTTTCGACCTCAGTGCATACAGGATTATAGTATAGCCTAAAAAGTTCGATTCATTACCATCTCTTACACTACTTTTGCCATTTGTCTGATGAAGGTGACAGTGTAATCATCGAAACATCACTCAAATCTTCAACTGGTTGTGTTATAAGATGAAGGTGACCCTGTAATCATCGAAACATCACTCAAATCTTCTACTGGTTGTTATAAGATGAAGGTGACCGTGTAGTCACAGAAACGTCACATTTATATCTTCTACTGGTTGTGTTATAAGATGAAGGTGACCGTGTAGTCACAGAAACGTCACATTTATATCTTCTACTGGTTGTGTTATAAGATGAAGGTGACCGTGTAGTCACAGAAACGTCACATTTATATCTTCTACTGGTTGTTATAAGATGGTGACCGTGTAGTCACAGAAACGTCACATTTATATCTTCTACTGGTTGTTATAAGATGAAGGTGACCGTGTAGTCACAGAAACGTCACATTTATATCTTCTACTGGTTGTTATAAGATGAAGGTGACCGTGTAGTCACAGAAACGTCACATTTATATCTTCTACTGGTTGTTATAAGATGAAGGTGACCGTGTAGTCACAGAAACGTCACATTTATATCTTCTACTGGTTGTTATAAGATGAAGGTGACCGTGTAGTCACAGAAACGTCACATTTATATCTTCTACTGGTTGTGTTATAAGATGAAGGTGACCGTGTAGTCAAAGAAACGTCACATTTATATCTTCTACTGGTTGTTATAAGATGAAGGTGACCGTGTAGTCACAGAAACGTCACATTTATATCTTCTACTGGTTGTTATAAGATGGTGACCGTGTAGTCACAGAAACGTCACATTTATATCTTCTACTGGTTGTTATAAGATGAAGGTGACCGTGTAGTCACAGAAACGTCACATTTATATCTTCTACTGGTTGTTATAAGATGAAGGTGACCGTGTAGTCACAGAAACGTCACATTTATATCTTCTACTGGTTGTTATAAGATGAAGGTGACCGTGTAGTCACAGAAACGTCACATTTATATCTTCTACTGGTTGTTATAAGATGAAGGTGACCGTGTAGTCACAGAAACGTCACATTTATATCTTCTACTGGTTGTTATAAGATGAAGGTGACCGTGTAGTCACAGAAACGTCACATTTATATCTTCTACTGGTTGTTATAAGATGAAGGTGACCGTGTAGTCACAGAAACGTCACATTTATATCTTCTACTGGTTGTGTTATAAGATGAAGGTGACCGTGTAGTCACAGAAACGTCACATTTATATCTTCTACTGGTTGTTATAAGATGAAGGTGACCGTGTAGTCACAGAAACGTCACATTTATATCTTCTACTGGTTGTTATAAGATGAAGGTGACCGTGTAGTCACAGAAACGTCACATTTATATCTTCTACTGGTTGTGTTATAAGATGAAGGTGACCGTGTAGTCACAGAAACGTCACATTTATATCTTCTACTGGTTGTGTTATAAGATGAAGGTGACCGTGTAGTCACAGAAACGTCACATTTATATCTTCTACTGGTTGCCATAGGAACTTTCATGCTGCTGACATTACCAACCCGAGGGAAATGTTCCGAAAGAAATAAAATACAAAATGTATGTCTCAAAGAGATCGCTATGACGACCGCAAAACTTCCCCATAATCTTTACCAACCTGTACCTTTGGAATTGTAAGTCCGCCTGTCAGCTGTCGATATCTCGATCGGAAATAGTGATATTGGGAACAGGTTTGAAATGGTTGACTGAAGTAGAAAAGTCTTTCGTGTTCTTCATTTTCAATTCTGACTGGTATGTACGATGGGCGTGGTCAGTAAATGTCTTGTTATCTAAAGACAACACGTCATCAATATATCTGACAGTGAAATTAAACGACTTTGCGATATCTTTGTGACCTGTTTTGATAAACTCTTTAATTTAATTTTTTATCTGATGATTGACCTCCTGTTACACACTTATGGTGTGTCTGGAGTGATTAATAAAACTTGAAAAAAAACTTTAATTAATTCAACCTCGTATGAAAACAAAACAAATGAACCAACAGAGGGGCGTAGTTAATTCCCATAGGTATGTCAATAGTCTGCTGGAAGTTTTTACCATCAGAGTCGACGAAGATATTGTCAACCAAAAACAAAAACAAAAAAAGATATTATCAACCAGAAACAAAAACAAAAACAAAAAAAAAGATATTATCAACCAGAAACTCAATCATCTTCATTATTTAATCCTCCGTATTTTTTTTGTTTTTTTTTTTTTTTTTTTTTTTTTTTTTTTTTATTTTTTTTTTTTTTTTTTTTTTTTTTTTTTTTTTTTTTTTTTTTATTATTTATTTGGACGTATTTTTCACTCAATAAGCTTCAGTATACATGCAGATCACAACCAGAAATGTGTATCGTCGTTTATCTTTCTTGGAAAAACGTTCTAATAATAGGCTGAATGCGCTCATTCTGTTTAAAAGGGACTATGTTGGTGTACAGAGTGGAAAAAAATAAACGACTTTTTATGGTAGAACTGTCTTTCATAAGAGGATATTAAAGATGAGTCAAAAGCTCTTTAGGGTACTTAAAATCCTTATACCATTAATCCAACATCTTGACTTGACAGTATCACAATAAGAGGTTGAACAGCCAGACCAGAACGCAATATAACCTTGTATATATGGAGTCCTTGATGTGTGGTAACGGTATGTTTTCTCTCCAATGTTGACTTTACAGACTCTAAAATATACCAATTTCATAGGTTAACATGCAGGATCGTTTCAACTTGAATATTATTAAGATGTAGACCAAAATAGCTCTGTATTTCAACTTTAACGGTTATTAATGTACTAAAACTGTATTGATAATTTAAGAAAAGCAAGTATCGATAGGCTATTTTGGTTCCGGCTAGACTGATAAGGTATTAGAAGCAAACTCGGTAACTAGATAAAAAAAACAGAACAATATGGTATCAAGGAGTTTAAAATGTTTATTGATCAAACATGCATATAAATAACGATTAAAACATGATACAATCCATAGAGGAAAAGTCCCTCCCGATACCAGCAGACAATATCGGAAACCTGTCTTAGAATGACTCCATTCAGTCCTGGAATTCTGCCACAGAACGAAGCTAGGGACTTTACTCTTACCCTAAGTTCCCAATATCCTTGATCCTAACTTTATAATTAGGCTAAGGTCACATAATCCTGGACACCAACCTCAGAACTACCCTAGAGTCACATAATCCTGGACACCAACCTTAGAACTACCCTAGAGTCACATAATTCTGGTCATCAACCTTAGAACTACCCTAGTGTCACATAATCCTGGACCTCAACCTCAGAACTACCCTAGTGTCACATAATTCTGGTCACCAACCTTAGAACTACCCTAGTGTCACATAATCCTGGACCTCAACCTCAGAACTACCCTAGAGTCACATAATCCTGGACCTCAACCTTCGAACTACCCTCGTGTCACATAATTCTGGTCACCAACCTTAGAACTACCCTAGTGTCACATAATTCTGGTCACCAACCTTAGAACTACCCTAGAGTCACATAAATCTGGATCTCAACCTTAGAACTACCCTAGAGTCACATAATCCTGGACAACAACCTTAGAATTACCCTAGAGTCACAGTTCTGGACTTCAGCCTTGGTATTAGCTAAGGTCACAAAATCCTTTACCTCAACCTCAGAATTATGCTGTTGTCATACAGCGCTGGAGCTAGAATTTTAATATGATTTGATCTACATGCATCTCTGTATGACAGTAGGATCACAGAATAAAACCATTCCAAGAGAATGCCAAATAAAACTTCACAACACATTTGAATCCCTGATGTCAAATATATGTCACTGGAACATTCAATTTACCTTTACAATTTACACTTTGTAAAATATATATCTCTGTCAAAAAATATTGTACAGCAAAAATATTCTTTAAAGCACATCAACATCAGCATAAAAAAGAATCACTTTTACCTCGTAATTATAATACCATCAGGTCTCTTCCTCATCTTAGTTACAACTTAAATATTCCAAATCAGATATTTGTATCAATTATCTGTCCCATACTATATGTGCTATCACACTTAATTGGTAAAAATCAATCTGATAGCCTATTGACATGGTGTTGACTGTCAGATATAGTGATTGACAGATATAGTGACTGACAAATATAGTTTTAACTGTAAACTTTTTTTAATCAATGTTAAAAAGCAAAATAATGCTAGCAATTTACTTGACAACGTAGTGGTACTTACAAAAATTATATATTCTTATATCTTCAATTCCAGAAATTCTAATTCCTTGAAAATTTGGTTTTTATGTTTTTAGTGAAAATCATGAATATTCAGATGTGTAAAAATACCTAGCTATACAGTAATGAATTCTTCTGTTATAAACATAACTCCTATTTACTGGGGATGCTGTAATATGGAAGTTTTCAGGTACCTATACGTCATGAGGGATTGTGTAAGGAATGTTCAACATTAAGTATCAAAAAATAAATCAGAGAATAATGATACAATGTCCACTCTCAAGACACAAGGTTGGCATATCTTCATTCCATTCACCTCTAACTGGACAAAATAACAAAATATGCATGCAATTTTTTTGTTAGAAACTGAAAAGCAAAGCAAATGAATAAGTAGCCAAAGTAAAGAGCAAACCAGACAGGGATTTGTCAGCCTAACATTCATTCATAATCATCATACAGCTACTTGGTTTTAAAAGCCAGCACCTGTCATAAAATACAAGTAATACAAAATAGTGACAATCTATACATGTACATCAGAAATAGGATCTATCATGGAATGAGTTGTGTTTTGTACATATAACAAATCATTTCAGTTTCACATTATTTTTTTAAATAAACATTGAAATTTTAATGTTTTAGTGGTATCATATTTGATTTTCTCATTATTTACAAATATGTAAAATGGTGGAGAGTATGATACAAGAGCAAAAATAGATTAAAAAAAGGGAGGAAAAAAATATAACCCAAACTAAATTATTACATTTGCAATAGTGTGAAACCTGAACAAATGAGATATTTATACACATCAGAATTACATCAATTAAATGTGTACTCAAAAGGTGAAAGCTTAATGCTTAGGACATATGGTACGACTGATCACAAGCATGTGTTATAGAGATATCTCAGAAATAGGCATCTTCCAAATAAAGCCTTCTAAGTTGTTTGAAAAGCTGACAAAATGAAGTGAGTCATTGTTTGACATAGCCCAATATGTGTACAAGTGTGATATTCAAATCACGTTAAACTAGAAATTGTTTTAGTAAAGGAAGTAAATTTAGACCACTCAATTGGAATTCAAATGATGTTACTGGGAAGTAAAACACATGACTGACCAGAAACCATGTAACATTCCCATACGCTGAGTAAATGTAACAAAACTATGGACCCAGCCCATTAGACCACACCTCTTAAATCATTTGGGTCAAACTTTGCATATCATCAAACTAATATTACATCCTTATCAAACGTGTTCAAGTGCGTATCTTTATCATCACCTTTCAATACAAATCACACTTAGTTTATCACCCTCCCCAGGGATAAAGTCAAATCTTGTGGTCACGGAATTCACAGTTTTGTTACTAGTGACTTTGCAACACGAACATGTGGGTCTTAAGTAGAAAATATTAGTTGTTTATGTATGCAAGATAAACACTGCTCAACAAAGGACAAAAGGCCAATACAAAAGGACACATGAAAGAAGCCTTCCACAAACATTTCAAGTTACGTTTGATTTACAAAAAATAATCTAATCATTGTAAAGTTCAACAGAAATGAAAAAGAAATCATCATTAGATTGTTCTAATCTTACACCTCTAATGCTTGTATATGCTAATGGGAGGGAGGAGGATGTATGAAGCTTTTTTAAATACTTACATAAAACTTATAAGTTATAGAATACAATGCTGACAAATACAAGAGGAACTAACATCACAGTTTCTCCTAACTAATGATCCAAAAATGGGGTTTTATTTATATAATAGTGTATTATTACAAACCAGTCTTGTAATGTTATCCTGATGGTAGAAATAAAGTATCTGGGGGCGGGGTCATTTATGCTAAATAAACTCCTTATCAGGGTATAACGAAACATATATCAAAATAAAACAAGATGCTTCACACATTTATACAAAGCTGTACACCAACTCACAGACACTGGTTTTCACAATCTCTGTATCACAACAGGCTCATGTTGATTAATGTCTGCATCGATTAAAACAGATTCCGAATTAACTGCGCAGAAAGTAATTTGTCATTTGCGGCAATCTATGTTTTAATTCGTACTTGAAAGAAAGTTGGTTTCAAATATGTTATGCATCAACTCATACTGGCACTTGAAAGAAAATATACAGAGTTGATATATAACATACAAAGTATCAATACAATATAGGAAGAATATCAAGGTATTGCATTATTGTTTAAAAACCACATATCAATTCATTCTAACTTGGATTGTTTCATCATCAAACAAATGTAACAGTACTCCTTTGTTAAAAACAATTCAGTCAGAATGGAGAGTTACATGTCCTATACACCTGCCAAAAATAGTTAGATCTGTCTCCATAATTCATTATTACCAATGAACTTACTACTTCCTCTCTACAAAGTTCATTCTCACAACCTCTTTATGAAAAGCAGAGTAATAGTTTCACATAAAGATCATTTCACATGTCATACAACACCCAAATTATGATCATGTGATGATTATGAAATAAAGGTCACATGACACTTGATAAAGATCACATGGAGCTTGATTAATGATAACGTGACACTAGAATGAAGATCACATGACATCAAAATAATAAAACATAGTGACATCAGTTGAACGACTAGAAATGTTTTAATACTTACCCCCCCCCCCCCCCCCCCCCCCCCCCCCCCCCCGGTACATGAAAAAATCAGGAATAACATGACAACCATGTATTTAGTCTCACGATGAAAACGATAAAAATCTGTCAAAATATTATCCGGTTCAAAAGCCTTATGAAAATATATTACAAGCATAAAAATGAATCCTTGTAATAGCTGTACCACACACAATGTGTTGGTATCATACCCTGGAAAAACACAACCAGTTTAGTATTATATATAACATTATGTAATAATGAAGTAATACATATATTACACTCAGCAGCTATCTCAAGCTTTCTCCCCATCTATTCCAAACTTTAAGTGGTCGTAACATATTCACCTACCAATTCAAACAGACAAGGGTGAAAACCTGAATAACTTCACATCTACCAACAAGCTGATTGTTCACAGTGGATTGTTCTTAAAAATATCCAATATTCCAAACTATTATGAAGAAATCTATTAAGATGGAGAGACATACACTTATTGTGTTTGACACAGATTACAATTTTTATGTCACTGCGACAAAACACTTTACATATATCATTAGTTTTGAGTTTGAGAAAATGTAACACCAATAACATTCAAAGTCAAAAAAGAAATTTCATTAAACTTTCCTCATTATACTCTGTTCCTGATTGCTATTTTATGTTCCTGTCAAGGTCATCTGAGCTATATATACCAGTGGAGAAAGTTGAAAACAATATGATTAGCTTACAACGAGGCAGATCACTTTTGTCGACCAATGAAATGTCATGTAACATCAGGAAGAAGTAAATTCTCACCGTCCTTTATAAAGCTGTCATTAAGGCTTATTCTATAATGTATCTTATACTAGAGATAAGGAATGTTAGAATTCATCAAACAGCTACCTTAGATTGTGTAATGTTACTCTTTCATACTAATGCGTCACATTTGTTTTCATGTAATCTAATGCTTATTCAGTCATTGGTCTGATATCAGCTCAGAACTCTATATAATACAGTGCGTATCCAGTCACTGGTCTGATATCAGCTCAGAACTCTATATAATACAGTGCGTATCCAGTCACTGGTCTGATATCAGCTCAGAACTCTATATAATACAGTGCGTATCCAGTCACTGGTCTGATATCAGCTCAGAACTCTATATAATACAGTGCTTATTCAGTCATTGGTCTGATATCAGCTCAGAACTCTATATAATACAGTGCTTATTCAGTCACTGGTCTGATATCAGCTCAGAACTCTATATAATACAGTGCGTATCCAGTCACTGGTCTGATATCAGCTCAGAACTCTATATAATACAGTGCTTATTCAGTCACTGGTCTGATATCAGCTCAGAACTCTATATAATACAGTGCTTATTCAGTCACTGGTCTGATATCAGCTCAGAACTCTATATAATACAGTGCTTATTCAGTCACTGGTCTGATATCAGCTCAGAACTCTATATAATACAGTGCGTATCCAGTCATTGGTCTGATATCAGCTCAGAACTCTATATAATACAGTGCGTATTCAGTCACTGGTCTGATATCAGCTCAGAACTCTATATAATATATAATGATATCATATGTATCACCAATCTAGTATTTAATGCCATGGTGATGTAACAATATAGTGATGTGTTACCATGGTGATGTGGTACTATGGTGATGTGGTACTATGGTGATGTGGTACCAAGGTGATGTGGTACCATGGTGATGTGGTACCATGGTGATGTGTTACCATGGTGATGTGGTACCATGGTGATGATAGGATTCAAATGTAACATGTTTTCATGGCAATTATATACCTTAGTTGTGAAAATGGTGGTGAACAGATGAAAAATGATCCAACTCCATGATGATGTGCTGATGTTTTGCTGTTGAATATGAGCTGTCTATTTCTTGGGTGATGATTCTACACTGTTTGTCTTGCTGCTTCTGTCTCCAAGGCCATGACTTCATCATAAGATGGAGGAGGAAGATCAGCTGGATCTGTTTACAAACAAGTTTTATATATCTAACAAACATCACTTGTTCATTGTTATGATTGATCTCCTGACCACAATCATGTAGCTACATAACATCCTAAAATCACAAACGTCTTAATCAACATCCTAAAATCACAAACCTCTTAATCAACATCCTAAAATCGCCAAACCTCTTAATCAACATCCTAAAATCACAAACCTCTTAATCAACATCCTAAAATCACAAACCTCTTAATCAACATCCTAAAATCACAAACCTCTTAATCAACATCCTAAAATCACAAACCTCTTAATCAACATCCTAAAATCACAAACCTCTTAATCAACATCCTCTTAATCAACATCCTAAAATCACAAACCTCTTAATCAACATCCTAAAATCACAAACCTCTTAATCAACATCCTAAAATCACAAACCTCTTAATCAACATCCTAAAATCACAAACCTCTTAATCAACATCCTAAAATCGCAAACCTCTTAATCAACATCCTAAAATCGCAAACCTCTTAATCAACATCCTAAAATCGCAAACCTCTTAATCAACATCCTAAAATCGCAAACCTCTTAATCAACATCCTAAAATCGCAAACCTCTTAATCAACATCCTAAAATCGCAAACCTCTTAATCAACATCCTAAAATCGCAAACCTCTTAATCAACATCCTAAAATCGCAAACCTCTTAATCAACATCCTAAAATCGCAAACCTCTTAATCAACATCCTAAAATCACAAACCTCTTAATCAACATCCTAAAATCGCAAACCTCTTAATCAACATCCTAAAATCGCAAACCTCTTAATCAACATCCTAAAATCACAAACCTCTTAATCAACATCCTAAAATCGCAAACCTCTTAATCAACATCCTAAAATCGCAAACCTCTTAATCAACATCCTAAAATCGCAAACCTCTTAATCAACATCCTAAAATCACAAACCTCTTAATCAACATCCTAAAATCGCAAACCCCTTAATCAACATCCTAAAATCGCAAACCTCTTAATCAACATCCTAAAATCACAAACCTCTTAATCAACATCCTAAAATCACAAACCTCTTAATCAACATCCTAAAATCACAAACCTCTTAATCAACATCCTAAAATCACAAACCTCTTAATCAACATCCTAAAATCACAAACCTCTTAATCAACATCCTAAAATCACAAACCTCTTAATCAACATCCTAAAATCACAAACCTCTTAATCAACATCCTAAAATCACAAACCTCTTAATCAACATCCTAAAATCGCAAACCTCTTAATCAACATCCTAAAATCGCAAACCTCTTAATCAACATCCTAAAATCGCAAACCTCTTAATCAACATCCTAAAATCGCAAACCTCTTAATCAACATCCTAAAATCGCAAACCTCTTAATCAACATCCTAAAATCGCAAACCTCTTAATCAACATCCTAAAATCACAAACCTCTTAATCAACATCCTAAAATCGCAAACCTCTTAATCAACATCCTAAAATCGCAAACCTCTTAATCAACATCCTAAAATCACAAACCTCTTAATCAACATCCTAAAATCGCAAACCTCTTAATCAACATCCTAAAATCGCAAACCTCTTAATCAACATCCTAAAATCGCAAACCTCTTAATCAACATCCTAAAATCACAAACCTCTTAATCAACATCCTAAAATCACAAACCTCTTAATCAACATCCTAAAATCACAAACCTCTTAATCAACATCCTAAAATCACAAACCTCTTAATCAACATCCTAAAATCACAAACCTCTTAATCAACATCCTAAAATCACAAACCTCTTAATCAACATCCTAAAATCACAAACCTCTTAATCAACATCCTAAAATCACAAACCTCTTAATCAACATCCTAAAATCACAAACCTCTTAATCAACATCCTAAAATCACAAACCTCTATCAATATCACATTATATTATTTCTTACAATCCTCCATCACAGTTAACCTACATATTACAATCCTCCATCACAGTTAACCTACATATTACAATCCTCCATCACAGTTAACCTACATATTACAATCCTCCATCACAGTTAACCTACATATTACAATCCTCCATCACAGTTAACCTACATATTACAATCCTCCATCACAGTTAACCTACATATTACAATCCTCCATCACAGTTAACCTACATATTACAATCCTCCATCACAGTTAACCTACATATTACAATCCTCCATCACAGTTAACCTACATATTACAATCCTCCATCACAGTTAACCTACATATTACAATCCTCCATCACAGTTAACCTACATATTACAATCCTCCATCACAGTTAACCTACATATCACAATCCTCCATCACAGTTAACCTACATATTACAATCCTCCATCACAGTTAACCTACATATTTCAATCCTCCATCACAGTTAACCTACATATTACAATCCTCCATCACAATTAACCTACATATTACAATCCTCCATCACAATTAACCTACATATTACAATCCTCCATCACAGTTAACCTACATATTACAATCCTCCATCACAGTTAACCTACATATTACAATCCTCCATCACAGTTAACATACATATTACAATCCTCCATCACAGTTAACCTACATATTACAATCCTCCATCACAGTTAACCTACATATTACAATCCTCCATCACAGTTAACCTACATATTACAATCCTCCATCACAGTTAACCTACATATTACAATCCTCCATCACAGTTAAACTACATATTACAATCCTCCATCACAGTTAACCTTCATATTACAATCCTCCATCACAGTTACCCTACATATTACAATCCTATATCACATTTAACCTACATATTACAATCCTCCATCACAGTTAACCTACATATTACAATCCTCCATCACAGTTAACCTACATATTACAATCCTCCATCACAGTTAAACTACATATTACAATCCTCCATCACAGTTAACCTTCATATTACAATCCTCCATCACAGTTACCCTACATATTACAATCCTCCATCACAATTAACCTACATATTACAATCCTCCATTACAGTTACCCTACATATTACAATCCTCCATCACAGTTACCCTACATATTACAATCCTCCATCACAGATACCTTATATATTAACCTACATATTACAATCCTCCATTACAGTTACCCTACATATTACAATCCTATATCACATTTAACCTACATATTACAATCCTCCATCACAGTTAACCTACATATTACAATCCTCCATCACAGTTAACCTACATATTACAATCCTCCATTACAGTTACCCTACATATTACAATCCTCCATTACAGTTACCTTATATATTACAATCCTCCATCACAGTTACCTTATATATTACAATCCTCCATCACAGTTAACCTACATATTACAATCCTCCATTACAGTTACCCTACATATTACAATCCTCCATCACAGTTAACCTACATATTACAATCCTCCATTACAGTTACCCTACATATTACAATCCTCCATTACAGTTAACCTACATATTACAATCCTCCATTACAGTTAACCTACATATTACAATCCTCCATCACAGTTACCCTACATATTACAATCCTCCATCACAGTTAACCTACATATTACAATCCTCCATCACAGTTAACCTACATATTACAATCCTCCATCACAGTTAACCTACATATTACAATCCTCCATTACAGTTACCCTACATATTACAATCCTCCATTACAGTTACCCTACATATTACAATCCTCCATCACAGTTACCCTACATATTACAATCCTCCATTACAGTTAACCTACATATTACAATCCTCCATTACAGTTACCCTACATATTACAATCCTCCATTACAGTTACCCTACATATTACAATCCTCCATCACAGTTACCCTACATATTACAATCCTCCATTACAGTTACCCTACATATTACAATCCTCCATTACAGTTACCCTACATATTACAATCCTCCATCACAGTTAACCTACATATTACAATCCTCCATTACAGTTACCCTACATATTACAATCCTCCATTACAGTTACCCTACATATTACAATCCTCCATCACAGTTACCCTACATATTACAATCCTCCATCACAGTTACCCTACATATTACAATCCTCCATTACAGTTACCCTACATATTACAATCCTCCATCACAGTTACCTTATATAATACAATCCTCCATCACAGTTACCCTACATATTACAATCCTCCATTACAGTTACCTTATATATTACAATCCTCCATCACAGTTACCCTACATATTACAATTCTCCATTACAGTTACCCTACATATTACAATCCTCCATTACAGTTACCCTACATATTACAATCCTCCATTACAGTTACCTTATATATTACAATCCTCCATCACAGTTACCCTACATATTACAATCCTCCATTACAGTTACCTTATATATTACAATCCTCCATCACAGTTACCCTACATATTACAATCCTCCATTACAGTTACCCTACATATTACAATCCTCCATTACAGTTACCCTACATATTACAATCCTCCATCACAGTTAACCTACATATTACAATCCGCCATCACAGTTACCTTATATATTACAATCCTCCATCACAGTTACCCTACATATTACAATCCTCCATCACAGTTACCCTACATATTACAATCCTCCATCACAGTTACCTTACATATTACAATCCTCCATTACAGTTACCCTACATATTACAATCCTCCATTACAGTTACCCTACATATTACAATCCTCCATCACAGTTACCCTACATATTACAATCCTCCATCACAGTTACCTTATATATTACAATCCTCCATCACAGTTACCTTATATATTACAATCCTCCATCACAGTTAACCTACATATTACAATCCTCCATCACAGTTAACCTACATATTACAATCCTCCATTACAGTTACCCTACATATTACAATCCTCCATCACAGTTAACCTACATATTACAATCCTCCATCACAGTTACCTTATATATTACAATCCTCCATCACAGTTACCTTATATATTACAATCCTCCATCACAGTTACCTTATATATTACAATCCTCCATCACAGTTACCTTATATATTACAATCCTCCATCACAGTTACCTTATATATTACAATCCTCCATCACAGTTACCCTACATATTACAATCCTCCATCACAGTTACCCTATATATTACAATCCTCCATCACAGTTAACCTATATATTACAATCCTCCATCACAGTTACCCTACATATTACAATCCTCCATCACAGTTACCTTATATATTACAATCCTCCATCACAGTTACCCTACATATTACAATCCTCCATCACAGTTACCTTATATATTACAATCCTCCATCACAGTTACCTTATATATTACAATCCTCCATCACAGTTACCTTATATATTACAATCCTCCATCACAGTTACCTTATATATTACAATCCTCCATCACAGTTACCTTATATATTACAATCCTCCATCACAGTTACCCTACATATTACAATCCTCCATCACAGTTAACCTACATATTACAATCCTCCATCACAGTTACCTTATATATTACAATCCTCCATCACAGTTACCTTATATATTACAATCCTCCATCACAGTTACCTTATATATTACAATCCTCCATCACAGTTACCTTATATATTACAATCCTCCATCACAGTTACCTTATATATTACAATCCTCCATCACAGTTACCTTATATATTACAATCCTCCATCACAGTTACCTTATATATTACAATCCTCCATCACAGTTACCTTATATATTACAATCCTCCATCACAGTTACCTTATATATTACAATCCTCCATCACAGTTACCTTATATATTACAATCCTCCATCACAGTTACCTTATATATTACAATCCTCCATCACAGTTACCTTATATATTACAATCCTCCATCACAGTTACCTTATATATTACAATCCTCCATCACAGTTACCTTATATATTACAATCCTCCATCACAGTTACCTTATATATTACAATCCTCCATCACAGTTACCTTATATATTACAATCCTCCATCACAGTTACCTTATATATTACAATCCTCCATCACAGTTACCTTATATATTACAATCCTCCATCACAGTTAACCTACATATTACAATCCTCCATCACAGTTACCTTATATATTACAATCCTCCATCACAGTTAACCTACATATTACAATCCTCCATCACAGTTACCTTATATATTACAATTCCCATGAATCTAAAGCTTTAATTTATTGCTTTAAGGTGCTATTCACTTGTCTTTGTATTATTTATACATTTTACATACAGTCACACTGTAAACCATGTTATATTACTGACACTAAATGTCACTATTTTTTAATATTCTTCTCTGATACACTACTTCACAAGATTTCAAGAAATAAGTGTCAATAAACTGTCTTCCATGATGTAAACAACTGTTTAATAGTGTTATAACCACCGGGCTGATAGTGTCACACTTACCTGGCTAACAGTGTCACACTCACCTGACTAATAGTGTCACACTCACCTGACTAATAGTGTCACACTTACCTGACTAATAGTGTCACACTCACCTGACTAATAGTGTCACACTTACCTGACTAATAGTGTCACACTCACCTGACTAATAGTGTCACACTTACCTGACTAATAGTGTCACACTTACCTGGCTAACAGTGTCACACTCACCTGACTAATAGTGTCATGCTTACCTTGCTTATAGTGTTACACTTACCTGGCTAACAGTGTCACACTTACCTGACTAATAGTGTCACACTCACCTGGCTAATAGTGTCACACTCACCTGACTAATAGTGTCACACTCACCTGACTAATAGTGTCACACTTACCTGGCTAACAGTGTCACACTCACCTGACTAATAGTGTCACACTTACCTGGCTAATAGTGTCACACTCACCTGGCTAATAGTGTCACACACACCTGACTAATAGTGTCACACTCACCTGGCTAATAGTGTCACACTCACCTGACTAATAGTGTCACACTCACCTGGCTAATAGTGTCACACTCACCTGGCTAATAGTGTCACACTTACCTAGCTAATAGTGTCACACTCACCTAGCTAATAGTGTCACACTCACCTTGCTTATAGTGTCACACTTACCTGGCTAATAGTGTCACACTCACCTGGCTAATAGTGTTTACCTTTAAACAGCTACAAGCGGTAAATGGCCAATACAAATTACCAAATCCTTCATGAATATACTTAATGTAGCTACTTACCAAGCTTGTATTCATCCTCATCTATATTTACATCAACTGAGTTCCTCACCGAGGACGGGGAGATCAGATTATCATTTGCTCTTGATAAGTGTGCTCTCTGTGACATCGGCAAATCTTGACCTCGACGTCTATTGTTAGTGTCTTCTCGTTGTTTTCGTTTACTTCTCATGTGCTGGATGATGCACACCATGAATATAACAATTATCACTATTCCAATTAACCCACCTCCTGCTGCTCCTATGATCATACCCAGCCTAGCATAAGCTGTAAAATACAGTCCACCAACGCCACTTCAATAATTCAGCAATAGTTATTCCATCAGTTATTAGGAAAAATTTTCAAACATTAATCAAACAAAACTGGATTCTGTATCATTTCACAGCTGTAGGTTTGTTGAGAAAAGAGAGATTGAGTATTTTGTCTTTAATTTTCTTGTTTGTTCAGTGGCAGCAATTTCTCACCTACCACTGGATAACTCTTTATTTACTTTTGAGCAAATGAAGCCTGATGTTCTAAACGGCCAAGGGTCATGAAAGTTGAATTTTTTTTCTAAAAATTATAATTTTGATACAAAGAATGTCAATATCTCATATATATTAAACTGGGTCAGCAAATATTTACCATTTTCAATTCAAACAACTTATAGATCTATCTATCAACCAAAAGCTAACAATATATCATAACGATAGAAGTACGTACTGCCAACAGTATACACTTCCTCAGTGTATACTTCCAGTGTCAGGGACGCTGTTGTCGATGGTTTTATTAGGTCTGGGATGATCCTATCTATTAAGCTGGATGATTTCTTGACTCGGATAATAAGGTTAGACCCTGCATCTGTACACCATGTAGAGGGAGTGCTGTAACAGGTATAGGCCTGGAACAAACCAGATGATATGGTCACACAAAGAGTCAATTTATCAGATGCCTTATTTAATTATTTTTTATACAAACCTTTTTTTACCAGATGATCAAGGACCTTAACTGTTGCATTAATTCTTCAGAGAAGTGTTGAACAAATTTGACCCCTTTTCCTTTCAATACATTTAAAAGTTTATTCACAAACTACCAAATACCATGCCTGGAAGACATTTTTGAAATGGTCACACATATACTACATTGAGTATTGATCTACTCAGACTCCTAGATATTTATTTTACAATGATACAAGGCATTTAAGCATAAAGGGACACTAATATTCATGATACTGACTCAATGATTTGGTTGAAAAAAAACAATTATAATAATAATGATAGCAAACTCAAAAAATATGAAGCAATACATATCTCCCCATTGCTCATTTGCTCAGAGTACATTGAAAAAAAAAGAGATCCCAGAGGGATCTTGGCGCCCACCATTGTTTGATCTTTATATACTCTTTGAAAGTTGGATCTTTTCCCTTAGTTTTTTCTCTCTTCTCTGATTTTGCTCTTAATGATAAGACATTTGAATATTCCTTTGCAAAAATAGCAATAATAATCTTTACTTGCTAATCCAAAATGGCTGTCTGGAAGCCATTTTGTTTCTTCTGATCAGTCCCAAAATCAAACAAACACAAGGAGAGGCCAATGGGAACATACTTATGAAATTTGAGAGACATCCATTCAGTACTTCTTAAGAAATAGTGATAACAATCTTTACTAGGCAAAATATAAGATGACTGCCTGTTGGCCAATTTGCTTTTCCCACCAGTCCCAAACTCAAACAGGCACAACTACGGACCTAAAGGAACCTATACATGAAATTTGAGAAAGATCTAGAGAGTAGTTCTAAAGAAATAGCAATTACAAACTTTCAAAGTCAAAATCCAAGATAGCCACTTCTCGGCCGTTTTGTTTTTTCTGATCCTCCCCAAAAAAAAACGAATGGGCACAACAATGGACCAAGGGGAAATTACATATGAAGTTAAAGGAAGATCCATCAAGTACTTCTCAAGAAATAGCGATAACAAACTTTCAAATTCCAAATCTAAGATGGCCACCTTTAGGCCATTCCATTTTTCTGATAAATCCCAAAATTACATGGGCATGACTAGAGACCAAAGAGACCAAAGTGAAGCTACAGATGAAATTTGAGAGAGAGCCATCTCTTACTTAAAAAAGCGATAACAAACTCCATTAAAAAATCCATGATGGGTGTCATGTTGGCCATTTTGTTTTTCTTATCAGTCACAAAATCAAGCAGGCACAACTAGGGACCAAGGGGAACTTACATATGACATTTGAGAAAGATCCATCCAGTACTTCTCAAGAAATAGTGATAAAAAAATTGCTCACTGACAGATGGACCAAAGACTTCGGATGCCGGGTGATTTAATGACCCAACATCTCATGATGTTGGATTAAAAATCTACTATCAAAAGAGGAGCACATACCATTGTGATGCTGGTTCTCTGAGAGAACAGGAACACACATCATTGTGATGCTGACTCCCTGAGAGAACAGGAACACACATCATTGTGATGCTGACTCCCTGAGAGAACAGGAACACACACCATTGTGATGCTGACTCCCTGAGTGAACAGGAACACACACCATTGTGATGCTGACTCCCTGAGTGAACAGGAACACACATCATTGTGATGCTGACTCCCTGAGAGAACAGGAACACACATCATTGTGATGCTGACTCCCTGAGAGAACAGGAACACACACCATTGTGATGCTGGTTCTCTGAGAGAACAGGAACACACACACATGAGAGAACAGGAACACACCTTTGTGATGCTGACTCCCTGAGAGAACAGGAACACACACCATTGTGACACTCTCTGAGAGAACAGGAACACACACCATTGTGATGCTGACTCCCTGAGAGAACAGGAACACACACCATTGTGATGCTGAATCCCTGAGAGAACAGGAACACACACCATTGTGATGCTGACTCTCTGAGAGAACAGGAACACACACCATTGTGATGCTGACTCCCTGAGAGAACAGGAACACACATCATTGTGATGCTGACTCCCTGAGAGAACAGGAACACACACCATTGTGATGCTGACTCCCTGAGAGAACAGGAACACACACCATTGTGATGCTGACTCCCTGAGAGAACAGGAACACACACCATTGTGATGCTGACTCCCTGAGAGAACAGGAACACATACCTTTGCAATGCTGCTTCCTTGTGAGTATGTCAATTCAACATCGCAGTCCTTGACTCGATAAGAAAGAGTTCTCACACACAACTTGTACAGGTCTTGGCTGTCCTCCCCTACACTCTACAACCCACAAAATACAATAACAGTCAATATTAATAGAGTTGATAATGTCTGAGGTAGAGTAGCCTTCAGTTAATGAGATTACCTATCACTGCATGTAAACATAAGCCAACCATGTCATGGTAATTACATAAAGACAGAAACATTATGATAATGATAAAATAAGAGGCCTAAAAGACATGTATCTCTCACCTATATTAATTGATTCCTCATCACTAAAGATTACTTCAGACAAAACTTAGTCAAATTCCAATCATTCCTACAGGAGGAATGGGATTTTGAGGGGTTTGCTCTATTTCAAAAGTGATCCATTGTCTCCTCTGACTTTTTAACCTTGAATGTTGACCTTCAAAAATTAATTTTGTCCAAAGCAAATACTTGATGGTGTGATTCTACTGCATGAATAGGAACTGAATCTGATGAGGGGTTCATAAAACAACTTGCAATCAATCTAAGTGCTACTGAAGCAGGTGCAAACATTAAAAATTTAAAATTTAATAAAATCAACATTTAGAAAAAAAGAAGACATAGAAATAACTTGATATATACCCCATCCTTTATCTAGAGACATAATCAAATCACAAAGAAAAAACAAATTGGTCAAAAAAGGACATTTGTCAACATAGTTAAGAAAGCCAAACGGATGGACATGTAAGTTAATAGATAAACAAACATATTAATCACATTTCTTTGACCTAACAGGCTGGTTACTTTAAAATCATTAATATTTGTTGGTGTTTTAATTTCATTATTTGATTTCTAGGTATACTCAATCCTCCAATTCATATCTACAAAAATAGTTAAAATTTGTGTAAATAAATCCATAGAGCTATATTTTTCCATAAAATCAAGTGTTCATGAAATAACAATTTGAAAAATATTGAGCCCCACAAAAACATACAATTTTACTATTAATGCTGAACAAGAAGAGATCTTCGTCATTACAAATTCATGATTTCAGTGCATACTAGATAAAGATGTTAAAAAAAGAATATTTTCACAGCAATAACTCTTTCAAAAATCATCAAATCACAATACTATTCCAGAACATGCATGTTAACATATCTAATGAAGTTCAGAAAATAAGAGTTGAGATCTCTGGACAATGTTATAAAACATTAAATCAAAATTTTCAAATTTCAGAAATAATTGAACAATGTCTCTAGTACACAAGTTTATCATTTCTTACTTTGAAATATGCTCCACATGTTTCAATTGAAGGAGAGTTCCATGTAAGTGTTACAGTATCATCAGGGTTGAGCTTCTCTGGGTAACTGGACTTGGACTTTGCGCAATAACTTCCATCAAGTTTAACTGAAAACCAAAACAATTATAACAGATTTAATACAGCTTTCTTTAGGGCTATTTTGGGCTAATAACAGGCCACTTTCCCAAATGAAATATTTCATATTTTTGCCATATTCCCAAAAATTTGCAATTTACTTTTGAAAATTTCCTTCCCATTTCATCAATTCTTTCCCAAAATGAGAAAAATGCCAAATTGCTAACCAGTGATACTAACCAGTGAAAGAAAAGACTATTACTGTGAACAATATTCTACAGTTTGTGATATACAATATCCTATTCCATATATTATAAAGGTATAATACCTTTTATATTGTTGTCCTGGTAAAGAAATTTCTTTCATTTTTATGGTTTTTTGTTGGAAGATTAATGATGGTCAGATGTTGTTTTCTTGTGGTTACCTGAAGTTGTTCATTTTTGTAGTAGTCAGATGTTGTTTTCTTGTGGTTACCTGAAGTTGCTCATTTTTGTAGTAGTCAGATGTTGTTTTCTTGTGGTTACCTGAAGTTGCTCATTTTTGTAGTAGTCAGAAGTTTTTTTTGTAGTTGTCAGTTGTTTTTCGTGTTGTAACAAGTTTTCTTGTGATCACTAGTCATTGTGTTGGTTACTAAGTGTTGTTTGTATACAATTATTGTGTATTGTTTGTATGGTTAAAAGACAATATTTGTATATTGTTAACATGTGTTGTTTGCATGTGTTTACCATCCAATTTATACATTTTATACAATTAGTATGTTGTGATAATTGTCTTGGTTTATGTACCTGCTGATGTTTGTCTATGGTTTATGTACATGGTGTTGTTTGTCTATGGTTTATGTACCTGGTGTTGTTTGTCTATGGGTACCTGGTGTTGTTTGTATATGGGTACCTGGTGTTGTTTGTCTATGGTTTATGTACCTGGTGTTGTTTGTATATTGGTACCTGGTGTTGTTTGTATATTGGTACCTGGTGTTGTTTGTCTATGGGTACCTGGTGTTGTTTGTCTATGGTCTATGTACCTGGTGTTGTTTGTATATGGGTACCTGGTGTTGTTTGTATATGGGTACCTGGTGTTGTTTGTCTATGGTCTATGTACCTGGTGTTGTTTGTATATGGGTACCTGGTGTTGTTTGTATATGGGTACCTGGTGTTGTTTGTCTATGGTCTATGTACCTGGTGTTGTTTGTATATGGGTACCTGGTGTTGTTTGTATATGGGTACCTGGTGTTGTTTGTATATGGGTACCTGGTGTTGTTTGTCTATGGTCTATGTACCTGGTGTTGTTTGTATATGGGTACCTGGTGTTGTTTGTATATTGGTACCTGGTGTTGTCTATGGGTACCTGGTGTTGTTTGTCTATGGTCTATGTACCTGGTGTTGTTTGTATATGGGTACCTGGTGTTGTTTGTATATGGGTACCTGGTGTTGTTTGTATATTATTGTAAGTTGTTGTTTTTCTATGGTTGCCATATAATATATACATATGCCTTGTTGCCAGGCTCTGTATTTTGTTGCTGTATTCTTTGTGTGAATGGCTGCAATACATTTCTATGTTGAAGGTGTAGTAGCCAGGTAAAGTTTATGTACAGCTGTACTTTTAACACTTCCAGATGTAGTGTCTATAATGTTAAGTGGTTGTCAAAAGTTCAAGTGAAGACTGACTCAATAAAATGTCAATAAAAACAGCAAGTAACTTTATGTAAACCAGGATAACTCCTACTGCAGCGAATGTTTACACTACACTGGTGACATTTTCCATTTTCATCATATAAGAATTTAAAATTCCAGATCAAATAGCAGATTATGATCATACTGGTTTTTGTGTCAGCTGTGTTTTGTGGTAAAAACGTGATGACAAGGACTAGAACGGGAACCACAACAGGCTTCATGTCATCTTTGCCCTGAAATTGAAAACATCACTCTCAGTAATATGCATCTATATTTCATTTCAGAAAAAACATGTACCAAATGGAGGGTGCAAATATCTGGTTTTAAAACTTATAACCAAATGATTGCTTGATTGGCCTAACCATATTGTAGCCTCGCCATATGGGAATTTCCCTATATTCAAGAGGTAGGGTGCACGGTTAGCGACTGCATGGTAGCTATATGTAGTTCAAACCCCAGCTGGGCAGGTGTTTTTCATTATTTCCTATTACAAATTTGGTACAGTTGACCACTCCTAGGGTAGAAGCTATACTGTAGTAGATTGAGATGCTTCATTTAACATATCAAAACTGGGTTGTTTTTGTCTTCAGGGTCAAAGACATTGTGAAGGATTGAGTAATATAGAAGAACAGAGCAGATATTCCTTATGCCTAGGCTAGCTGGAATTCTTACCTTTTAATCAACTGATAGAGTATCTGGCTAGAGCACAAAGGGTCACTAATTCAAACTTTGGTGGAGACAAGCTGTTTCTAATTACTTCTATTACAATAATTAAAGAGACATTATGTCATATATATAGTCATCAAAACCCATTTCACATTTATCTATACATTTCTATGCTTTCTATTACATATAAATGTGATGAACATTGAATTTACAAGCAGACAAGACCAGTGGAATTGTCTCTTAAGTTTCCATCCGACACAAGTTCCTTTAAACTTCATTTGATGTAAGGCTATATTCCAAGTTTCTGCAAGATTCCATTTATGTGTGTAATTTGTAACACATTTGACAAACATTTACCTAAATATTCTAGCAAAATGTCCCAAGATCAACTCTACATGTACGTATATATCCTGGTCACAATCGACTGTCGCCCAAAGGTGAATCACTCTCCAACTGAGTCATGTTTCTGTCGCGTTGCCATGAACATGATTTTATTAAAGACAAATAAGTAAAGAATCGGATTTATACCAATAATCTGGCATACAAACCTCGTGATGAGGGAAAACAGTGGATCACAACAGCAATAAACAGCGTTTACAACGAGTGTCAAGTGGTCACGAATTGTTTTTACAATGGAGAATCTGGGTCACAAAACAGCTTTAAAGGGAAAGATAAAGAACGACATTTGGCAGCAATCGCCACTAAACACCATGATAGCAACGGTATAAGATATAGGTAACTCTACAGTTGCTGCCGACTCTACCATAATTTTTGAGATAGAGAAAAACTCAATTACGGGCAAAGAAACAAAGTTCACAGCTACTGTATTCAAAATGTCTATATTTATTTCAAATATGCCAATGGTCTTGTCGCTACATCTCTGTATGGATTTGTGGACTGTAGTTAGTATCTCCGAATCTATATTTAGATATTGAAGTAAGGAAAGCAGAAGAGAAACTAGAAGGTAGGGTGGAGTTTTGTCTTTTCTAATTCACGAGTTGCATGTGCATTTTAAAGTTGTACTGAGGCAAACAGTCTATAAATGTAATACTAAATACCGTCGATTCGATTCCACGGGGAATTTATACGGGGGAAATGAACAACAATAGTTTCTATGAGCAAGATATCTGATTGTAATATGACCCGCCCATTTCGGTTCCCTGGTGTTATGTAAAGATTTTGATATGCCCGCCTAGCGTTCTTTGAACTACCAGTCTGTGCAAAGCAGTACAAAAATAAAGATCTAAGGGATAATCACATGGAGACATATGTTTGTTTTACATATTGTTTACCAGTGGGCCTACAGTACAGTAGCTCATACCAAAGGTGTAAACAGGTTGAAAATTCCCGACTTACTATGGTACATGTATATTTTTTATATAACATCTATGTGTAGTCGAAGAAGTTAGAAAAAGAAAATGAGAGGGTTGAAAAAAATTGTCAGCATTACTTAAATGAATTAGAATTGAACTGAAGTCATGAGAAGTGCGTGAATTAAGCATGTCAGTGTGACAAATACATATATGTGAAAGAACAAGGAAAATACACTTTCTTCACTATTATTTTCAAAATAAGAATGAGCAGAAAGCTGAATAATTTTCAAATTTAACATGCTGGCTTTTGTAACAGATATTATCTGTTCACTATTGTTATTTCTAAAACAAAATGCATGTTGGAATTATTCACGGCTAAAATTATTTTTAAATCAGTAACATTCAGAGGTAAGTAATTTCCATTTGACACATGACATTTTCAATAATTTATTTATATAATCTATGTTACGAAAATGAGATTCATTTCTCACTGGCCATGGCTGAAAAATTGCTCTGGCCAGCTGACTGACCAGTGCTACATCAACACTAACTATAACCTAGAAATGAGTAGGGCACAGGTAGATAAGAATAGATAACAACTGTGAGAAGATGGGACCTTCAATGACATAACTTATTGAACAAACATTTAAAGCTAGCATCAGATAAACCTCCACAAGGCCTTGTCTCCTGTCACTGCATTACACAGTGCTGAAGTATATCCTATGATATATATTTACAGGTATGTTATAACTTCACTGCATTCTTTACATGTAAAGGAGACATAACATATGAAGGAATTGTTACCAGTAGTAATTGTATGTTGTCTGCCTTAAGCTTTTCACATAACAAATTTCTCCAGTTTTACTGGTAGGAGTTGAAACTTGCCAGATATAATCTTTAGATGGTCTTACTAAGTTTTTCAGGTCATTCCAAAGTACAAGATGGCCAACATGCCACCATCTTGAAAAAACATGTTTTAAACTTCTTCTCAGTTGCACTGGTGCTATTAAGCTGAAAATTGGTGGAGATATTAAGGAAAGGAAACAGACAAAATGTTATTTTGTGGCGTCAACAAAAACATGGCAGACACAACAGCTATATTGAAACAAAATACATTTAAGCTTCTTCTCATGTTCCACTGGGATTTTAAGGAGTTGGTCCAAACCAAGTGCTCATGGACTGGTTCCAAATTCGATATGACTGCCATAGTTGCTTGTCAAAAAGCCATTTTAAACTTCCTCTTCATTTCCACTGGTGCAATTAAAATGAAAAACTTATGGGATTTGGAAAAACTTAATTGAACTGTATTGTTGATTTTGCTGACTTAACTTATATATTTAGAATTGTTTTAACCATAATGGTAATCAATGGTCCACACTACTGTTGTTGTATGGGTGTATATAAGGTCCATGGGCTACTTGTTTGTGAAATGAAATCATTTACTATTTCAGGGAGCGGTATTAAGTTAAAGTTAGACGTCTGCTATGGAACCTGACGTGTCTTCACATGAGAAATGGCAATGTCTCCTGTCTGCTGTTACTGAAGGTAATGAAAGCAGACCTGTAACATGATAAATGTTTAAATATCAGCAGGTTTGATATGTGAATATAAATCTACTATTATCTTCCTCTATATAATTTCAATTTTGTGTTCTAATTTCAATAGGAACTGTTATTTCTAATTTATGTCTCAAAGGACACAATATTGATGACATCAGCTATGGTAAATCTCACACAGAACTTATCTGGTATACAGAAATTATCAAAACATACATTTATCATTATCTGGCTTAGATGCACTATCTACATCAATACATTTTCACACAAAACGGTTTACTCATAGAAATAGGTATCTGCATAATTACTCTTTGTTTTTCAGGGAGTTTACCGAAGGTGAAATATATAATTAAAAAATATTTCCCCAAATCATACAAGTCACAAATCCATTCCTGTTTACCTGAACTGTTCAAGGAAAATCCTCCACTCCACCAGGCAGTTTTGACAGTAAGTAAATTATATATCTCAGTGATTTGATGTGTCTCCTTACAATATATCTAATTACCTGTTGACACTTATAATCATAGAGAAGATCAGATTCACTTATGTACGTATAAATTTATGGTGTCACTTGGTATCTGATGTTTACAAACATTATATGGGATATTTATGATAGATTGATTCTGTATGGTATGGTTTCAGGCGTCAGATGAAGTAGTTCTGTTACTGATAGACAATGGGTTTGACATCCATGCCAGGAACCGTTATCAGGAAACAGCACTACACATGGCCAGCCGCAAGGGCAGACACGGTAAACAAATCTATCACTCAAGGTCAAATAAAACATTTGGTGATATTTAAGGTTAATAATAAGTTTAATAGGATGGTGACAGTCTTCTAAACAAAAGTCTCTAGCATAGGATGGTGACAGTCTTCTAAACAACAGTCTCTAGCATAGGATGGTGACAGTCTTCTAAACAACAGTCTCTAGCATAGGATGGTGACAGTCTTCTAAACAACAGTCTCTAGCATAGGATGGTGACAGTCTTCTAAACAACAGTCTCTAGCATAGGATGGTGACAGTCTTCTCAACAACAGTCTCTAGCATAGGATGGTGACAGTCTTCTAAACAACAGTCTCTAGCATAGGATGGTGACAGTCTTCTAAACAAAGTCTCTAGCATAGGATGGTGACAGTCTTCTAACAACAGTCTCTAGCATAGGATGGTGACAGTCTTCTAAACAACAGTCTCTAGCATAGGATGGTGACAGTCTTCTAAACAACAAGCATAGGATGGTGACAGTCTTCTAAACAACAGTCTCTAGCATAGGATGGTGACAGTCTTCTAAACAACAGTCTCTAGCATAGGATGGTGACAGTCTTCTAAACAACAGTCTCTAGCATAGGATGGTGACAGTCTTCTAAACAACAGTCTCTAGCATAGGATGGTGACAGTCTCTAAACAACAGTCTCTAGCATAGGATGGTGACAGTCTTCTAAACAACAGTCTCTAGCATAGGATGGTGACAGTCTTCTAAACAACAGTCTCTAGCATAGGATGGTGACAGTCTTCTAAACAACAGTCTCTAGCATAGGATGGTGACAGTCTTCTCAACAAAGATCTCTAGCATAGGATGGTGACAGTCTTCTAAACAAAAGTCTCTAGCATAGGATGGTGACAGTCTTCTCAACAAAGATCTCTAGCATAGGATGGTGACAGTCATAGGATGGTGACAGTCTTCTAAACAACAGTCTCTAGCATAGGATGGTGACAGTCTTCTCAACAACAGTCTCTAGCATAGGATGGTGACAGTCTTCTCAACAACAGTCTCTAGCATAGGATGGTGACAGTGTTCTAAACAACAGTCTCTAGCATAGAATGGTGACAGTGTTCTAAACAACAGTCTCTAGCATAGAATGGTGACAGTCTTCTAAACAACAGTCTTTAGCATAGGATGGTGACAGTCTTCTAAACAACAGTCTCTAGCATAGGATGGTGACAGTCTTCTAAACAACAGTCTCTAGCATAGGATGGTGACAGTCTTCTAAACAACAGTCTCTAGCATAGGATGGTGACAGTCTTCTAAACAACAGTCTCTAGCATAGGATGGTGACAGTCTTCTAAACAAACATAGGATGGTGACAGTCTTCTAAACAACAGTGTCTAGCATAGGATGGTGTCAGTCTTCTAAACAACAGTCTCTAGCATAGGATGGTGACAGTCTTCTAAACAACAGTCTCTAGCATAGGATGGTGACAGTCTTCTAAACAACAGTCTCTAGCATAGGATGGTGACAGTCTTCTAAACAACAGTCTCTAGCATAGGATGGTGACAGTCTTCTAAACAACAGTCTCTAGCATAGGATGGTGACAGTCTTCTAAACAAAGATCTCTAGCATAGGATGGTGACAGTCTTCTAAACAAAAGTCTCTAGCATAGGATGGTGACAGTCTTCTCAACAAAGATCTCTAGCATAGGATGGTGACAGTCTTCTAAACAACAGTCTCTAGCATAGGATGGTGACAGTCTTCTCAACAACAGTCTCTAGCATAGGATGGTGACAGTCTTCTCAACAACAGTCTCTAGCATAGGATGGTGACAGTCTTCTAAACAACAGTCTCTAGCATAGGATGGTGACAGTCTTCTAAACAACAGTCTCTAGCATAGGATGGTGACAGTCTTCTAAACAACAGTCTCTAGCATAGGAGTCTCTAGCATAGGATGGTGACAGTCTTCTAAACAACAGTCTCTAGCATAGGATGGTGACAGTCTTCTAAACAACAGTCTCTAGCATAGGATGGTGACAGTCTTCTAAACAACAGTCTCTAGCATAGGATGGTGACAGTCTTCTAAACAACAGTCTCTAGCATAGGATGGTGACAGTCTTCTAAACAACAGTCTCTAGCATAGGATGGTGACAGTCTTCTAAACAACAGTCTCTAGCATAGGATGGTGACAGTCTTCTAAACAACAACAGTCTAAACAACAGTCTCTAGCATAGGATGGTGACAGTCTTCTAAACAACAGTCTCTAGCATAGGATGGTGACAGTCTTCTAAACAACAGTCTCTAGCATAGGATGGTGACAGTCTTCTAAACAACAGTCTTTAGCATAGGATGGTGACAGTCTTCTAAACAACAGTCTCTAGCATAGGATGGTGACAGTCTTCTAAACAACAGTCTCTAGCATAGGATGGTGACAGTCTTCTAAACAACAGTCTCTAGCATAGGATGGTGACAGTCTTCTAAACAACAGTCTCTAGCATAGGATGGTGACAGTCTTCTAAACAACAGTCTCTAGCATAGGATGGTGACAGTCTTCTAAACAACAGTCTCTAGCATAGGATGGTGACAGTCTTCTAAACAACAGTCTCTAGCATAGGATGGTGACAGTCTTCTAAACAACAGTCTCTAGCATAGGATGGTGACAGTCTTCTAAACAACAGTCTCTAGCATAGTCTCTAGCATAGGATGGTGACAGTCTTCTAAACAACAGTCTCTAGCATAGGATGGTGACAGTCTTCTAAACAAAACAGTCTTCTAAACAACAGTCTCTAGCATAGGATGGTGACAGTCTTCTAAACAACAGTCTCTAGCATAGGATGGTGACAGTCTTCTAAACAACAGTCTCTAGCATAGGATGGTGACAGTCTTCTCAACAACAGTCTCTAGCATAGGATGGTGACAGTCTTCTCAACAACAGTCTCTAGCATAGGATGGTGACAGTCTTCTAAACAGTCTCTAGCATAGGATGGTGACAGTCTTCTAAACAACAGTCTCTAGCATAGGATGGTGACAGTCTTCTAAACAACAGTCTCTAGCATAGGATGGTGACAGTCTTCTAAACAACAGTCTCTAGCATAGGATGGTGACAGTCTTCTAAACAACAGTCTCTAGCATAGGATGGTGACAGTCTTCTCTAAACAACAGTCTCTAGCATAGGATGGTGACAGTCTTCTAAACAACAGTCTCTAGCATAGGATGGTGACAGTCTTCTAAACAACAGTCTCTAGCATAGGATGGTGACAGTCTTCTCAACAACAGTCTCTAGCATAGGATGGTGACAGTCTTCTCAACAACAGTCTCTGTCATAGGATGGTGACTGTCTTCTAAACAAAGATCTCTAGCATAGGATGGTGACAGTCTTCTAAACAACAGTCTCTAGCATAGGATGGTGACAGTCTTCTAAACAACAGTCTCTAGCATAGGATGGTGACAGTCTTCTAAACAACAGTCTCTAGCATAGGATGGTGACAGTCTTCTAAACAACAGTCTCTAGCATAGGATGGTGACAGTCTTCTAAACAACAGTCTCTAGCATAGGATGGTGACAGTCTTCTAAACATCTAAACAACAGTCTCTAGCATGGGATGGTGACAGTCTTCTCAACAACAGTCTCTAGCATAGGATGGTGACAGTCTTCTCAACAACAGTCTCTAGCATAGGATGGTGACAGTCTTCTAAACAACAGTCTCTAGCATAGGATGGTGACAGTCTTCTAAACAACAGTCTCTAGCATAGGATGGTGACAGTCTTCTAAACAACAGTCTCTAGCATAGGATGGTGACAGTCTTCTAAACAACAGTCTCTAGCATAGGATGGTGACAGTCTTCTAAACAACAGTCTCTAGCATAGGATGGTGACAGTCTTCTCATCAACTTCTCTAGCATAGGATGGTGACAGTCTTCTAAACAACAGTCTCTAGCATAGGATGGTGACAGTCTTCTAAACAACAGTCTCTAGCATAGGATGGTGACAGTCTTCTAAACAACAGTCTCTAGCATAGGATGGTGACAGTCTTCTAAACAACAGTCTCTAGCATAGGATGGTGACAGTCTTCTAAACAACAGTCTCTAGCATAGGATGGTGACAGTCTTCTAAACAACAGTCTCTAGCATAGGATGGTGACAGTCTTCTAAACAACAGTCTCTAGCATAGGATGGTGACAGTCTTCTAAACAACAGTCTCTAGCATAGGATGGTGACAGTCTTCTAAACAACAGTCTCTAGCATAGGATGGTGACAGTCTTCTAAACAACAGTCTCTAGCATAGGATGGTGACAGTCTTCTCAACAACAGTCTCTAGCATAGGATGGTGACAGTCTTCTAAACAAAAGTCTCTAGCATAGGATGGTGACAGTCTTCTAAACAAAGATCTCTAGCATAGGATGGTGACAGTCTTCTAAACAAAGATCTCTAGCATAGGATGGTGACAGTCTTCTAAACAACAGTCTCTAGCATAGGATGGTGACAGTCTTCTAAACAACAGTCTCTAGCATAGGATGGTGACAGTCTTCTAAACAACAGTCTCTAGCATAGGATGGTGACAGTCTTCTAAACAACAGTCTCTAGCATAGGATGGTGACAGTCTTCTAAACAACAGTCTCTAGCATAGGATGGTGACAGTCTTCTCAACAACAGTCTCTAGCATAGGATGGTGACAGTCTTCTCAACAACAGTCTCTAGCATAGGATGGTGACAGTCTTCTAAACAACAGTCTCTAGCATAGGATGGTGACAGTCTTCTAAACAACAGTCTCTAGCATAGGATGGTGACAGTCTTCTAAACAACAGTCTCTAGCATAGGATGGTGACAGTCTGCACAACAACAGTCTCTAGCATAGGATGGTGACAGTCTTCTAAACAACAGTCTCTAGCATAGGATGGTGACAGTCTTCAGTCTCTAGCATAACATGGTGACAGTCTCTAGCAATAGGCATAGGATGGTGACAGTCTTCTAAACAACAGTCTCTAGCATAGGATGGTGACAGTCTCTAGCATAGGATGGTGACACTAAACAACAGTCTCTAGCATAGGATGGTGACAGTCTTCTAAACAACAGTCTCTAGCATAGGATGGTGACAGTCTTCTCAACAACAGTCTCTAGCATAGGATGGTGACAGTCTTCTAAACAACAGTCTCTAGCATAGGATGGTGACAGTCTTCTAAACAACAGTCTCTAGCATAGGATGGTGACAGTCTTCTAAACAACAGTCTCTAGCATAGGATGGTGACAGTCTTCTCAACAACAGTCTCTAGCATAGGATGGTGACAGTCTTCTAAACAACAGTCTCTAGCATAGGATGGTGACAGTCTTCTCAACAACAGTCTCTAGCATAGGATGGTGACAGTCTTCTCAACAACAGTCTCTAGCATAGGATGGTGACAGTCTTCTAAACAACAGTCTCTAGCATAGGAAGGTGACAGGCCTCTGATAATCTTATAAGTAAACAAATCTGTTGGTTTCAGTGATAGTTCATAAGCTGCTGGATTCTGGAGCTGACATGGACAGTCGAGATTGTGCAGAAAACACCCCGCTGTTTAATGCTGCAACTTACTCACATCCACATATAGCACAGATTCTCGTCCAAGGTAAATATGAGAACTTGTGTAGCTCGGCTCCCGGTCTAAGGAGCACATGGTACATATATAGGGTATTCAGTCTTTATAAAATACAAAATACATCCACACAGCTTCTCTTTCTAAAGGTAAATGTTTGTCTCAGTCACAATCACTCAGTCAACAATACTATAGAACACAAATACAACAGCTTCTCTTTCTAAAGGTAAATGTTTGTCTTAGTCAACAATACTATATAGAACACAAATACAACAGCTTCTCTTTCTAAAGGTAAATATTGACTTTTAAATGTTGTAAATACTGTACATGGAAAATATACTTTCCATCGTTCCTTTCACTATACATTGTTGTTTTTGATGTCAAGATCGTTTTTCAATAGAAGATATATGATTCAATTAACCTTGATGTTGCTCTGCCAGCTGGCTGTGACCTCAATACCCAGAACGAGGAGTTGATGACACCTCTGGACCAGGCCATCCTGTACGATCAGCGTGACACTATATCCATCTTACTGAAAGCTGGCTGTGAGGTGCAGAAAACCAGCGGACATGTCTACTATGAAGACCACTATGTTAACTCTGTTGTGCACTCTCTCTGGCAAAATGGCGATAGTAGCAACATCAAACTTCTTCAGAACTGTGGCTACGAGATGAAATACTCTGATGTCAAAAGATTGGTTCAGTGGAAATACAAAGTAGTTGAAGGGGCAGAGATTCCAGATATAGATAAAGCTGTGATTGAAGACATCCTCACCCAACCACTGCCTTTAATGAATTGTTGTAGAATCTCAATTAGAAAGGTCTTATCCAAGATCCACAAAAAGAGTACGCTAGAAAAGTTAGCCACTCAACTGCCTCTACCCCAGTGGCTTAAGGATTTCATAGCATTTAAAGAGTAACTCAATTCCTTGTCGGTAAGACCACGTCCTGAGAATAGAAATTCTTCTGAAAAAAAAGGCCATGCCAAGTTCTTTCTGTCCCTTTGAAGGGAACCTAGCTGATATCAATTTGTTTTGCAATTTGTTTTTGTATTTTAACATTTACATGATTCCTTAATGAGTACATTTAATATTTCATGTTGGTGAACAGATGACTAGAGAATGAAGTAGACAATACACAAATATAGTTGTGTTTAACAGATGATGGACTTGTGATATTGTTGTGTACAGGATAGTAGAATTATGTCTTAGACGCTGGTAGAGGATTTAGAATTTGGTGTAAGATATTTGATATATCAAGTCTGAGATTTAGGACATCAGCTTAAAGCTAAACTGTCCAAACAGAGGTGAGTACACTGCCATTTACATTAAGTTGTAGTGAAATATCTGTAGAAATATGACTGTAATGATCAGTTTTACCTGAAGTGAATTAAGCTTTGAGATATCAAAAAAAAATTGACAGGCAATTAAATTAATTGATACACCTGTTTTTCAATTAAAGTAGTGTCATTTTTTTCAATAAATGAATATGTCTTATTGTAATAAATTTATCAGGTAAGTATCACGATTTCCTGACTTTCCTATACGTACCATTAGATATTGAATCCAATGATAAGGTTCATTGCCAATATGATTCAAAGTAACAATTTATACAAGATAGAAGTATAATGATTGTTGAAAATCTGCCATAAATTACCCCTAATAGATTAGTGATGTATTAATAACACCTTGTGTTGTACATGTGTGACCGATGTTAGATCTAGTCTGATATTATAACAATGTTTGTCTATTTTTGTTGAAATACTAAGTCATTCCAAAGTGGTAGTCAAGTTTTAAAATGTTCGTTTGTTTTTGTTAATATTCTAATTGTACTTGTTTATACAATAATATATAATACAATAAGTGGTTCATTAAGAAATAACAAATTTATCCTGATATTAATTACATGTACATAAACTTTATTTATTTTACAACAATTGCCAAACAAGTTTTTCCAACTGATATTAATCACTCCTGTTGGCTCGGATGGAAACATCAGAGGAAGCCGGAATACCCTGGAAAAACCCACGTGGCCGAGCAGGTGACCTCAAACCTTTTCACATCCATTCCAAGAATCAAACCCTGGACGGCTAGGTGTGTGTTACCACTGCGCCATCTGACCACCCTACATGTACATATATCATGTTATTCCTAGATGGAAATTATCTTGGAACTATTTGACCTGATTTCAATATAATCTTGTCACAATCTCGTAACACTTCCATCTTTTAATTGGTGCACATAAGATTATACTACAGTAGAAAAGTCCTGTCTTCCAGTGATTTCATTGTCATTTTGTACACCTCAGTGCACATATTCTTCATACTCATCATTTGTCTTATGAAGTTGACACTGTAGTCATCAAAATGAAACACATTTTCCAACTGGTATTTTCATGTATAAGAATATCAATTCAGAATGGAAATTAATCTAATTATAAAGAACTTTAACTATTTTATTTGAGCCACGTATTAATTCTATGAATTCTAAAAAAATCCTACCACACATGACAAACCCAGAGTTCCAACTTGCCTTGTAATCACTAAAACTGATTTTGTTAAGGATTTCCTTGACTTGTGGTCACTACAGTTCCAACTTTCCTTGTTATCAGTACTTTAGAAACTGATTTTGTTAAGGATTTCCTTGACTTGTGGTCACTACAGTTGTGAACTTATAAACAAAAATAAGAAAACATTGTAATTTCCTCTTCAAATGCCATTTTTGTTGTCAGGATCTGGTTCACAGACATTTTGTCCATAAAGTCACAGGGTTTATTTATGTTTGTATGTGTTATAGATACTCAGACATCAATTGTTTTCTACACTACTAGAAATAATTTAACATTTGTGTAACTCCGAAGTGATCCTAACATTTGCATTGTGTGCTTATCTTTGTATTTATGATGGAAACATGCAATAAATTTCAATAGAAACTGTTATTTCCAAGGTATGTATATGTGTGTGTGGTTCTTGATTGAGATTATCAACAGTGATGGTAAATTGGTAGTGATAAATGGACATAATAATCAGAAGATATTTTTTTGAGTAAAACATTGTTCCTTTGTCAGGGAACAAATTTATATCTACAGATGTATATACTGGTTATTTATTTACCCCACCCGGTGATGTGTTATACTGACAGATATATGTCAGCATTATGTATCCAACCATTTTTAATCATTTTAAAATAATTTATTGATTATATACAAGTTTTATGAAGCAAATGTTATTTTTTATCTTTTGTTTAATATGGATTGTGTGAATTTTTTTTACAAGGTAAGAAATCTTTTACATACAAGTCCCATGTGTTTTAGAATCGTCTAAACATACAAATATACATGACATCTCGTTACAATTTATGTATCTTATATTTATACCTGATGATATTTTAGATACGTATCTTTAAATTCTGTCGACAGTATTTAATCTTGCCAATATCTAGATGAGAATTTTTATAGTTTTTATCATCATTTACATCAATACCTAAGGTGAAACACATGTTAAAATTATTTGAAGTCAGAGACATGTGTAACAGCTTACCATTTTTGGTGTACCAGTAACACTGCTTTTTATTCTATAACTTAACATCATGATTTTTACCTTGTTTGTTGGTTTACAGTTGGAGAATTTTTTTCATCTGAAAAAAAAGTTCAAATTTTGATACACATGGTTTACTGTGACTAAACATTTCAGGCCTTGATACAAAAACGTCATCTGTTTTTATTTTGAATTATTTATTTTTTAAATAAAACATTCATTTACAGAAATAAATGCATTTTATTTTCAAATTATAAAACCACTGCCGTTTTATATAACTATACAGTTATTATTATTTTTCAATGTAAAAATTATGGTTAATCTTTTTTTAGTTTGAAAAAAAAAAATTAAATGAGGGCAATTCAATTGTATATATCAATGTATCAGATGTTTAGCTAACATTTTCCATCTATTTTTGTTGGAGAATTTTGAGTGTTTAACAGAAATGAAAGTGTTTTTTAATGAAAATAAAGTTTTGAAAGATGAATATCACTTTTGACTGGTATTTTGCAATTAATGTTGGAAGATAGTACAATTTCACACATCATCATTAACCAATGAATTACACCACTGTACACAATCTCAGACCCTGGAGGTGGTGACTTAGACATGTTTTACTGTAGATGTACCTATCACCAAGGAGGTAGTATACAAAATTGCCTTCAACCAAAGATGCTTCTGAGTAACAGCAGGATTTTAAATAACTTATTCTATTTATCTTATTTGGCCACGCCCCTCCCGCCCTTGGAGGCTGAGACTCAGCATTTATACAGAATTGATTTCTCTTTACCAAAAGACGCTTTTGACCAAATCTTGGCAAAATTCAATCATTTGTACAAGAGGAGTAGGATTATAAAGATTCAGCAAAATTCCTAATTTTTGGGCCCCATCCCTCAGATCCTGGTGGGGGCCAGGACACACCTTTTATATAAATTATGTTCCCATTCCCCTAAAGATACTTCTGACCAAATTTTGTCCAAATCCCCTTAGTCGTTCATCACTACATGTAGTAGTGTTTTGTAGGAAAAGTTGACAGACGATAAATGGACGATGGAGGCAGCAGTATCCATATAGCTCATTTGGCCCTTTGGGCCAGGTAAGCTAAGAGCAAAACAGATTGTGAAAGTAGCACTTCTATTGCCAATACAGTGTTGAAAGTTTGTAGTAAAGATAACATATCTATAATGTAACACATTGATATGATCTGTTGAATTTATTACAAAATAATTATAACAGTTACAAAATTACCCATGTTGGTATAAACACAAAACATCTCTAAACCAATGGTGTGTGAAATTGCTCATAACAAAACATTGAGACAATACAACCCATCTTATCTTTTCCAACTGGAGCTCTGTTGCTATGATTCAACACTCTACTGATCCAGTCTTATTTTATACCAATTTCTTGGATCTTTAATTGGCAGGCTCTGACTCAGTAGATCCATTCCTATAAGCTACAGAAATGTCCGGGATGTTTGACAGGTTTTCAGCAGATCCCTATCTATTGGAGTACTTTACCTGTTTTATTGTGTTATCATCACAAGCATGTATCAATCATATACAATTACAGCCATACAGTAAGACGGGTTTTAATGACAAATGATAAATGGAATGTTGAATCTCTCTATGTATAATACAGTCCAACCTATCTATGATAGAAACTAGAATCTCCTGTAGGTAAAGCAGTCATTGTATATAATTAAAAACCCAGAAATTACTGAAGAACCAAACAAAACATTATTATTTGTTTCTAGTTTTGTTAACAGAATGGGAAGCAAAACATATGTTTTTATCTGAAAAGTGTAAACATCCTATAAAAGTCAAATATATTAAGTAAAAACAAAATTCTCTAAAAATAAACACTTCAGTTATGTATATGAATTTGACAGATATCCCAATGTGTATCTGAAAGCACTAATAAGTTCAGCATCTGGAACACACATTCTGACCTTGACCTTGTCAGATACATAATTATATACACTTGGAGCACTTATAAGCTGGGTTCTTGGAACAGCCTGAACGTCACCTTGTCAGATCTATGTTTATAAACATATACACTTGGAGCACTCATAAGCTGGGTTCTAGGAACAGCCTGAATGTCACCTTGTCAGATCTATGTTTATAAACATATACACTTGGAGCACTCATAAGCTGGGTTCTAGGAACAGCCTGAATGTCACCTTGTCAGATCTACCTTTATAAACATATACACTTGGAGCACTTATAAGCTGGGTTTTAGAAACACTCTGACCTTGACCTTGCAGATAAAAAAAAAGATTGACAGTAAAAACTGATTCAGTAATATATGCAACGTATTTTGTGGAATGGAATGGTGGCCATCTTTGGGTCATCTGCATGATCGCGTCGATAGTCCCAGAGATAATGGTCAATGATGATGGAGTTGATGTGAGAATCTTTAGTCTCAGCATCCTCCTTCAATAACTTCTTCGCTTCCTCGCACACTAACTGTAGGAACACAGAAAAGTCATATATCAAATATGTAATAACTACAATGTATTATCCCTGATTTACACTACAAAGTATATATAAAGGGAATTTTTCTATATTTATCATTTAATTGTTTATTTATAGATGTCAACAAATTTGTGTTAATTTGCACTTTCTCTCTGATGTTGATATAAAAACAATTATCATTTCCCAAATTTGACTTGGTGCTAATATGTCCAAAATTGTGCTTAATTTTGATTGCACCAAAATAAGTATATTTACAGCAAAAGTCAACAAAACCTATACAAATATGGTTTCCTATTTTAGAAATAAAACAATTAGAAATATTTTTAAAACTTTATTCAGTCAGCTTGATAGATCAGTAACAATTACCTCAGTGGCCCATATACTGCAACCCCTGATCTCTGTCTCATACCGGTCACTAGTCTCCATCATCTTGTCTGTTCAAAGTTAAAAGTAAAAGGTTACAAGGATAACATGTGGTGATATATTATAAATACTAAATTCCTTACAGTAGATCAACATAGTTGACATAATCAGTTGATCTTTTAGTTTTAATAAATTTGTAAGCATTGGTGTACAAAAATGTATATCAATCTGGAAGGACATCATTACCTAACCAAATACACAAAACATTATGTACGATAATACAAACAAAATGATATCCAATGTCCGGCGCTCCAGTTCCGCAAGTTCAGCAGTCAACCTAAGGCAGATTACAAAAAGGAATACCGAGTTCGGTACCAAGAAATGTTGACAGCACCAGACAACACCTTAGGCAGATTACCAGTAGCATTTAATTGTTGACATGTTTCAGCATACTGGGTATGCCATCCTCAGAACCTCAGGTTATACGTACCATAAGTTACGTAATGGTTACAATGTAAATGATGATTTCCACTGAATAATAGAACAAATCAAAACCATTTTACCTATTACAATTTAAAAAAAAAAGAAACAAAACATGAAAGAAAACAAAAGTCATGAGGTAGAAATATATCGTGTAATAAAGTTACTTTTTCAGCAAACTAAGTATGTTAGAGTATTTTTCTGACAATAAGTCCATGCTTGGTAATAAACCCACACAAATAGGTAGTTGTTTTAGCAGACAGATCCCCTGATTCCGTGTAAGAAGTAGAATACTATTACAGGATACAGTATACAGTCTCTGTTGTATAATATAGACAGTAATATTATCCTCCATTTTCTGTTACTTTGTGACAAAACGTTAAATATTTAACTTCTGAAATACTGACCTGCTTTCATATATTCTGCAAGGTCTTCAGAATATTCTATAGCACCAAAGTAGACCAAAGCTTGTGGAATCCTGCGAACAAAGAAGATATGAGGAGGTTCATCAGTACACACATCTCACTACATCTGATATGGACAAGTGACTGTATTTTAACCCATGCCTGGCAATGCTGATCCACAATCTACATGTACTATGAAATCAAAACAAGTAAAATATATCCTAAAATCAAATAACAACACTTTCTTAAAACTTGTATCCATATGCTTCAATTATCTCTCAAGTCCTCTGGTCTTAAGACTCTCAGGACTCGAACTTTTCAAATTCTCTCGACTCGTAACCTGTGCTGTAATGCTCTCCTGACTCATGGTCTATGAAGTACATAGCTTAAATCTGAAGTTGTCAGACCCAATTTACAATTATATAAGAGACAACATTCAAATATAACAAATTTTGTAGTACATGTACCTGTAATCTGCAAACATGGTTATGCTGTCAATATCGTGAAACTCTCCATAACCTTTCCCCTCAAAACAAGCCCAAATGTCCGCAATCAAAATCTGTACTCTTTTGTAAAATGCAACTACAATGGAGATAAAACAAAGCCATGTGATAGATAACTTCAACATTAAAAGTGAAGAAAAAAGAATGAGAACCAACTTATATAGCCTGTATAGAACATTTCTCTGTATAAACATCTTTATATTGTATACAAAATGATGCCTTTTCAGGTTAACGAGATGTATATATCTAACTTATAATGATGTTCAGCATTACACTACACTTTATCCTTGCAAATTTTGAAATGTTACAACATGTATTCAGAATTTTAAAAAATGTGTGAACATACCTGTTATGAGATGAAGTGCAACAGAACAGGGAAAACACACATTCCTGTTGTACGCCCAAACCAGGAATCGAACCTGGGTCACTGACGTGATAATCTACTTAGCCATAGAAGCATGTCCAGTCAACAGAGTGACAGAGATCGTATCTAACAATATATTCAAGCCACACAGACCCGTCAACTGAGTTACAGAGACAGTATTAGATCGTATCTAACAATATATACAAGTCACACCAACCCGTCAGCTCAGTGACAGAGATCGTATCTAACAGTATATACAAGCCACACCAACCCGTCAGCTGAGTGACAGAGATCGTATCTCCTATTACAATAGCTCACCTTGTTTGCCGTTATAGACTGCCTCGTCTCTGTAGGATGGAAAATCTCTGACCACCAGCTGCATCAATGCCTGAGCACTTTTATCACATTTCTCTATACAGTTTACAAAACTTCCATCATATTTCTACAATAAAAATACAAAGTATAAGTTTTATGTTAAATAGATCAGTTATATAATCTGATACCACAAACATACTTATACCAATAGATCATTGACAGAGATGACAATTATACCAAACTTGGTCTTTTTCTTAATATTTTTCTCTCGATTAAAATACTGATGTGAAAATATATACACTTTTTTGCACATTCTTAATTTCAATTTTTGTTAAGAAGATAAGGCTAAAACAATAATAAGGAACAGCTTTACTTGTATACACACAGATGTATAAACAAGGTCATATATCAGTACATGTACCTTCAACTTTGATAAAGTTGGAATCAGAAAAATGGAAGAACATGTATTTATAGAAAAAGACATACATAATAAGCATATATATGTTTGCCTTCACTTCTTTTTAAGTGGGAATGCTGTATAGAAAGATATCATCAAAATCTAGAAATAAAAGCATTTGATTATTTTAATGTTCAACATACATGGTATTTCACTACGTCACAGTATAGTACTGGAGTACTACCTCTAACTGTTCAAAAATTTGTACATAAAATACAGACGTATTGTGACACTAGCATACCTTCAGTAGGACTTTGCCTGCTTCCTGCAGGACCTGCAATCTTTCCTCTAACATTGGTACATCGTAATCTGTGTCCGACTTAAATATATCACACAGCTGTTCCATACTAACACTGGCATAGTAATTAGGGTCTGTCAGAGGAATACCATTCTGTAAAACAAGTGTTGGTGTTCTCAGACTCTCATGTAATGAAGAAAGTTCAGACTTAATCAATAGACTAGGTGTGTCAGTGTAACATGTATGTTCTCACTGTAACCAAGTCTGGAGCTTTTTGGTGTTACTGATGTTTTAAGATATGTTCTCATGATTTTTCAAGATGTGTAAAGTATTGGTGCCCCAAGATTGATGGCTGAAATTAATTAAAAGGTGACCATGTACAAATATTACAACTATATTGCAAATTTTATTTCAATATCCCTAGAAAAAACAAAAAAGAAAGGAAAACAACAAAAAATGTCTTAAAATATTTGAAATCCTATAACATCTATCTCAAGTCATAACTCTGAAAAAAAGGAAAATAGTCAACCAGAACAAAGTACGAATTTTACCTACACTTTCTAACAATACAACTACATATCAAATTTCAGTACAAAAGCACCATCCAGTACTCAAAAAATTAGTGTAAAACATAACCAATTCCAAGGGCCATAACTCTGGAAAAAATACATGAATAAGGATCTATATTTGATCTGCAACTTCTCATTCTGCAACCAAACTATTCACTTTCAGTTCAACATTTCCATCTATAACAAATACAAGAATTCCTCAGAACTATATGTGTCGCCTGCATAAAGTGTCACGGTCACACGGAAATTGAACTGGATGTGCAACGTTCAACCATAAAGTTGTAATACCAAATTTCATTTCTATAACTCGAAGCATAAAGGGAAAGCTGCAAAGCAATATTCCTGAGAAATTTTCCAAGTTCAAAGGGACATATCACTGCCAAGAAGGATTACAGACTGCCAAGAAGGGAACTTGGTGCGTAACTTTTGACCAAGAACTCATATACAAAATTGCATTTTGATGACTCAAAGTATAACCAAGAAAATTCCAGAAACAATATTCCCAAAGAATTTGAGTTCAAAGGGGCATAACTCCATCAGGATGAGTCACAGAGAGCTGGGAATTAAACTCGATCTGTAATCTTCCACCAAGAAGCCATATACCAAATTTCATTGCAATAACTTAAAGGATAACCCAAAAAAGTCCAGAAAACAATATTCCCAGAGAATTTTCTAAGTTCAAAGGGGCATTACTCTGCCAAGAAGGGTCACAGACAGCCGGAAATCATACTTAATCTGTAGCCTTCCAACAAGAAGCCATATTCTTAATTTCATTTTGATAACTCAAAGCATAACGGAAAAGCTTGTCGCTGACACATGACGACAGACAAAGTGATCCTTTAGTGTCCGCCAGCTCTGCAGCTGATACAAACAGGAACTAAACTATGCCAGAAAAGGCTGTCACAACAGTGATAAGGACTCATCATAAACCATGCATTAAAGTTACCATAGTTACAGGAACTTACATCTAGTGCACGGTTGAGAGCTGCCACCCATGACCAATAACCAGTATACCCTTTGCCCTTGTATGTCACCTTGAACTTCTTCGAGTCATCCATTGACCAAAATGAGAAATTTAAGGTGTCTGCCACAAAAACCCTGCAAAATTAATTAATATTTCTATAAACAAGGAATAAAAAAATATACAAAGTATGAGGGCAGGACAAAAACCAATGTAGAGATTTCTTCTCAAGTCAGTTCACATATTGTATACATGTATTCATTTTATTTCACCTAAAATATTTCTTCTTCTTAGAAATTTCTCTCTCCATTCAGTAACTCTGATATATGAGCATTATAAATGAAAAAAACATAAGGAATGGGTAATGTTCTAAGCAGAACAGAATCAGCTCGTGTTAGCTCAGATTTGGTCAACTTCATTCACGTCTTCAAAACAAACCCACCCTTAACCAGCCAAATATACATGTTCTGTACCTGGTGTGTTTGGAGAAGTCCCACAGTATAGAAGTAAAGGACCAGGTTGAAGGAAGAAACAGTTATGTCCTGTTTAATACAGTCAACTCTTCACTTGAATTTTTCACATTAATCAATTCAAACAAAAGAAACAGAGCTTTGGAAATATACATTCATACAAGAATATATATATATGTCATCCACTTCTTTTAATATGCATGTATCAGCATCATAGTCAGGTGAGAAATTCCATGTAACAGAGAACCAGAAAGCACTAAGCACAATGGAAACTTTATCACGTCTTTTACACATGCATTTTCCTATTTCCCTCTGTTATTTTCGTATTTCCCTCTGCTATATTCCTATTTCCCTCTGTTATTTTCGTATTTTCCTGTTATTTTCATATTTCCCTCTGTTATTTTCGTATTTTCCTGTTATTTTCGTATTTTCCTGTTATTTTCTTATTTTCCTGTTATTTTCATATTTCCCTCTGTTATTTTCGTATTTTCCTGTTATTTTCGTATTTTCCTCTGTTATTTTCATATTTCCCTGTTATTTTCATATTTTCCTGTTATTTTCATATTTTCCTGTTATTTTCGTATTTTCCTCTGTTATTTTCATATTTCCCTGTTATTTTCATATTTTCCTGTTATTTTCATATTTTCCTGCTATTTTCATATTTCCCTCTGTTATTTTCATATTTTCCTGTTATTTTCATATTTCCCTCTGTTATTTTCGTATTTTCCTGTTATTTTCGTATTTTCCTGTTATTTTCGTATTTTCCTGTTATTTTCATATTTCCCTCTGTTATTTTCGTATTTTCCTGTTATTTTCATATTTCCCTCTGTTATTTTCGTATTTTCCTGTTATTTTCTATATTTTCCTGTTATTTTTGTATTTTCCTCTGTTATTTTCGTATTTTCCTGTTATTTTCATATTTTTCTCTGTTATTTTCATATTTTCCTGTTATTTTCGTATTTTCCTGTTATTTTTGTATTTTCCTCTGTTATTTTCGTATTTTCCTGTTATTTTCATATTTCCCTCTGTTATTTTCATATTTTCCTGTTATTTTCATATTTCCCTCTGTTATTTTCGTATTTTCCTGTTATTTTCGTATTTTTTCATATTTCCCTGTTATTTTCATATTTTCCTGTTATTTTCGAATTTTCCACTGTTATTTTCGTATTTCCCTGTTATTTTCATATTTTCCTGTTATTTTCATATTTCCCTCTGTTATTTTCATATTTCCCTGTTATTTTTGTATTTTCCTGTTATTTTCGTATTTTCCTGTTATTTTCGTATTTCCTATTATTTTTTTTACTTTTTTCTCTCTTATATTAATTTTCTTCTCTTTTATTCTTATTTTTCCTGCCTTTTTTATTTTCCCTGTTTTTCTTTCTTTTTCATGTTTTTTCTTATTTTCTCCTCTGTTATTTTTTCCTCTGATATTTCCTCTGTTATATTTTTATTTTTTCTGGGTGCTGATTTTGAACTGTTTTACTTACCAGTCTACCTCTGCTTTGGACATGACTTTTGGGTTTAGTTCGTGGTCACTTTTCCAGTTTTGAATTGTGTATGTCTTTGTTTTCACACATTCATACATCTGTTCAACAAAACTTCATTACTTCTTACGGTAATTAATACTTCAGAATAAATAAACAAGAAATTCTCAACACTTGAACTGAATGTCAAACCTACAACATTATACAAGGACCTTTTGCAAAATGTTTAAATGTCATCAACAATAATTTACATAAATTTCACTCAGCAGACCTTTAACATGTCAGAGAGACTTTTGATAACACACTTAATATATAAACAAATGCTTAAGAAGGCAAAAATTACCAACAGCTGTAAAACATTACGGTACATTTAACTGCCATAGTTTTGCACAGTTGAAATAATGATGCTCTGGTTTTGGTATTTGTTAAAAGGTAAAAAAAACAGAACAAAATTGAAAACTGTCCATAATTATTCTCCTTTGTCATCATCAGAACAAAATATTCTTCTACACATGCTACTTCATTATCAACTTCTTTTTCACTTTCTGAATGTCATTCCTTCTTACCAACTTGGCAAGTTTCTGTACTCCGTGACCTTTGACCTTGACATCTTTGCTTGTCTCTGCAATCAACCTCCCAGTATCCCTCGGCATCACAACGTTCTCCATGATGTGTTACTGTGCTTCTATAAGAACATCAACTGGAAACACCTCTAGAACAAATCAGCATAAAGACAACATAGCCTGGGCTGTATGTGATCAATTTATCTGTCTACAGGACAAGTGAGCTTATACCAGGACACAACATCTATTGTCTTACTTCACCTGTCTAAAGGACAAGTGAGCTTATACCGTGGCACAACATCTATTGTCTTACTTCACCTGTCTAAAGGACAAGTGAGCTTATACCATGGCACATCTATTGTCTTACTTCACCTGTCTACAGGACAAGTGAGCTTATACCGTGGCACATCTATTGTCTTACTTCACCTGTCTAAAGGACAAGTGAGCTTATACTGTGGCACAACATCTATTGTCTTACTTCACCTGTCTAAAGGACAAGTGAGCTTATACCGTGGCACAACATCTATTGTCTTACTTCACCTGTCTACAGGACAAGTGAGCTTATACCATGGCACATCTATTGTCTTACTTCACCTGTCTACAGGACAAGTGAGCTTATACCGTGGCACATCTTTTGTCTTACTTCACCTGTCTACAGGACAAGTGAGCTTATACCATGGCACAACATCTATTGTCTTACTTCACCTGTCTACAGGACAAGTGAGCTTATACTGTGGCACAACATCTATTGTCTTACTTCACCTGTCTACAGGACAAGTGAGCTTATACTGTGGCACAACATCTATTGTCTTACTTCATTTTTTTCCCTTTAAGCAGCTTCTCCGTAACCAAGAGGCCAATGCTGGGATGAAAGGATACAGTGTTTGTTCAAATAATTGACCTTGATTCATTCTCAAGATCACAGTAGTCCTCTTTTAATAACAACCAAGAGGATCAGGATCCTGATATTTAACTAGTGTTCTGGGGAAAAGAGGTCCAGGATCCTGATATCTAACTAGTGTTCTGCGGAAAAGAGATCCAGGATCCTGATATCTAACTAGTGTTCTGGGGAAAAGAGGTCCAGGATCCTGATATCTAACTAGTGTTCTGGGGAAAAGAGGTCCAGGATCCTGATATTTAACTAGTGTTCTGGGGAAAAGAGGTCCAGGATCCTGATATCTAACTAGTGTTCTGGGGAAAAGAGATCCAGGATCCTGATATCTAACTAGTGTTCTGGGGAAAAGAGGTCCAGGATCCTGATATTTAACTAGTGTTCTGGGGAAAAGAGGTCCAGGATCCTGATATCTAACTAGTGTTCTGGGGAAAAGAGATCCAGGATCCTGATATCTAACTAGTGTTCTGGGGAAAAGAGATCCAGGATCCTGATATCTACTACTAGTGTTCTGGGGAAAAGAGGTCCAGGATCCTGATATCTAACTAGTGTTCTGGGGAAAAGAGATCCAGGATCCTGATATCTAACTAGTGTTCTGGGGAAAAGAGATCCAGGATCCTGATATTTAACTAGTGTTCTGGGGAAAAGAGGTCCAGGATCCTGATATCTAACTAGTGTTCTGGGGAAAAGAGGTCCAGGATCCTGATATCTAACTAGTGTTCTGGGGAAAAGAGGTCCAGGATCCTGATATCTAACTAGTGTTCTGGGGAAAAGAGGTCCAGGATCCTGATATCTAACTAGTGTTCTGGGGAAAAGAGGTCCAGGATCCTGATATCTAACTAGTGTTCTGGGGAAAAGAGGTCCAGGATCCTGATATCTACTACTAGTGTTCTGGAGAAAAGAGATCCAGGATCCTGATATCTAACTAGTGTTCTGGGGAAAAGAGATCCAGGATCCTGATATCTAACTAGTGTTCTGGGGAAAAGAGATCCAGGATCCTGATATCTAACTAGTGTTCTGGGGAAAAGAGGTCCAGGATCCTGATATCTAACTAGTGTTCTGGGGAAAAGAGGTCCAGGATCCTGATATTTAACTAGTGTTCTGGGGAAAAGAGGTCCAGGATCCTGATATCTAACTAGTGCTCTGGGGAAAAGAGGTCCAGGATCCTGATATCTAACTAGTGTTCTGGGGAAAAGAGGTCCAGGATCCTGATATTTAACTATTGTTCTGGGAAAAAGGACTACTAGCTAAGTTTCTTAACCTGAATGATTTAGATCCACTTTCTAGGTCACAAAGGTCAAATATGTTCAAATCTTTTAATAACTTTTTCTCAATAAGTTGAATAAGCTTTCTAAAAGACTTTTTTTCTAAAGAATAGTTTAAAAATGATAAGTAGTGATTCTTGAGAAAATAGTTCAAAAGACCTTCAGACTAGTTGATTCCTAAAATGAACACAAGCACATTGCTAAATTTAGTGATAACAATGCCAGATATATGATAGACAGAGCTCAGGTAACATCACTGTAAGCTGTCTTGTAGAGATGTACAATGTATTAAACTCTGTCTTCTATAAATAAATAATATACAGGGAAACAAACTGGTTTGATTGTAATAAATGCTGAGCAAGTGATAAAATTATAAGAAAAACAGAAATGCCTATATAGTTACAGGCACTTGTATCTTGAATATTCAAAACCCAAGTAAAATAGCCTTAGTACACTACACATTATGATTATTCGACTGTGGATTCTACATGGGTTGGTGTTCCAGATACGAGTGCATGCGATAGCCTATAGCTGGAATGCCATTTATCCGTACTACAACTACTCTATCTGCCACTCGTCACCGCTCTGATAAGGTTTCAGCCACGTGTGTGGCCACATACCCTCTAACGTCATCTTTCCTATCTAGATTATGATATCTCCATGACCAATATAGGTGATCAATGAAACATAGTAACCTGTTTTGACTGATACAATTGTTACAGGTATTCCCTTCAGTAGCTAAGATTCGCGTATAATTCCCTCGTTACGTATTACAATGTTTTATCAAACCTTTGTTCATACCTGTAAAATCTGTCGACGACGATGAAACGTATCGTATACGTTGTCAAGTCTCTTATCAGCCAGTACACTGTTAAAACACTAGAGGCTTAGCGCCGAACATGTGCAGCTTACTTCCGGTGATGTTCTAAAATTAGAAATCATTTTCCCAAAAATTCGGACTGGTTTGTTACAAGAGGGTCAGTCGCGCGGCAGTAAAATTTATATTTCCCATCTAAATATAATGTTAATGACAACTTATATATCGAAATCAATCCCTAAATCCCACAACATTCCTTTTCACGTTCAAAAATCAAAATGCTCCTCAAATGGACACCTTTTTCCAGAGACGTCTCTGCCTTTTTACTTTATCCAGCTTAGACTGGATAAATCTCTAAGTACACTTTTCTCTGTTCTCGTTGTATTTTTGAAGGAAAACATAGCGGAGAGAAGAAAAATATAGAAGTCAATCCAGCCAACTATTACTTTGAGTGAAATGTGTAATAAATCCATTTCTAAAAAATACAATTCAACAGTTCCCAGGGAGATGTCACGATGCAAAACCGATACCAATGTCTTAAAGCATTTCTTAATATTAATCTTCATTATCAATTAAAAATGTACAGTGTAACTAATACTAATGTGGTCCGGTTTAAGAGAGACTGATTTACATTTAGAAACATAAATTGTATAAATGACTCTCTCTCTCTCTCTCTCTCCATGTAATTTTGTATTTAAACATGTCGTTTTGTCTTGTCATTATGTATTTTGTCAAAATCTATGTGGAAAGGGCTTGATATAAGTTTGAAAAGTTGTGCCCAATCCCATTGAAATTGTTCATTGAAATATGTTTAAATAAAATCAACTACAGAATACTCCTAGATAGTGTAATTCTGGCTGGGGGAGATGTTTGAGAACTTATTTTGACTCCTTTACTTGAATACTAAATGTTTTCAGTTTTGGAATGAGAGAAGAGAACAATCTTGATATAAAAAAAAAAATCAGAAAAGTTTCTTCATTTTTTTAATTGCAATGAAAAAGATGCTGTGCTGTCATCTTTCATTCTGCTGTCATCTTTCATTCATAATTCTGACCAAGTTTGAAATATGTCCAATAGAAAGTAAACAAACTATGCCCAAAAATCTATTTTTCCTATATAAACTATAGTAAACTTTACCCCACTCCCTAGGGGGCAATGTGAGACCCTGGCACCATGACATTGATAATTTTCATAAAGCAGCTTAGGATGCTTCCTTTCATGAAGAGCATTTGATTCTTCCTTATCTGGGTGTTGAGAAGAAGATTTTTGAAATCTGAGTCTATTTGACACTTTTGGAAGTCAAACTTTATTCATGTCATAGTTAAAATGTCTACCTTGTTTGAAGGAGATTAGATGAAGTTTGAGAGAGGAAATTTCTGGACAATATTCTGATATTGAAAATGCCTAATCAATTCTGTAAAACACAACTCCATGTCATGGTGATTAAGCATACAAAGTTTGATAGAGCTGAAAAAGAAAGAGAGATCTCCTAACAATTGAAATGTATGATAGATGGAGAGACTGACAACACCATTCCAGAATGTCCCAGAAAAGTTTTTCACAAAGTAGATAAAGGTCAGTTCACGTTATGTCAAGGAGAAGCAGAGATGTTACTCCAAAGACATTATGTTTATGCGATCGAAGTCAACAACATTTGAACTTCAAAAGTCCATGAAAATTGAAGTGTTTTATATAATCTATACAATGAGGCATAATAACTGGAGGAAATGTCTTTGCACTGTACCTCCTCAGATGTGTGGTTTAATAACAACATGGAGTGGCTGGTGTCTCCTCAAAAGCCGAGATCACAGAAGGTTCTGTGCTGTTTTGACCATGTCCTTGTGCTATACAAACTAACCCTATTGGTGTGGAAAACATGCTGTTGGCCTCCTGCATGTTGTTAGTGATATAGTCATTAGCTGCTACATACCAAAATGACCTTGTCTTTTCTCAGGGTGATATCACTAGCAAGCAAACAAATTGTGGTTGGGTGGCATAGTAACACACTTGTGTTTCACCTTGGCAATATCCGAAACAGATGTGAAAAGGTATGGGGGTCACCTGCCTGACTACATGGATTTTCTCTGGGTACTCCACTTCACCCCCACCACCACCACCACAGTGAGACCCCTCGTGCACTTTTATCCAAGTCAACAAGGGTGATAAACATAAGTTAAAGCTCGTTTCAAAACTGCAGTATAATGAAGAAAGTTGATATAAACCCATATGAATTGTACTATACCAAAAAGCAATGGTCTCCACAGACTTAAACTTTGGACAAATCTGCATTTGTCAACACAAGTTAAGATCCTGTTAACCTCAAACTTTGTCCTGGCTTAACATGATCCTTTCTTTGTTCAGTAAAATGTAGGTATCCACCTTACAAAAAGACTGTTTTTGGTTATATTCTTTTCAAATAAATCAGACCTCTGCTCTCAAACTCACTTACTTGAAATGGATGATCTATTAAGCTGATGTCAATATTTTGTGAAGCTTTGAGGCTGGCACAATGGAGGAGGAGGTGTTGGGACGGACGATAACTCTGTTGTTAAAAGTTTTGGCCTACATAATTGTAACTTCTGGTGCAGATTCAAGGTTTGTCTGCTTTCTTCCCAGAGCAGTTTGTGTTTCTCAGGAAGCTTAGAATAAAAAACCGGTCCGTGATGTGGGTGTGTTCTTGGGTAAGACACTTCACCTTTATTGTTCTGGACGGCATGTGATTGGGCTCCTGTATGTAGCTACCTGCTACTACAAGAAGATCCGACCTTAAAATGACCCTGACTGTTCACCAGGCAATAAGTCCAAACCTGAATGGTGAGATGCTGATGATGTTTTATATCTTTCCTTTTGTCATCAAAGACAAAAGCGAGCACAGGTAATTCCCCTCGGTAGATCTGTAGTGGTACATAACAGAGACAGGATAATGTATGTTATGTCAACCTTTAATGCTTGCTATCTCCTACTTAATGTTACATGGTTTTTTGTCATATTTTCACTTTCAACTTTAAATGGTATTTTGATAATGTTACGATGTCATGGATTTTTAAAGTAAAATTGAATCAGTATGGAACTTTTTACTCTGTATTTTCATTGGAATATGTATCTGCATATTACAATGTATATAAGTACACTAACTACGAATGGAAATTTAAAAAGTAAGTAACATTGGACAGCTGTCAGCACATTCATATATATTTACCTGTACAATTAAGTACATGTTACTACAATAGTCTTTCTTAAATGTATAAGACTAAAACGTAAGTAAGATTAGACAGCTGTCAGCACTTTCATCTATATTTACCTTTACAATTATGCACATATACTATACTACAATAGCATTTTTTTAATGTATAAGACCAAATCAGCATTAATCTTGTTTTTATCAATCGGGATGATTTCTGTATGGAGTAATCTGTTGTGGATATTGGCCCTAACAAAGAGGGCTCCAACAAAGTGAAATACAAGTATAAATTTACACAAGTTATCAATGGAAAACACCTAAAACAAGTCTTCAAATGTTGAATTCATTATTAATTAACATATTTCAGATGGTCTCCATTTTATACTTAAGTTGTAAAATACTGTTTATAAACCATAATCAGTTATATAGCATTGCATATATACTGCAAAATAAACATCTCAAACCAATTTATCCAATACTGTACGTACATGTACAGCATGAAGTTATAGTGGATCTTGTAAACAATATTGTCTCCCCTCAAAGTTATAATTCAAAATATTCAATACACGAAATAATCATCCAAGGATATATTTCAAGACAACTTTTCTTTTAAAGTTTTGAAAGTTTTGTTTTACATCCATTGTTTCAAATTGATTTGCCCATTATATTTTCCACTGACTAGCAATGCTCACCTAACACTTAATAACTATAAAATAGCTCGCCATCTACTTTCTCGTTTTCACTGACCAGCAGTAACATTCTCACTTTTAACAACAGGAACTAGGCTATAATGTCTGTCTATTAGTTTCCAATGACCAACACTGTACATCAATGACCAGCTGACATTTATTTCCAGGACCCTGACTGTCAGTTAGTTTCCAGTGACCAGCTGACATTTATTTCCAGGACCCTGACTGTCGGTTAGTTTCCAGTGACCAGCTCACATTTATTACAAGGACCCTGTCTGTCTGTCTATTGGACTGTTTCTGTAGTCTGCATTTGAATTAAATTGATCATCACATCTACTGCTCGCTCAATTCCAAATTCTTCAATTAAAAGTTCAAAATTTTCTGGAGCATTTTCCAAAGCTTTCATTTTGTCTAAATCCACCACTGCAAGTTACAACAGATATAAATTAGTCACCGTCAACACAAAATTGGTTTTTATTGTTAACATTTCAAACTAAAGCTGTGAAGAGAGCAGATCAAGTGAAAGTTGTCATACATAATACATAGAGAACCACTAATCATCCAATTGATGGAATATTAGAATTTTATCAGCACATGTATCATTATAACCAGGTGGTTGTAATTTGGTCCATTTCAAACAAAAATATATCAGATTTCACTGGGAGTAATACAGTTATAAAGATTACAATATTAGTTTCATATTTACTGATAACATGCCATTGACATTCCTTCCTATGAACAATTCTTCAGTATCACTAATTCCTTAAAAGTTTTACCCATTTAAAGCTCTGTATGCACTACAAAATACAAGAAGTAGTCTGAAAGAGTTTGTGTTTAAGATTTCAAAGTGAATGTCACTTTGACTTTAAAATGATCACACCTTTCCTTCATTTCAAGTCAGGTTTTTTGTCAACAACAAAAAAAACCTACTTAAACTTTCAACATAGTTAATCCCCATGTAAATACTCTGACTCACATTGCTGTGTTCCTTCCACACCCAGTCGAATTCTTGGAACTACTCTGTCTAGAGACTGCTCGTTAAATTCCCAGCTGATCATCAGGACAGGACTGTATATCATTAAATAGAGAGATTCTGATGAGCTACAGAGAAGTTTTGTCCAACATCAAAGCATCTCTCCAGAGATGAAAATCTGACGTATTAGGTGATGTTTGCAACCATTCAACCATTTCAGACTGTAACTTACAATCACATATAGTTACCATAACTTGTGGTATCTTAGTGGTATTTTTGTGGTATCTTTATGATATTTTTGTGGTATATGTGGTATCTGTGGTATTTTTGTGGTATCTTTATGATATTTTTGTGGTATATGTGGTATCTGTGGTATCTTTGTGGTATCTTTGTAGTAATTTTGAGGTATCTTTGTGGTATCTTTGTGGTATTTTTGTGGTATCTTTGTAGTATTTTTGTGGTATCTTTGTAGTAATTTTGTGGTATCTTTATGATATTTTTGTGGTATCTTAGTGGTATTTTTGTGGTATCTTTGTGGTATTTTGGTGGTATCTTAGTGGTATTTTTGTGGTATCTTTGGTATATTTTTGGTATTTTTGTGTTATCTTTGTGGTATTTTTGAGGTATCTTTGTGGTATCTTTGTGGTGTTTTTGTGGAATCTAGTACTTTTGTGGTATTTTTGTATGTTTGTAGTATTTTTGTGGTGTCCTTGTGGTATCTTTGAGGTATTTTTGTGGTATCTTTGTGGTATCTTTGTAGTATTTTTGTGGTATCTTTGTGGTTTCTGTGATATTTTTGTGGTATCTCTGGTATTTTTGTGGAATCTGTAGTACTTTTGTGGTATCGTTGTGGTATCTTTGCAGTATTCTTTCTTCATAAAAGTTCTACTGATACTTTCACTTGCACTATACTGCAATGATCATAATCATTTATCTTTAATATAACAGTGTACTCTGGATATCAACATAAAACATACCCATGTTTTGACTTGGGATTCGAAATCGTCAAGGTACGATTTGTCTCCGTTGTATAAACAGACACAAATTCAGGATACTTCTCAGCAAAATGGTTCAATAATTTCTGTCGATGAGATTCCCATTTTGAGTATGGCATAATCAATCGAAAAAATCCTCCAACGGTCTGTTCATTGACAACCCTGGTTGGAAAAGAAAGATACTGCAATGTAATGAAATGTAGTTAACTAATGTACAGTCAACCTTATAAAGACCATGAATGTGGACAGAGAAATGGCTGTTATAGACAGGTGACCTATATGTAGAGTTTAATTACTAAAGAGTTTAACATCCAATGAAAGTGTCCTTTTTAGACAAGTATTTGTTATATGAAGGTGAGCTTTGTAGACAGGTAATCTGGCTATCTAATCAGATAATGCCACACTGTAATCTTGGTAAGGGGATAAATCCCAGCCTAAGCTGTACCATTGTAAATAGTGCAGTCTTTTTACCTCAATAAACCTTTTTTCATTTTCAATTAACTTTGAAACATGTGTTTGTCTAGGTGAAAGACAAACACATTACCACTATGCAACAATGCCCAACCACATACTAATGCTATTTTGTAAATTTCATTGTTACTTCTTTGTCCTGTGATAAGCCCACTCCCGTGACTGTTAAGAAGTATGTGTAAATGCTTTGGCCCCTTTGGTTTATTACAGGGAGACTACTAACCGTTCCAGTGACTTCTCTAGTTCAAAGCAAACATCTTGTGGGACATTCGCAACAAAATCTTTTATGTCAATTTCTGATCGTTCATCGTTCTGAAAAGTAAAATAAACATCAATGGTTTTGCTTTCATGTATTGTTTAGTTTTACCTCCAACATCCTCACTTAAAGATTAGTAAACTTATCTTAAAAATACATTTTGAAATAGATATATTTTGCAGTTCAATGTCCTCACGACAATACATTAGATACCAGTTTTTGGAAGAACTGAAGATACAGACAAATATGTATTTCTTTCTGCTCAACGATACCCTAACATAGTCAGTTTGAAATACATTCAGAGACGATGTATAGCTATATTGTTATACAGTAAAAGGAAATTCTCACAATTAATGTTTCCTCTGTATCAAACTCCAGTTCAAACTCAAGGCCATTGCATTCTCCCTTGATGTCAAAATGTTTCTGAGTGAGATTTTCTTCTGAAAATTAAAATTTGAATTAATTTAAAAGATTAAAATCTTTCATGTAAATCTTTAACTCTTGCTAAAGATTAATTTTAACATATTAAATCTTGCCAGGGATCAACTGGTATTACACCAGGGTTAACAAAAGAAATGTGGGGTGGAATAATATACACCCATCCCATATCAAAGAAATGTTCATAATTTATTGTAATGAAAAGAATACTACTATGAAAATGGGTAATAAGTTAAAATGTCATGAGGGAAAACAGTGTTTTATGTTTTAATAACTTAATGCTTACCAAGTTTAAAAAGATGGTTGGAAAGCTAAAAGAATTAACTGGACAAGATTGTAAAGAACAAAGGGCACAGACATTTTGACAAATTGTTGAATCAAAATGCTTTCACAAGAATAAAATCTCATGGTGTGGTTTTAAAGCCTACCAAGTTTCAAAGAAATTGGTTAAAAAGTGAGGGAGGAGTCTAGCTAAGATAAAAATGTTGAAAAAAATCTTAATAACTCCTCCAAAAAAATGTTAAATCACAATGTCACACAATTTCATTTCATAATTATAAAGTTTATCAAATTGGGTGAAAACTGAGAGAGAATATCCTAACAATATTAACAATATAAAAATAACAAGAGGCCATTACTCTCTTCCTAAATACAGTTGAATCATCTGGAAAACTTCATGTGATGGTGATTATCTCTCTTGGGTTAAACCTGAGGGAGGAAATGTCCAGACAGTTTACAATTGACAGACAAACTGATTGACTATGCCATACCATAATATGTTCTGTCAAATTTTTGACTGGCAAAAATATGATGCTACAGACCTGGTATTACCGATGGGTTACAGTTAAAGACCAATTAACTGAAGTCACATTGGGGTTTAATCGTGATCAACTGATAAAACAAGAATGTTGAAATTATTTATAAAAATTCTTGAACCTCACCATTCTTCAGGGTCTCCTCTTGAAAATCCATAAAACAAACTCCAGTTATCTTTTGCATTCTTAATATCTAAAACAAAGAATTGCAACAATGAAGTTTGAACATGAAACTAGCTTCATAATAAGACAGATAATCTAGACCTGAGTAACATTATCAGAAATTGCCAACTAGTGACAATTTTAGGATATCCATGATCACATAGAAATTATTGCTGTCATATTTCAACAACACAATAATTTGACAAGCAATGAGACTTCTTAATTAACAATGGCAGTAAATTTGAGGTCTATAATGTTTCTGGGTATTACGAATGTCAATGTATCTCAAGTTCAATACATACATACAATTATTTGACAACTTATTTTCACGGATCACCCAATGTTTGTGTCTACATCATCCCTTAACTTCAAGTATATAGAGACTTGATGAATATTACAATACCATGTCTTCTAGATTGTGAATGTTTTGGATGACTTCTGCTGTTGACGATGGTTCATCTTTGTCACTCTCTTCTCTGACAACATTAAAAATATTCAACCATAAAAAAATTATTTGTTTCTCATCTTTTTTTTTTTAATCATTGCAGTTGTTATTAAATGTACCTGCAGGCACGAAACTAGTCTCAATAGGTAAAATTCTGATTTCAATGAACAGATATGAAGAGCGTGTTAAGTACCAGTAATGAATTTTGCATGTTAATGTCTTTATCAATGATTTTGTGTTAATTCTTGACCATGTAAATCTGATTAGGTAAACAACAACCACATTCAGTATAACTTTCTGAATTAGTGCTATTATTAGGCTGTAAGTCATTCAAAATTAAAAAGTCTTTATTAACCTATTTATCCAGCAATATACCAATGTCTGGTTATAAGCCTATCTCTGATCATTTGAATTACAAATGACAGGTATTTCATTGTTTTTACATAATAAGCCCACCCTATGGTCTTGTTATGTATGGCCCTCGTTCACTTATTGCAATCATGCAGTTCAGCATATTCCTACTGGTAATCGATATCATTTATTATGTACCTTAACCAACTTTTCACTTGTTTCAAATGAGCCTTCTTCCTTGTTACATTTCCAGACAGTGTAGCTATATCAAGTTCCAACTGGTTCAGTTCCTGCATCAGCTTTGACGGAATACCCATTTTCTTTGATATAGAGCTTGAAATTGCCTGCATCGATGTCTCCAGTGCTCTGTCAACTTCAACATCAGAAAATCTGAAATCACATTTATTTTGAATTAAAACCCTTCATACATGTAAAGATACTAAATACAGTAATTATGTTTTCTGTGGATAAGAAAGTTTAAATCACCATTATATGTATGTTTAGACAGTAACAAATCTATTACTGAAAGCAGTATTGTTATGTATACCCATATGCGGAATTGTGTCCGACCTCTTAGAATAAATTACAGTAAAACAAATACTGAGTTCATTGAAGACATTCGAAAGATTAGAGGCATATTTCAAAACAGATACGTTTGTTTTGATGGAATTCTTTAACGTAACACGGCAGTTAAAAAACATATCAACATATTCTGTATTTGTATATGCAGATTAGGCGGTGCTCCAGTACTTTGATAAAAATGAAAAAAAAAAAAAAAAAACAGGGTTCCGAAACTGAGTGATGACACATTGATGGGACGTATTTTGAAATCGACTATGGTAGGTTAGGAAGCTATAACAACTACGAGAGAGACGGAGTGGGTTTTAAAATAACACTTCCTGATACAAATGGCACATAAACGATATTTACTCTTTTATGTTGCGTGAAACATCTGCTAAATCATCGGACATCCCATCTTTTTCAGTTCCCGCCATATTGTTTGTATTCCAAAGGGGAAATCATTATTTGATTCATTACAAATGTATCATTTATGTAAAATTATTTCATTTATATATGTTTAATTTACTTTGAACACTTTTTTTTGAGAAATTTTACATATCTAAATTATTGGGCTAACAATTGATATTTCCAAAAGCATCATTTCCTCTGCATTAACGTATTCTCCCTAACTCCCATTACTCTGGGTCCAAGTAATGTTTAATACAATACTGGACATTAATTTAAATTTTCAAGCTTTAAATTTACGCTGATGTGTTTATTTTCCGAGACCTATCATTCCACGTGGGATGTGCTAGTGCTCAAAGAAATACGTTTTTTTTAAGTTTTTGATAATGTTGCAGGCGGTAATTCATGCTAGAATTTTGATCTTATGTAACATGTCAAATATTTTGTGTTGAATCTATCTGAATTTTGTAACGTTTCTACTTGTCAATGTGGAAAACAGTAGCCACGTTGGTATGGAGTCGACAGTGAAAAGACTTTTTGTCGGTGGTCTGTTTAACAATATAACGGATTCAGAACTTCGTGACAGATTTTCTAAATTCGGTAATGTTGATAGCATTGAAATCAAAACGAAGAAAAATAGCAATGGTAAGTTTATACAAGATGAGAATGTTGATCGTGTTCATTTCACCAATAGATGAAGGCACTGTTGTTCCAGCATAACTTCATAGCTCAGAAGAGTTTTTTACCCAGCCTCAAATGAAATGCATAGATGTACATAAGGCACAATTTTACACAAATTATTCTTTATGATAATAACCTTAAAAAAAAGAAAGAAAAAATGGTTAAAAAGGAAGAAAAAATACGATAATTTGTAACTTTCGTAAACATTTGTTATTATTAAAGCCAAAGATTTAAAGATGATGAAGGAATGTACTGATTCTCCATGTTATTCATAGACATAGTATTCCCTTAGCAGTTACAGGCCTAAAAATGCAAGGGAGCTTTCACGTAAATAGCTGAAATTTTGGGTACAGGTCAGGACCAAGGCTGGACTGTGAAATATTTGGCATGTGCAGTTTGAGGAATTCAGCAGTACCTATCCGAAAATAATGCGCCGAATATTATAAGTTTTCAGAATTTCAGCATGAAAAGTATAGTCAATGCACTCACATATTTCCAGAAGCATATAAAGTATGAGTGAAATAGATGGTATCTTAATTTTAGTGAAATGATTTATGCTTGACAGGAAATTCCAAAACTCTGTATTTTCAACTTTACATACAGATATTAGGACCAATATCCAGTACAAGTGTGTTCGTGTATAGTGGAATAATTCCAGATCTTTTGAATCATTTCGACCAGGTTACAGGAATGCAGTCCAAGTGAAATACAACACTCCGGTTTTCTTGATTTCATTTTTCAAATCATATCGGTAGTCTGTCATCCATCCATCCATAACAATTTTTGTTATCACTATTTCTTGAGAAGTTCTGGATGGATCTCTCTCAAATTTCATATGTAGTTTTTCGTTGGTCTATAGCTGTGCTCATTTAATTTTGGAAATGATAAGAAAACTAAATGGCTTTTTGACAGAGAAAGTTTGTTATTACTATTTCTTGATAAGTACTGGGTATATCTTTCTTAAATTTCATATGAAGGTTCCCCTTGACCCCTTACAGTGTCTGTTAGATTTTGAGACATATTAGAAAACAAAATAACTGAGAGAGGGCCATCTTGGATGTTGACATGGATCTTTCTCAAATTTCATTTGTAGGAGCCACCTGGTCCCTAGTTGTGCACTTATGTACTGATTAGGAAAACCAAATGACTGAAAGATGGCTATCTTGGATTTTGAAAGTGAAAGTTTGTTATTGCTGTTTCTTGGGAATTCTTGAGCATTGCTCAATGGATCTCTCTCAGATTTCATACGTATATTGTTCTTTGTCCTTCGTAAGACCCATTTGATTTTGTGACTGATTCAAAAAACGAAAATGACTGACAAACAACCATCCTGGATTTGGCAGTTAAAGATTATTATTGCTATTTCTTAAATTTCATATAAATAAGGACAAAAACAGAGGAAATATGGGGGGGGGGAAGGAAAAGATTAAACCTGTAAAGAACAAATACAGATCAAACAATGCTGACATTACTATCCCTCAGAGATCTTTTGTTCAAGTATCTTATTGATACTTATTGTATCTACCTGGTACAAGCTATATTCTATATAGTATATATATATACCTTCATGACTTTCTGTGCCTCATTAATATCTGGCTCACGACTGTAATTACTAGAAGATTCAGATAAATGCTGTAATATTTATTTTTATTTAGTTGAGTTATTATTTAACACAGTTATGTTATATCATACAATTCATATGTGTTTCTGAGGTTGATTATATATCTGATGTGAAGTTTTTTCAACTCTTTCAGGGCTTCCAGAGAAAACATTTGCCTACCTTGATGTCAACATTACTGATGAAAATTTGAAAAAGTGTAAGATTTCTTACCAGGTTGAATAGAGTATTCCAAAAACTTGGATTTAGTTCAAAGTTCTTTAGGAAGTTTTTTTTTCTTACTATATGGATGCTACTAAATTCACCAATTCATCATGTATAGTCAAAGTTAGTCTTATGCTAATCAATACAATGCTACAGATACATCTCTGTATATTGTGTGTTGTTGACTAGACCTGTAGCTATGAAGACATACCACAGTTACAGGGACTGGTTTGTATGTTATATATTGTGTAATGTTAACTAGACCTGTAACTATGAAGACAGACCACAGTTACAGAGACTGATTTGTATGTTATATATTGTGTAATGTTAACTAGACTTGTAACTATGAAGACATACCAGAGTTACAGGGACTGATTTGTATGTTATATATTGTGTAATGTTAACTAGACTCATAACTATGAAGACATACCAGAGTTACAGAGACTGATTTGTATGTTATAGGTCTCTCAGTATTAAACAAAAGTAGATGGAAGGGAAATGAACTGAAAATACAACATGCAAAAGCAGATTTTATGAAAAGGTTAGTATATATTGAAATTTAGCAGAGATTATTGTGTTAATAGAATGGACAGATCAGCAATGTATGATCTTAAAGACTTGTACTTTGTTTTAGTCTATGATGAGAAGGATTCTGTATTCTTGTGTAGACGTAGTAGTAGACGCTAACTTACTGGACATTTAGGTTCCTAGAGTCAAGACAACTTGATCAAATCCTCCCTAATTCAATATTTATTCCTTCAGATGGTTGTGGAACAATAACAACAGATTATCAGGTCATGAAAATTAGTATAAACAACATAAACAATGGAATATACTAACAGAACAAGACAAGTCAAAACAATTTATACTGAAGGTATGAAAGATGAAGAATAAAAACATGTACTGAACGTTTGTTTTAACAATTGTTCCAGATTGAAGGAAGAGAGGGAGAATAATTTTGAGAAGCCAGCCAAAGTCAAAAACAAGAAAGTGATATTACAGGACCCTCTGGAGGGAGTGGCTGGTGTTGAGAACTTCCACATGAAGGGTGCTGTTCCTGGAACTCAAGTTGATGTAGAAGAAAAGGTCAGTAGTTGTATGGAAGCCATTTCAGTTTAGTTTAAACTGTATTTTATTTTGTGAAATGAGTACAGTACAAAAGCAAATATGCATTTTGGATTCAGAAACAAGTACAATGTACTTATATTAATCTGTCTCCGTATCTAATTACATTAGCAATGGACAGCACTGACAACATAATGTAATTAAGTAGGTGCATAAGTACAGGGAAGGGGAAAAGAAAGGGTGCATGGGTTCAAAGGAGGAAACCGTTGTAGGATGACAAAGCAAGAGTTTAGGACTGCTATAGATCTATATTTGATTGTGGTTCACTCAACAAAGTACAATATACCACGACCAGGTCAGTACTGTAATTGCGATTACTTCGTAGTATACACAAACTCACTAGATACGCTAGAGCTTAATTAAAACGTTTAGAACGGTTAATAAAGTTTTGGACACAGTCAAAAATATTTTCATTGTACTGATCTGGCATATCAGGGTTACCATATAATAAGGTATTAACATTAATGTCGGGGGATATGTTACTGAAGCATTGAATTCTGATATGATGGTAGTTAGGGCACTGGAGGAGGAAGTGTTCAGTAGTTTCGTCGGACTGGTTACATGAACATAGAGAGTTGTTAACAAGATTGCGAGAATATAAGTGTGCGTTTAGTGAGCTACAGTGCATCCTAAGTCGAGCATGGTGAATCTGGCCGTGTCTAGATTTACAGAAGTAATAATAGTTTGGAACAGTTGTTATATCAGCATTTAGGTATCTTTTTAGAGTAGTAGTAGACGGATTACGTTTTATGGCATCGAGGAGTGCATTCCATAGATCAACAGAAGAAGGTAGGAAAGAGTCTTTAAAGAGATTAGTTCGGCATGGAGGTTGGTAAAAAGAATCGGCTCTCCTTGTGTTATAAGAGTGGATGTTAGAGTGACGTTCAGGAAGCATGCTGGTTAGGTAGGGAGGGCACTGACCATGAACAATCTGAACAATCTGATGAAATTTGATAATTTTATGTTTTTTCCTTCTATTAACGAGAGTATCTAAGCCGGATTCTAAATATAAGAGGTCATGACTGGTGAGTTTTGTAGCTCCAGTCATGATTCTAGCTGCCTCAAGCTGGATGTTTTCTAGAAGTTTACTTTGGCCTAATGTTATATTGTCCCAGATAATATCTCCATATTCTAATAAAGGTCTAATATAAGAACAGTACAAAGTTTGAAGAGATTTTCTGTCAATGCTAAATTTGAGTGACCTGAGGAAACTGAGTTTTGTATAGGCTTTACTAGTGATTTGTTGTAAATGTTCAGTCCAATTTGCGTTAGCTGATAGAGTGATACCTAGATGTTTGTGACAAGTGACTTCGGTTAGTGCAGTATTATTCATAAATAAGGAGGGTTGAAGCGGTTTATTAGCTTTTTTACTTACTGTCATTGTTACGGTTTTAGAGGGGTTAAAATTAACAAGCCAAGTGTTAGACCATTCATTGATTATACTAAGGTTATTATTTAACAAGTTAGCGCTCGTTTGCGGTGATGTATCGTCAGCAAACAACTTAATATTGCAATTTATATTACAAACAATGTCGTTAATAAAGATTAAGAAAAGTAACGGACCTAGGATCGATCCTTGGGGGACACCTGCTGAAATATTGGTTAAATGGGATTGTCTACCATTGATTACAACACATTGACAACGATTATGCAAATAATTCGAGAACCAAGTAAAGAGATTTCCAGTTATACCAAAAGATTTTAATTTGGATAGAAGACCTCGGTGCCAGACCCGGTCAAATGCTTTGCTTATGTCACAGAATACCAATCTTATTTCAACACCTTTGTCAAGATTGGAAAAAATGTCATGAGTAATAGTAAAAAGTTGATTAATAGAGGAATCGCCAGATCTAAAGCCGGATTGGTAGGGTGTTAGAAGAGATTTATCTATGAGAAAGTTATAGACATGTTTATAGACACATCTTTCCATCAGCTTGCCAACAATAGACAGCAGAGAAATCGGACGATAGTTACTAATAATTGAGGGGTCTTCTTTTTTGAAAACTGGCGTAACATGGGCCTTTTTCCACTTTTCAGTTTGAATTTTATTCCATCAGTGTTCAGACTTAACCTCACATGTAAACATATTTAATCCACATAATCTGTCACCAGACTGTCAAGAGAACTAATTTCAAAATTAGATAGTGAATAACCTAAATACTTGTAATATTCATATACAATAAAGGGTTACTGACTCACGGCATAATGTACTTAATCACAGAATAATTCTTTTACCAGTAAGTTAAAAGTGCTATTTAATTTGATAGGGATGTCCCTTAGTGATTTTCTTACTACATAATAATGCAACACTGCTTAATAACCATTATAACATGTTTATATACAGTCTCATGAAATCTTTTTTATGTACAAACACTAATTGGTGTTTTACTAAGTTTTCTAAACAACATCTACCTAAGTCATTACTGGTCAGTATTATTAACAATCTGGATTAGATAATTTAATCCATAATATTGGATGCTTTAGAAATTTTTTTTAAAACTTCATTTCTGGTACTGATAAAGATGTGTTAACAAATATAATGATCTTCAAATCTGCTGAGACTTATTAAAATCTTGTGATTTCTCTATTCAAAGGATAGTGTTGTCTAGAATAGCTATACATGAAATATTGCTGCATAAATGTGTTGTTTAAATGTTGTTTGTTTTCTCTTCAGAATTGGGTGGTTGGAAAGTATGGTCGTGTATTACCCATTGTCAACATACGGAAACGTGATAAGAAGAAAATATCCTTTAGAAAAAATTAATGTTCATTCACCAGTCGAGTGATGTGTAGATAGAAATCCTATTTGTATATAATAATTTATCATGTAGGGGTCACAAATATTGATCAGACAAGTGGAACAGGATACTACAAAGGACACAATTGATTTTCAAGTAAAGAAAGGTTTGACTTTTTATTTAATGCTTACTTATTACTTGGTTATATTCTTGAAAGTCTAACACTATGTTATGCCATACTAAAATTGGTTTTGATATTAAAAAACTTTAGAATAGGTTATCAATACAGAAACCGTTGGAGAATACCTTGTTACTGTTGATATCACACCAATCAATCTCTTAGGTCTAGATATCTTTTATTGTTACTCTGTTACCTTGTATTATTGTTCACTTCATTTATTAATCATCTGTAATCCTTAACATAAACACTTCATGAAAGTTGATCCCTCAAAGTTTTGTCACAATTCTAAAAGGATGAAAGATGACATGGAAATGTCTGATACAGGAATCCAAAATCTGACCTGGACAATAGATACTAATGACTCGGAGATGGTCAAACGCAGGAAAGGAGAATTCCCTGCTTGGAAGCAGAAGAAAAGGAAACAGAATTTTGATGTGGACATGAAATCACTGGCTGACTACTATGAATCATTCACCAACACTGAGAGTAAATCTGGAAAGACCGACTTTGAGGTAGTTCCAGAAAGTTTCCAGAAAGCTTCTGGAAAGAGAGCCTACTTTAGTGAGGATAGTGACTCTTGTGACAATGGTGATGAAAGTTTTAAAACCAGCACTCCTTTCCAGAGTACCGTTACTCAATCACAACAAATAGCGGCTCTCAGTACAGGAAAGGACAGTAGTGTAAAGGGAAAAAATAGCAATACAGGGAAATTAAAATCGGAGGACCCAAAATGTACTCCTATAGTGAAAACACTAGGCAAGGACAAAGTGGAAACACACTTTAAAAAATTGGGAAATGTGGATCATTCTGAATCTTCAAGTCCCATAAAAAAAACCAAAACTCAAGAAACTCTTCAGACATCTGTGCTGCCCAATGCCCCTACTACTAGTCTGTCACAGAATACAGTGTCTACAGGCCTGGTGTCTGATAAACATTCATCTAGTACTTCAAAACAGTCAAAAACACAAGCAGAAGAGCGAATTCATAATCAATCTAATTCTACATCTAAAGAATGTTTAAATGATTCTGTAAACAAGGCTTCAAGTAAAACGACAGAACACACCGATGTGTTTCAAGGGAAGAAAACAACAAAAAAGCCTAAACTACAGGCATTTGGGGGAACCAGGCATTTGTATGATAACCTGTCATCTGACGGCCAACAGAAAATGGACTCTGCTTCACTAAGCAAAGTAACCAGCTCTAGTTCATTAAGTAATCCAGACCAACTACACAGCGAGGCTATTTCAGGAGTAAAGAGAACACTTTTTCAAAATTCAATGTTAAAAGATGTACCAGAAAAGGAGATGGAGCTGCAACAGGATTCTGACAACGAGTCGGTATCATCAGCTGATACTGATGTTATTATTGCCTCGGCCAAGAAACAGAGAAGAGGAGGCACTGTTATAGGATATGGATCACTTGAAACACCTGTATCTCTCCAGAATTCCCTCACCAGCAGTATTCACAGTGAGTTTGGAGGGGGGCTTGTGGATGGGGAGGCATCTAGACAAGGCAGTTGGATGGAAGAGCATGGCTATAATTCAGACGACAGTGTAGATTCAAATGATTTTGAAAAAATTGCCAAAAAAATATTAAAAAACTATCAAGGAACAAACAATTTTGCTCAAGATAAAGAAAAGAAAGATAGTGAGACTGAGATACAGGCATTGCAACGCTCTGATCACGAGAGTTCAGAGGAGTCAGATTCAAACGATGATAGTGAGACTGAGAGAAAGGCACTGCAAAGCTCTGATCATGAGAGTTCAAAGGAGTCAGATTCGAACGATGATAGTGGTGATGACAAAAGTAATGATACTACAAGTGATGAAGAGGAAGCAAGCGATAGTAGTGCAGAGGATATAAACAGTAACAATAAGGACAATAAGGGCAATAGTGACAAGGAATGTGATGAAGATGAGAGTAATGATGAGGAAAGTGATGAAGATAAGAGTAATGATGAGGAAAGTGATGAAGATGAGAGCACAAGTAGTGATGATGATGAGGATACGAAGGTGGTAAATGGTGTGGTGGAAAGTACAGATATCAACAAACATGCAAGGACAGAGAAGCATGATGTCAGTAACAAGGCAAAGGAGAACACAGGAAAACAACAACAGCAGGAGATAAACAACAAATCTGCAGAAGATACAATGGAAAAAGATAGAAAGTCAAAAGATAAGGTAGAACAAAAGAGGCTGTCTGTGGAGGCTAACAAGAAAAAGCAGGAGTTACTGAGACAAAAACAGGAAGAATACAACACCCGGAAGTCTATAATCAAACAGGCCCTGTCTACAGTGGTAAGTTATACAGGAGAAATACCTTGTCACTAACAGACCCAGTCTACCATGTCACAAACAGGCCCTATCTACAGTGGTAAGTTATACAGGAGAAATACCACATCACAAACAAGCCCTGTCTACCATGTCACAAACAGGCCCTGTCTACAGTGGTAAGTTATACAGGAGACATGTCATGTCACAAACAGGCCCTGACTACCATGTCACAAACAGGCCCTGTCTACAGTGGTAAGTTATACAGGAGAAATGTCATGTCACTAACAGACCCAGTCTACCATGTCACAAACAGGCCCTATCTACAGTGGTAAGTTATACAGGAGAAATACCACATCACAAACAAGCCCTGTCTACCATGTCACAAACAGGCCCTGTCTACAGTGGTAAGTTATATAGGAGAAATGTCATGTCACAAACAGGCCCTGTCTACCATATCACAAACAGGCCCTGTCTACAGTGGTAAGTTATATAGGAGAAATGTCATGTCACAAACAGGCCCTGTCTACCATATCACAAACAGGCCCTGTCTACAGTGGTAAGTTATACAGGAGAAATGTCATGTCACTAACAGGCCCTGTCTACAGTGGTAAGTTATACAGGAGTAATGTCATGTCACAAACAGGCCCTGTCTACAGTGGTAAGTTATACAGGAGTAATGTCATGTCACAAACAGGCCCTATCTACAGTGGTAAGTTATACAGGAGTAATGTCATGTCACAAACAGGCCCTGTCTACAGTGGTAAGTTATACAGGAGAAATACCACATCACAAACAGGCCCTGTCTACCATGTCACAAACAGGCCCTGTCTACAGTGGTAAGTTATACAGGAGAAATGTCATGTCACTAACAGGCCCTGTCTACAGTGGTAAGTTATACAGGAGTAATGTCATGTCACAAACAGGCCCTGTCTACAGTGGTAAGTTATACAGGAGTAATGTCATGTCACAAACAGGCCCAATCTACAGTGGTAAGTTATACAGGAGAAATACCACATCACAAACAGGCCCTGTCTACCATGTCACAAACAGGCCCTGTCTACAGTGGTGTACAGGAGAAATGTCATGTCACTAACAGGCCCTGTCTACAGTGGTAAGTTATACAGGAGTAATGTCATGTCACAAACAGGCCCTGTCTACAGTGGTAAGTTATACAGGAGTAATGTCATGTCACAAACAGGCCCTGTCTACAGTGGTAAATTATACAGGAGTAATGTCATGTCACAAACAGGCCCTGTCTACCATGTCACAAACAGGCCCTGTCTACCATGTCACAAACAGGCCCTGTCTACAGTGGTAAATGATACAGGAGTAATGTCATGTCACAAACAGGCCCTGTCTACCATGTCACAAACAGGCCCTGTCTACAGTGGTAAGTTATACAGGAGTAATACCATGTCACAAACAGGCCCTGTCTACCATGTCACAAACAGGCCCTGTCTACCATGTCACAAACAGGCCCTGTCTACAGTGGTAAGTTATACAGGAGAAATACCATGTCACTAACAGACCCAGTCTACCATGTCACAAACAGGCCCTGTCTACCATGTCACAAACAGGCCCTGTCTACAGTGGTAAGTTATACAGGAGTAATACCATGTCACAAACAGGCTTTGATTATTGTGTTAAATAAAGCAGGAGAAACACAGTAGCGCAATAATAAACAGATTACCATATATGGTATAAAGTTGTTGGCACAGTGGAATTAATCACCACCGATGTTACCTAACAGATAAACAGTGAGTTTTAATTCTTTGCTTGCTCAAGACATTATTAAGATTAGACATATCCATTAATGTGGTTTGAAGACAGCTGAAGATGTCTCTCCTTTATTTGAATTTACCAGAGCAAAATGATTGAATTTCCTTCATGTATGAAAATTACTGTATAATATATTGGTATTGGTGACATGAGAAGTGTCTTTCGTTTTGAGGTAGTTTTTTTTCTAATCTTTATACAAATGGGAAAATATTTTCAGAAAAAAATTATAGGCTAGTTTTATTTTCCTCAAGTTAAGTAACTCTGTTGCAGGATAACTCTAAAAGGTCCAACAGGATAGTGTTTGACTCGGACAGTGACGACGACACTACAGAGAAGTCTAATACTACTCAACAGTCGGACAAGAAAGCTTGGGACTTACAAGACAGCGACGATGAAGAAGAAAGTGAAGATGAAAGCAGTGAAGAGGAAAGTGCAGAAGAAAGCGATGAAATAATCCAATCTGGGGTAAGATAAAGATATCATTTAAAATCTGATCATCTTAACACAAAAGCCAGTGTAAATTTCGTTCTGTGGTATAGACACTCAAGATGTCATTTCGTCTTTTGGTAATGCGGAATTACCTCCTCTTGTGAGCAGTTATTAGGTTTCATGAGAAAATTACATCATTATCTAACAACGTTTCTCTCACAAACAGTTAATATGACAATCAATATCTGCTCACAAGAACTGATAGCCCTACATTACAAAAAGACAGAATCTTATGTTGTCAGTTATAGAGATCACAGTAAGTTATGAACAATAAAAAGTTTGCTATTGGCATTGGTGAACTGATGATTACTAACTGTGTAAGGGAAAGGCGTCAGGAAAACCATCACATCCTAGTCCAACAAGTGGTCACTTCCTGTCAGGGTCAACATCTTGTCCCTGGGTCACAGAGAAATTCCCCAGGGCTGAGTCTGCCTTATAAACAAAGGTCTTTATAGTGAGTCTAGGAACAGACATCAGTTTGGATAAGCTTCCTTATCATACAGGTGTTTGTATAGAAACAAGATTTCAGTAATTATTTCCACAAATTCTATTTATAAACATTTTTGCCAATTTAGACTACTTTTTTCATTTGAAATGTAATAATGATTATGTTTTCGTACAGGTAGTTGATAAAACTGATAACAAAGAGAAAAAGTCACTGTTTGAGGACTCCTCAAGTGAAGACGATGACATCGATGAGAATGCATTTGAAAATAAACCTCAGTTTGAAGGAGAGGCAGGATCTGAGGTGAGACTTGTGTTTCTTGTATACGAAAGGATGATTTTACATGCTACCTCAGTGGTAGATTTTTGTCTCGTCTTATCTGTGTTGTACCTTTACACAACATTCATATTCTACACAAAAATAGAAATTAAAAATAAAAATGAAATTAGTTTTCATGCAGTTTTGATCCAATTTTGTATGTGAAAAAAAACATGTGATATCTGTATGTTTTAGTGGTTAATTATCTTGGTCATACACTGATGTTTTCAGCCTCACCTCAGTGAGATTTTGGTAAAGAAAATTAGCCCATAATATTCATTTGATCTGATGTACAAGGTGTTAAAACTGTTCTCAGAACTCAATCACGTTAGACTGTTAGAGGTAGGCTTTTTATAGTTACATTGTATTCTCAATTCATTGCTTAAATCTGATGATGAAATTTAATTATGTGTATTTCATAGTTGATGAAGCTGCAAATGAAATTCTCCAGCGACAGTCGATTCAAGCTGGACCAGAGATTTGTAGAGAGTGATGAGGAACAGGGTGATGGAGGTAGTGTGATGACAGATATACTGTATGATAAGATTGTTGTATGTTTGCACAGTTTATCACTATGTGAACAAACAGGATTATAAATGTATAAGATAAGTCATCAGATTTCTGACAATAGACTGGTGAAAATGTCATTATGTTATGCCTACTTTCCTGTGAAATGATAATCTAACCAGAAGAGTTAACTCCATTTTATTGTCATAGAATCACAATTTTGATATTTACAGGTTAATGTGTGGAACCTTCCAGATATGTGTAGATTTATGCCTACTATTAAAGTATATAGGAATTCCACTTTAACATGTGTACAGTATTTGTGTTTTAGACTATGTATACATTAACCTTGAATGGAGTAAGATGTGTGAATTTTGAGAAGGGATTTCCCTATGATATATGTGTGATTGTGTTTATGCCTAATTTTAGAGTAGGGATTTCCCTATGATATATGTGTGATTGTGTTTATGCCTAATTTTAGAGTAGGGATTTCCCTATGATATATGTGTGACTGTGTTTATGCCTATTTTAGAGTAGAGATTTCCCTATGATATATGTGTGATGGTGTTTATGCCTAATTTTAGAGTAGGGATTATCCTATGATATATGTGTGATGGTGTTTATGCCTAATTTTAGAGTAGGGATTATCCTATGATATATGTGTGATGGTGTTTATGCCTAATTTTTTAGTAGGAATTTCCATATGATGTATGTACAGTTCTATTAATTTCTGAAAATTTGAATTATTGAGCTTACTTCAAATATATTGTCAGATTGATGTGTAATGTTTAAAACTATGGACATTTTGTTGATTGTACAGAAGGTAATGTGGAGGAAGTAGAGGATGAAAAGATGAGAAATCTAAAGGTACTACAAGATGTTGTGGGTGTTCAAGTCGCTGTAGTCACTGATAAAAATGACAGGATGAAGAAACTCTTTAAGTAAGTTACCGCTGAGCATGAGATGCTCCTATTTTGTTAGTAATGGCGTGAAGCTCTTAATTCTTTAATATGTATTTGTACTCCATGATGTGAGATAATACTTCTTGGAGAATATTATATTTTGTCTTTCAATGCTATCTTACTAGTTTACTACAAAACCACATATTTACAACTGTTCTTACAGACAGCAGTTTTAACAGTTTTGGGGAGTAAAGTTCAATGAAACCTTATATTATTAAAATAATAATGAAAATTCAAACTTTGAAATAGTAAGGGTTTACAGGGAAAGAACCCTCTACATTATGTATGAAGTTTTGTATCTTGTAAGGTTCTTTCTAAATGATACAGTGGCAATTTAGAAGTCAGCTGGTGTAGCGGGTAGTTAATGGAGGATTTTAACTTAGTGACCTTGTGATATTTCAGGGATATATCAACCTTATAGGAGATGTAGTGGGTACTTATATGGAGGATTTTAACTTAGTGACCTTGTGATATTTCAGGGATCAACCTTATAGGAGGTGTAGTGGGTACTTAATGGTGGATGTTAACTTTGTGACCTTGTGATATTTCAGGGATATATCAACCTTATAGGAGGTGTGGTGGGTACTTAATGGAGGATTTTAACTTTGTGACCTTGTGATATTTCAGGGATATATCAACCTTACAGTATGATCCTAGCAGAGAAGACCACAAGAGCTTTGAGATCCAGCCGTCCGCAGACCAGAAGAAGAGCAAAGATGGGTAAGTGTTCTGTTTTAGATGATGAACATGCTTTCTTAAAATCCTTTCGCCAACATTATTTACGTTTTTGGCTGATTATGGTACTCACCTGAAATATTCAAGGTGGCATGGATTTATTTCATGATAAACAAACACACCTGTAGTTACATTTACTGCTCTAGATGGAGTACTGAAATTCTTGTCAAAGAAAAAATGATCCAATAATAAAATGTGTTCCATTTCAATCTGAGTGCACTGACCTTGTTTTATACAAAATGATATAACCAGTCACTTAGTTTCAGACAGGTACAACGGGCTGTTTCAAACTGACAGATATTCTGCAGTCCAGCCTTTGTTTGGATCTATGTCCCACATTTCTCTTACAGGTTTTGCTAATCCAATCATTTCAATCACTTGAGAGAAAGTGACCAACATTGATATGTTTTGTAATCTGATTTTGGTTTTGATAGAATATTACATATGAAAGGATAGTTGTGCTTTTTGTAAAACACGATGTACTGATAAGCTTACCTCTAGGGACAGATCAAGTGACCTTACGTTTGCAGCATTATCTATTGTCTTTGCATCATCCTGCAGCATTTTCTTTGAAAAAGCTAAAACTATGACATTTTAAAATTAATTAACCTTATGTTGATATTGAATACTACATACAAAATCTGAGAAAAAAAATTTGGTTCATCAATAAAGTCACAGGAGTTAAGACAATCACCTAGTCTATATATGGAGGATGTATATCTAGGTCCATCAATAAAGTCACAGGAGTTAAGACAATCACCTAAAGTCTATACATGGAGGATGTATATCTTGGTCCATCAATAAAGTCACAGGAGTTAAGACAATCACCTAGTCTATATATGGAGGATGTATATCTAGGTCCATCAATAAAGTCACAGGAGTTAAGACAATCACCTGGAGGATGTATAGTCTATACATGGAGGATGTATATGTTGGTCCATCAATAAAGTCACAGGAGTTAAGACAATCACCTAAAGTCTATATATGGAGGATGTATATGTTGGTCCATCAATAAAGTCACAGGAGTTAAGACAATCACCTAGTCTATATATGGAGGATGTATATCTAGGTCCATCAATAAAGACACAGGAGTTAAGACAATCACCTAGTCTATATATGGAGGATGTATATGTTGGTCCATCAATAAAGTCACAGGAGTTAAGACAATCACCTAAAGTCTATATATGGAGGATGTATATGTTGGTCCATCAATAAAGTCACAGGAGTTAAGACAATCACCTAGTCTATATATGGAGGATGTATATCTAGGTCCATCAATAAAGACACAGGAGTTAAGACAATCACCTAGTCTATATATGGAGGATGTATATGTTGGTCCATCAATAAAGTCACAGGAGTTAAGACAATCACCTAAAGTCTATATATGGAGGATGTATATGTTGGTCCATCAATAAAGTCACAGGAGTTAACACAATCACCTAGTCTATATATGGAGGATGTATATGTTGGTCCATCAATAAAGTCACAGGAGTTAACACAATCACCTAAAGTCTATATATGGAGGATGTATATGTTGGTCCATCAATAAAGTCACAGGAGTTAAGACAATCACCTAAAGTCTATATATGGAGGATGTATATGTTGGTCCATCAATAAAGTCACAGGAGTTAAGACAATCACCTAAAGTCTATATATGGAGGATGTATATGTTGGTCCATCAATAAAGTCACAGGAGTTAAGACAATCACCTAAAGTCTATATATGGAGGATGTATATGTTGGTCCATCAATAAAGTCACAGGAGTTAAGACAATCACCTAAAGTCTATATATGGAGGATGTATATGTTGGTCCATCAATAAAGTCACAGGAGTTAAGACAATCACCTAAAGTCTATATATGGAGGATGTATATGTTGGTCCATCAATAAAGTCACAGGAGTTAAGACAATCACCTAGTCTATATATGGAGGATGTATATGTTGGTCCATCAATAAAGTCACAGGAGTTAAGACAATCACCTAGTCTATATATGGAGGATGTATATGTTGGTCCATCAATAAAGTCACAGGAGTTAAGACAATCACCTAGTCTATATATGGAGGATGTATATGTTGGTCCATCAATAAAGTCACAGGAGTTAAGACAATCACCTAGTCTATATATGGAGGATGTATATGTTGGTCCATCAATAAAGTCACAGGAGTTAAGACAATCACCTAGTCTATATATGGAGGATGTATATGTTGGTCCATCAATAAAGTCACAGGAGTTAAGACAATCACCTAGTCTATATATGGAGGATGTATATGTTGGTCCATCAATAAAGTCACAGGAGTTAAGACAATCACCTAGTCTATATATGGAGGATGTATATGTTGGTCCATCAATAAAGTCACAGGAGTTAAGACAATCACCTAGTCTATATATGGAGGATGTATATGTTGGTCCATCAATAAAGTCTAAAGTCTATATACAGGAGTTAAGACAATCACCTATATATAGTCTATATATGGAGGATGTATATGTTGGTCCATCAATAAAGTCACAGGAGTTAAGACAATCACCTAGTCTATATATGGAGGATGTATATGTTGGTCCATCAATAAAGTCACAGGAGTTAAGACAATCACCTAAAGTCTATATATGGAGGATGTATATCTAGGTCCATCAATAAAGTCACAGGAGTTAAGACAATCACCTAAAGTCTATATATGGAGGATGTATATGTTGGTCCATCAATAAAGTCACAGGAGTTAAGACAATCACCTAAAGTCTATATATGGAGGATGGCTTTTTTTACAGATTATTCTATTAGTTGGATGTTTCACTTTTAATAAACTTGTTACTCTCTTATCAGGAAAAAGAATAAGTCAAAGAAACAGAAAGTTGAAGAAGAGGAGGAGGAGGCTGAGCCATTGCCAGAGGTTAGCAGTGAAAAGTTTTATGAAGTCAGTTCTGCCTTAGAAGATGCCTTTAAGAAAGCTGGTGAAACTGAGAGTAAATTGGAGAGTGGAGGATTTTCACTGCTGGCTGCTTTTGGCAGTAAACAGGAAGACAATGATCAAGTGGACGACATGCAAGGTAAAAAAGTCCCTTTGGTTTGCTTCCATTTATCTAAACAAGCCTCTAAATTGTGTCAATCTAAATATAAAAAAATGTTTTAAGTGTTTAACTGGAATATGTGTTCCAGTCACCTAGTATTTTTAGCCCACCATCATCAGATGGTGGGGTATTCAATTCGCCATGCCGTCCATGGTCCGTCGTCCGTCCGTCCGTAAACAATTCTTGTTACCGCTATTTCTGGAAAAGTACTGGATGGATCTTTCTCAAATTTCATATGCAGGTTCCCCTTGGCCCCTTGTTGTGCATTGTGCCTTTTTTGAACTGATTCAAATTCAAGATGGCCGACAGGTGGCCATCATGGATTTTGGAAGTAAAAGTTTGTTACTGCTATTTCTTGGTCCCTAGACCATTGGAAACCTTTTTACTGGATGGACAGGTGGCCATCTTGGATTTTGAATATAAAAGTTTGTTACTGCTATTTCTTGGAAAGTACTGGATGGATCTTTCTCAAACTTCATATGCAGTTTCCCCTTGGTCCCTAGTTGTGCATTGTACCTTTTTAGGACTGATTCGAATTCAAGATGGCCGACAGGTGGCCATCTTGGATTTTGAATATAAAAGTTTGTTACTGCTATTTCTTGGAAAGTACTGGATGGATCTTTCTCAAACTTCATATGCAGTTTCCCCTTGGTCCCTAGTTGTGCATTGTACCTTTTTAGGACTGATTCGAATTCAAGATGGCCGACAGGTGGCCATCTTGGATTTTGAATGTAAAAGTTTGTTACTGCTATTTCTTGGAAAGTACTGGATGGATCTTTCTCAAATTTCATATGCAGGTTCCCCTTGGTCCCTAGTTGTGCATTGTACCTTTTTTGGACTGATCCAAAATCAAGATGGCTGACAGGCAGCCATCTTGGATTTTGAGAGTAAAATCTTGTTACTGCTATATCTGAGGAAGTACTGGATGGATCCTTCTGATATTTCATGGATATTGGTTTCCCTTTGTCCCCAGTTGTGCATTGTACCTTTTTTGGACTGATTTGAAATCAAGGTGGCCCACAGGCAGCCATCTTGGACGTAGACAGTAATACAGCACAAGCATATTGTCCATTGTCCACCTGTAACTGACTGCTATCTAATAATACTTTGGGATCTTTTTCAAATGATATTTGCTAATAGGTGCTTGATAAAAATATCTTGTGCCATCATTGAGTACATTCAATGAAGACCAGTTCATGAACATTTACAACACCTGTAACAAACAAAAAAAAATAAACAAATCTTCAAGAACTGAAAACGGATCCTCAAATGGTGGGCGCCAAGATCCCTCTGGGATCTCTTGTTGGTAATGTGATGCCATTCAGGAGTTGTATTTAAATTTCAGCTGAGTCTACATCTCCAACACAAAAGTGGCAAGGATTCAATTTTCAAAACAGTGATGACGATGACATGAGCGATGATAGTAATGAGGAAAAGGAACTGGAAGGAGAGGAGGATTCAAAGTATGAACTGCTCGAGTAAATTAAAAATGTTGGATCATCTGAAACTTTAGAACATTGAGACTTTTTGACGTGATAATGTGAACAGATGATTTTCTTTGAGTAAATCTATACAATTCTCATTTCAAAAGTTGATTTTTTTTGAGGATAATCCTGTCAACATGAAATACGTGTATATTTTTGTTTGATTAAGTTTAGACTTTATCTGTATTTTATTTTGTAATTTGTCAGAAAAGAAGAGAAAGCTGTTTTTGTTGCAAAAAGCCAAGATTCATTTTTCTTCACAGAAGATGATGAGCGAATTAAAGGTTTGTGTCCTGTGCCTATTAAATCACTGCAAAGATTTGCTGTGTATTTTTCAAATTTCACACGTTTATCAAAACCTGAAAGGAGAAAGTATGGTATGTTTTTTTTTCATAAAATGGACTTCATTTCTCCTCTATTCATTTAATCTTCATGATTTTGCTTATTTTTTGTTCATCCTACTTTCAAGGTTTTTTTTTTTCAAAGTTTCATTCCTCAAAAGGGACTTAAGGATGTACTCTTCGATGTTTTGATCGAAAGTAAGACACAATTCAATATAGAATAAATTCAAACAAAATATCTTAACTGAATTTTGCATGAATTACCACCACAAATCACAGATTTTCATCAATTTTGACTTGGTGGATCACTTTCTGAAATATTTAGAACCCAAGAACAAATAAATCATCTTGTTTCTTGATTTTCAAAAAACTGTCTTTTTGGGTGAAATTTGCAAAAAATAATGCACATTGGCCCCCTCTTTTTAATTATAAGTATCATCAAAATTTCTCTTTCCAAATATGAAATATTTTAGGATTTAATACTAGAAGATAATCAAATAATAAAATTAGGTCCTTTTGGAACATTTTTATTTTTTGGTTGCTCTGCAGTTTACAGCTGGTTAAAGCAAACGAAAACTTAGTATTTTTTTTAATTGTTTTTTCTTAATATCAAAGTATCATACATACCTTTATGTTGTAATGAAAAACAAAAATATTTTGTTAGAAAGGCTATCTCGAAAATAACGGGAAATGTCTGTTTTTAAGGGAGAAAAATAAGAAAGATATGTGAAAATGAATCATTTCCTGTTATAGATGCTCTGATGCCTTTCCTCCAAAAAGGTAGTGCAGCAACATATTGATTTTTTGCTTTTAATCTAAGATCAGACTTTTTATAAAAAAAAAACATCAGAAAAAAATGTTTAGTACTGAAATTTTTATACTTCTTGTAGGCATACATCCTTGAAGTAATTGAAAGTATTTTTCTTTAATGTATTTATCAAAATTAAAAGTATCATACCACGTAATTGTTTCAAGATAGATCTTCAGTGTTGAATACTTTGTTTGCTAGAGGGAGTTTCCAGCTTTTGTAGACAGGAAGACTTAGAGAAAATCCGAGAGCGTTGGCAGGAAAAGCGACCTGATCTCATGAAGGTCAGTACATCATCTTGATCTAACCATTTATTTACATAATCATTATCTATCTGCTATCAATGTCTTCGCATAGTGCTTCCATTAAAATAGTCTTACCAAATTTAGTTTCTTATTTTCTTTTTCATAATGCAGATCATGCATGATGATAATTGCTTTCCCAAGTCTTGTCTCCAAGTAACTGTTGATGATTTGGTATTGCCCTACTTTTCACCAAATTTACTATTTTGAAAAACTTTTATTTTTCTGCCTTTATTTTGCTTCATTATCTTGATAAATCCCTATGTAACTGGTATGTTACACATCCTTTGTTTGGTTGTATATATTGTTCTCATACTTTACAGAATCTCTGATTGGTTGTATACATTGTTCTCATACTTTACAGAACCTCGGATTGGTTGTATACATTGTTCTCATACTTTACAGAATCTCTGATTGGCTGTATACATTGTTCTCATACTTTACAGAATCTCTGATTGGTTGTATACATTCCTGTCTCATACTTTACAGAATCTCTGATTGGTTGTATACATTCCTGTCTCATACTTTACAGAACCTCTGATTGGTTGTATACATTGTTCTCATACTTTACAGAATCTCTGATTGGTTGTATTCATTGTTCTCATACTTTATAGAATCTTTGATTGGTTGTATACATTGTTCTCATACTTTACAGAACCTCTGATTGATTGTATTCATTGTTCTATACTTTACAGAATCTCTGATTGGTTGTATACATTCCTGTCTCATACTTTACAGAATCTCTGATTGGTTGTATTCATTGTTCTCATACTTTACAGAATCTCTGATTGGTTGTATACATTCCTGTCTCATACTTTACAGAATCTCTGATTGGTTGTATACATTGTTCTCATACTTTACAGAATCTCTGATTGGTTGTATACATTGTTCCCATACTTTACAGAATCTCTGATTGGTTGTATACATTGTTCTCATACTTTACAGAATCTCTGATTGGTTGTATACATTCCTGTCTCATACTTTACAGAATCTCTGATTGGTTGTATTCATTGTTCTCATACTTTACAGAATCTCTGATTGGTTGTATACATTCCTGTCTCATACTTTACAGAATCTCTGATTGGTTGTATTCATTGTTCCCATACTTTACAGAATCTCTGATTGGTTGTATACATTACTGTCTCATACTTTACAGAATCTCTGATTGGTTGTATTCATTGTTCATTGTTCTCATACTTTACAGAATCTCTGATTGGTTGTATACATTCCTGTCTCATACTTTACAGAATCTCTGATTGGTTGTATACATTGTTCCCATACTTTACAGAACCTCTGATTGGTTGTATACATTGTTCTCATACTTTACAGAATCTCTGATTGGTTGTATTCATTGTTCTCATACTTTACAGAATCTCTGATTGGTTGTATTTGTTGTTCCCATACTTTACAGAATCTCTGATTGGTTGTATACATTGTTCTCATACTTTACAGAATCTCTGATTGGTTGTATACATTGTTCTCATACTTTACAGAATCTCTTATTGGTTGTATACATTGTTCTCATACTTTACAGAATCTCTGATTGGTTGTATACATTGTTCTCATACTTTACAGAATCTCTGATTGGTTGTATACATTGTTCTCATACTTTACAGAATCTCTGATTGGTTGTATTCATTGTTCTCATACTTTACAGAATCTCTGATTGGTTGTATACATTACTGTCTCATACTTTACAGAATCTCTGATTGGTTGTATACATTCCTGTCTGATACTTTACAGAATCTCTGATTGGTTGTATACATTGTTCTCATACTTTACAGAAACTCTGATTGGTTGTATTCATTGTTCTCATACTTTACAGAATCTCTGATTGGTTGTATTCATTGTTCTCATACTTTACAAAATCTCTGATTGGTTGTATACATTGTTCTCATACTTTACAGAATCTCTGATTGGCTGTATACATTGTTCTCATACTTTACATAATCTCTGATTGGTTGTATACATTACTGTCTCATACTATACAGAATCTCTATGATGTTATTTCTGTTTCTCTTTGATTGTCTGTCTTGTGCTTTTTGATATATAGATTTTTTCACTGAATATTTCAAATTATGCTTTTGTGTGACAGATATTTTATTTTCTGTTATATTAATCCACAAAGAGGGTTTGTACTAGTTTAGATATCACAAGTTTATATAACCATACGTAATTTATAATGCTGGTATACCGTTTATGATACTTTGATTTGTTTTTGACAGGCATACCACAATAAATACAAGAGAGCTATCAGAAACAAGCGGGCATTAGAGAAGAAAAGGACCTTTACAAAACGGTAGTCAAGGACGTCTTTTCTCTATCAAAATTACGCAAAAGAAGACTAGATGTAAAAGGAGGATGAGTTTTTGTAGAATTGTTTCTGAAATTGTAAAAGAAATGTCGCTTATTGGATTGGACTTTGTGATTCTGCTACAGACGCTGCTATACCGATAAAACATGTTTATAAATTAAACTATGACATTTAAACTAGAGAAATAAATCAATTTATATTTAAACAATTGTTTTCTATTGTCATTTATTATGGTGAAACAACAAAGCATATAACCAACTCCTTTCCAACATCTGTGGAGACAGACCCACTACCAAAGGTCTTACTTATCTAAGTTTTTTTGTTGATTCTGGCTTGATACAAGAGCTGCTGAAACTGCATAAGGTTTTTGTAACATTCAGGTATACCTATTGCCCTTTTTCCTGGATGGCCAGGTGATGCAGTGGTAACACACTTGCCTTTCACCTAGCCCTTTGGGGTTCGGTTCTCGAAATGGATGTGAAAAGGTATGGGGTCACCTGCCGGACCACATGGGTTTTCCCTGGGTACTCCAGTTTCCTCCCACAGTAAGACCCCCTGCAGGCTTCCATCCGAGCCAACAAGATTGATTGATAAAAGTTGGAAAGACTTGCTTTACAATTGTTGCAAAATAAATAAAGTTTATTAGTATTTCCTAAAATACAGAAACACATTGTTCCTTACTTGCCTTTACAATCACGTAACCTTTACAAGTGCTTATGATAGTGTAGTTACCTTGAACAACAAAGAAAATACAGACATGTAAACAGAATCTTATTTCAAAAACAAATTTAATGTTACCATGGCAGAATAAGAACAAAAGAAAGATTAGCACGGAATTTCCTGATAAAATACAAGAATAATGAGTTTCTGCAGTTTCTGATATTTACACGCTTTCTATCTATATGAACGTAATGTGTAATACTAACAAGTCCTGAAAGTGCTCTTCATGACCAGGTGATGCCGAAAGGGAGTAGATTTCGGTGATAACTGTTTGTCCCGTGTGTTATTTAGTGGTAATTACTAAGGTACTAACATCAGTGTCTACCATATATTACAAGTGACAAGGCTTTCACTTGAGACGTCCTCCCGGTACTAGTTATACTGTAAAAGGAGCGGGTCGGTGTGGCTTGTACATAGTGTTAAATACGGTCTCTGTCACTTAGCTGACGGAGCATGCTTCTTTGGCTCAGTTGGTAGAGCACTGGCTTATCACGACCCGGGTTCGATTCCTGGTCGGGGCACTCGACAGGAATGTGTATTCTTACTTCAAGGAAGTGACGTCATGGTTTGATCTGTTACGTCACAAAACTTAAGTTCTACAGTTTGTTTTCATGTATAGGTCATAATAATTTTTTCTTTATTTGTTTGCTAAAAGTAGCTTTCTGTTGCGTCATTTTTTTCTTTTCATTTTCAATGAAAACAATAACCAGGGGCGGATTTGGAGGGGGGCGTGGGGGGCGCACGCCCCCTAAAATTGGCAGAGTAAGGGTGAGTTACGAAGTATACTGGATGGTCTTGGTCGTATGTTATGACTATCACTGTTCTAAACAGCTATAGATGACTTAAGTTGGGCTAATTTTCAAGTATACAGTAACTTTATTATAGTTGATCACATAACGACAGAAAGAGTTATCGCGATTATAGGAACTCTTTCGAAAATGAAGGCCATATTAGAGCAAAATGTGTCATTGTTGGCATATTATGAAACTGTAACGACGGTACAGTAGTCTCGAATATGTTTCAAAAGAAAATTGAATGTTTTTTTAAAAGGCGAGAGTAAGTATTTATGCCAAATAATTTCTTTAACTGTCACATGAACTGTAGACAAGCAGGCCTGCCCCTCGCCTGTAAGTTAATTATAACGCCCCCCTAACTTAAATTCCTGTATCCGCCCCTGATAACGATGATGATTGGACAAGTTAATGGCACCTCGTAGTGGGTCTGTTCGAACTTCTGTTTTGTATGAATGGAATATCTGTTTACACATACACCGGTGTGTGGATCGCGGTCATTCATTGATGTAAACAAAAAGTAGACCACAACATCATACAATTTTCTAACAAAGTACACAAACAATAAACAACGTATATATAACAGATTTATCGGGGGACCAGGTCCCTGGGTGGGGGGGGGGGGAAACCAGGTCCCTAGGGGGACAGATGATGTTTTTTTATTTCCCTATTGTTATTATACTTCTACACATTTCTAAGTGATGGGCCCACTCATGAATGAATTGTGAATGACTGAAAATGGCGCGAATTAGCCGTCAATGACGTCAAGCCAGCTATTATGCGTAGTAATTTGTTATAAATAATCCTTCATTCTATATCTATGTGTTATTTTTGTTTTTGAAACCTGCGCCTAAGAAACCTTTTGAAAACTGATCACAAATCAATTAAAAGATGTTTTGATGGTTTTAATAAGTGTACATTTGCCACCATCCAAAGACTGTATGTGAAATTTCCTTTACCGAGTCTCGTGCAATATAAAGGCACCGGGAATGCAGCAAGGATCACGTCGCCCGAGAATCGACGTACGTCGATTGGGACACTCGCCGGGCGTTGTCATGGATACGTAAAACCCACCAACCAAAACCACGCAGCAAGGACGTTCTCCTATGTCATCCATTACACCCGATAGGGACATGTAAGCCGGTTTTATTTTGTTTAAAGTCAGTTCATGAAGCCAGTTCAACAGAATCAGTAGACCAATCACATCTAAAATGGTTGGTTGATATAGTTGTGTTCGTTATCCGCCATCTTTTCTTGATATGTCCAGTTCCAGTGAGTTTGTTTACTAACACTGTTGGCACTAGGTGGGGGCATGTCGGCGTTATATTCACTAAACTGACGTTGTACAGAGAGATGAGGAAGGGCAGGTAATTCTCTATCGTCACAGATACTGGGCATGCGCGTTAAACGGCTGTTTCTGTTTTGAACTGTTGCTCTCGGAGGAATTTCTTCGTAAATCTCATTATATGTCTTTTCTTGCTGGTGTCGTTTTCTGCATAAAAAGTTTGAATTAAGAAATGTATTAGATAAATTTATACCGTACTATACGTCATTCCAAATTGTACCAATGATGCACAACAAAAACAAATCAGTTACATTCAACCAATGAAGATACCGTTGAACCTCATTATCTCGAAGTCGGAAGGACCATGGGAAAACTTCGAGTTATCAGAGTATTTCATGTTAGTTAGGTTGAATGTTTAGAGTGAAATTTGACTGTACGGATGAAATACTTTGAATTAAATAGGGTTCTCGAGTTCGAGATAACAAGGTTTTACTCATACAATGGTTGGTACAAAGACTTGTATGCTCTCTGGTCCTATAACAGTATAATAATGGTTTTTTTTTTTAAATCGTCCATGCAGCACAAAAATACATGATTCATAAGATCGGAAAATACCTTATGCAGTGACGTATATAACACACGTGATATATACGTCTCTGCCTTATGGAAATAAAAATAAATAGAAAAAAGAGCGAGAAAAATACTGACCTTCGTAACATGATATAGAGTATTGTGATGATGGTGGAATAGACTGCCAAAACTGACGTTACGGTTGTCACAGCAATAGTGCCCAGACCTGAAATTTATAAGTTTGACGGCAAATTTGGCAGTGGACATTATTTTGTCTACAGTAAGCATGCATTAAGATTAAAGTATATCACAGTAAACGCTCTAAATATAGGATGTAAGAGTTTTAATGAAATCAAAGCTTTAGTTCAAAACCATATATGGTCCAAACTTGAGGAGAATGTTAAGTTCAGTGTTGTTTTAAATTCAGTAAATTTGTGGGACCACATTCCGTTGTATTGACTCATATGTACATGGTACTACCTCGCATACTATTGTCAGCACTTTTTAGCATTAATTTATTAGCATAAGTAATGGACCCAGACTTGTAGCCTCTATGTCTAGTCTCAATACATAGTATAATGTAAATAACTCCTCTGTACAATGACTTAACATAAGTTACTGTAAAGGGTTATTTTTCAAGTGGTCATCTAGCCTTATTTCAAATTGTATAAGAGATTCAGCATTGACAATATTTGGGGTAATTTATTCCATAAATCAACAACTCAATAGCTGAAGAAATGCTTCCTTCCATCAAGACGACATCGCTTCTTAAATATTTTTTATCGTGACCTCTGGTCCGATTCATATTGTCCATATGGAAAAGGTTTCTTGTTACCCTACTCTCATATTTATCTAAATATTTTGAAAACGTTTATCATATCTCCTCTGGTCCTGCGGTGTTGTAGTTGTATTGATATCAAATCAAACGTGTTTCCAAACTTTATAGTTTGACAAAGCTCATGCTACAATACATTACCTGAGAGTGACGGTATTGGCTCAGCGTCCACGACCTCGACCTGTGACGAATGATTTCCGGTTTGAATTCCTTCGTCATTGACCGTAGTGATTAAAGTTCGACTGGTTGTCATGGCGACGGTACTAGTTGTTTTGGCATCTTCACAAATTAAAGACATGGATGCGGCTTTTCCGTCTATAATTTATGGACCATCGAAATCATATTTAGGTTTAATGTTAGTTTTTTTTTGTTAAATTAAATGCAATATTAAATATCCAGCGAAAAATACAAATAGCAAAGGAAAAGTACACAGTGAAACTTTTGCCGGAGGTTAACATTCGTTTATTTACTCTGCATTGAGAAAAATTGTAAACCACCTGAATAGACTAGGCTTTATTCACTACACAAAATTTCCATTTATTTTTATACCGTATTGGGTTTAAAAGTTAGTTAATAATTAAATATATCTTATGTTTCTTGACTAACCTATATCTAGGCGATAACAATACGAGGTATCAAATGGTTCCTGTACACGTTTTAGGGAGATGGTGAGAGTGTTTCCTGCAGCTAGTCCAGGAAAAGTGGTGGCGCCACGACAGGAAATGATTCGTGCTTCCCCTCGAGGGAGGTACCGTTGTATGTGGATTTCTGAACCACACCCCACATAGCCTGGAGTAGAGACGGGGCTAACGGACAATTTGTTGCCCTGGTACACGAGAATTGTACAGTCACACTCGTCCACTGGGATGGACCTTGCTGGGTAGAAATCGAGTAGGATACTGGAGCCAGTCAGACTCCTCGTCTTACAAATCTCCATTGCTGTTTAATATAGATAGACATTTATACATGTAACAGTCACGATTCCTCTAAACAGGAAACAAATATAACACACGGAAGGAACCACATCATCGATATCCACCATTAAAATTGTGACAAAACAAATTAATTAACAATGAACAATAAAGTATCCTATTACACCGACAATGACACTGAGAAACTTAAACAAATATCAATTAGATTGTAAGGCAATGTATTTAGATAACCAAAGATACAAAAGGTCTCTCGACAACCATTTCCTCATTCTTTTATTGTGCGTTTTCTACAAAAATGTATCTTGATAGATTCATTTTGAAGCCATTAGAACTTTTCTATTTAGTTTTGTTTTAGTTCTTAAATGAAAATTTTAAAAGAAATAGATGTATTCAGGTTACATGTGAAGATATATCCGAGTCAAGAAAATACCACATAATCATAATCCAAACTCAAGTTGAAAAAAAACAGGACAAAATATGAATAAAACAAAGAATTACGCAGAGGTCTAAACAAAACAGGGTCGCGGTGAGCAGTGATTAGCAGTATAATAAAACACGTTTTAAAAGAAGCGGGAAACAGCAGACGACGTCGATGAATCGTGAAGAAGAAATATGCAAGGTTTATATTACTAAAATCGCTGATGACGCTTGGAAGACTTGCTGAATAGGAAGACGACGCAGAAAAGTCCAAGATTCGGTAGAGTTGCGTAGGCTGGTCAGAATTCAGCAAAACTGTGGTGAAAGTGATATACTTACATTGTATATACTTACTATCGGGTCCTCCCTTGGGACACCCTATACCTGGAAGAGAAATCTTGTGTTAGTGATGAGGACGCCATATAGTTAATCAACAAGGGGTCATTTCATCATGGTACTTTTAATCTTTACTGAAATCAATACCAGATATAATAGCATTGGGTACAAGATTGTACAGAAAATATCCAAGTAATTCTTAACGTTCAATACAGATGTAGAATTTTATACAAATAATTAAACTGCATCATATAGCTCTTTCGTCCTCCTAGGACTCGTCGGTGATGCCAAGGGTCTAAACAATAAAAGGAGCCGACTCAAAAAGATCCAGACTGATCGGAAAATGTCAAAAACAAGGTGACGAGATCACGACCAGATTTCAACAGCAATTGCGAATCAACACACTTAAAACATATAGCAGTGAAAACACTGAAAGCAATCAAAAGATTGAAGATCAACAAATCAACCGGCCTAGATCTCCAAAAATACATATTCGAGACTGTGGAACAGCTTAAAGCACCACTCCAAATTAGATTTAACAGGTCGATCCAGAAACAGAACTTACCAAAGGATTGGAAAAGTGCCAATGTCACACCAGTATCTTAAAAAGGCAGATAAAATAAAGCGAGCAGTTATCAATCGCTTGGCTTTAGCTCAATCACAAGAGAAATCTCCAGAGAATTGTCTGTGATGAACATCTGAACAACCTCTGGTCAGCATGGTTTTAGAAGAGGATAATCATGCAATACTAAATTGTTAGAAGCAATAGAGGATTGGACCGTTGCCATGGGCAATGGTAAACAAGCTGACATTATTTATCCTGCAGCTGGCAGTATCAATTCAACAGAATTGCTATCTGAATTTTTTCTTAAAAATTACGTTTAGAATTATAAATAGTTTTTGAAATAAGCGATATCACATGTTGTGGTGGACATGTTAAGTTATGAAGATTCATGAAATCGCTGCTATATCCGATGAAGTTTGGAACTATGTTACTAAGCGGAGCCACAAGCTTGCCACTTTGTCTTTCTTCATCCTTGCCAAAATACAGCTGATATTTTAAGACACTGGCCATGTACTCTCTATATACATTGACTTTAGGAAGGCTTTCGACAAAGTACCACACAGAAGACTCATCCACAAAGTGGACAACGAAAGGATGAAAGGTAACGTGCTGGATTGGATTCGAGACTTCGTCAATAAACTAGAAGAAAGAGCAGTAATCATTGGAACATACTCCAGCACCAAAATAAATATACGTGGAGTACAACAAGGAAGCGTTCTAGGACCAGTGCCTCATCTACATCAATGATATACCTCAACTTATTGATAGCAACTTTATAATGTTTGCCGATGACGCCTAACAATAAAAGTCACCACCTTCAGGTAATATCGGACAATCCTTCCAAACTGACCTGAACAGTGTATGTCAGCGGACAGAAACATGACTAATGGATCTGAATGTACATAAATGTAAACACCTCAAGGACCATAAAAATGACGCTGCTTTCACCACGAAAAGGTAAAACGGCTTAAGTTGAAAATACTGACAAGGAAATAGATAAAAGTATAACAGTAGAAAAAAAACAACATAAAATTAGTGTCCATATACAACCAACTGTCATCAGAGCCATTCGGAATCTTGGTTTCCCATTTTAAAACTTTTACATTAATCAATCAGGAAATGTTTCTGACCCTATATAAAAAGTTCGCCCCTATTTAGAATCGGCAATTTCGGTGTGTCCTCAGATAATTAGAGAAGACCAGGTATCTATAGAGGACATTCAGAGAATAGCCACTTGGATAGTACCAAGCTTGAGGGATCTACCATATCCAATAAGATTAAAGAAACTAGAACTACCATCATTACAGTATAGAAGGATAGGGTCCAATATGCTACAAATCTACAAAACCCTGAATAATGTAGACCTATCCCATAGTCTGTTGCGATTTTTGTGTGTAAGACCATGTCAATAACTCATGTATACTTCAATCCATGTTTTCCTGTTAGCTAATATGTAATAGTACTTTATCAGTTAATTAACATGGCCAGTATAAATACGACCACCTTTCTAGCCAGTATGTATCGGTTCCTGCAGGCATGTGAGTGTTCGATCTCTCCGTAGCCTACTTCGCAATAAACCTTCAACACCCGGACAGCGTTTGGACTTCATCATCTCCACTCATCACCTCACGAAACAAAGTATCATTTTAATAGTTTAGTGAAATACTTCTAATTAACTATCAAAACATATTGTAACTGTATATATATGTATGTGAGTGTTGGTGTGTACGTGTGTAAATCTATGTAATTTATTGCTGTTTATATAGTTGTCTTTGTAAATCTTCATATTTGGAGGAAATAAAGGTAATAATAATGGCGCCAACCTCAATGAACTATGAACTCGGTGTCTACAACCTGCAATATCGAAGATTGCACTAAAGACACACATGTGAATAACACATTTTTATCCAAATTTAGAATGATATATATATATATAGAGCGCCAAATGAACTCCTAAACATCATTCACGTGTTTCGTCCTTCACTCGTCAGTGATATTAAGGGCATGTTTTATAAGGACATTATTAAGCTGTATCTTGTTGATAATTCGTCACGTGAATTATTGGGGAAATCATTCCACTACAACTCTTATACAGAAGAACTTATCAAAATATCAGTCCAGGACAAGTTCCTCAAGATAACAACATCCAAGTGATAGTAATTCTATTATGTAAATATTCACAGGTTTCACATTTATCAAGGAAATGGAAATCCTAAAAACGATGCCATAATAATGACAATTAAAACAAAACAGCAAATACCAACCTGGCTAAAATATAAACAATATTTACACAGATAGCACTGAAAAAGCAAAAGGAGGTTAAGACCAGGTGTTCAAAAAGGGTAGGCATCACGTAATGTTTGATCGAAGTATAGAGCAGCGGAACCACCAAGCAAACAAACGATCACCAAACAAGCCCAATTTCATATCATACAAACAAATAAAACATTTTCATTGAGATCATTATATCAACAATAATTCCAATAATTTTCATCAACCTCCATCTCTCTGTCCATTGTTTCCGTCAAATCTGTTATAATCCCTCATCGTGTAAGCTTGGTTTTAATCCGTTAACTGAACATATAAAACGCTGAAAAAAGGGTTCTACATTCTTGATTTTCTTCCCAATACCAATGATGATAACATGTAACAAACGGTACACCTTATAGAGATGAGAAAACTGTACTATACACAATGTATCAATTTTGCATTCTCCTTCGATTCTCAAATAGAAAACCTAGTATTTTATTATTATGAAAGGTTACATTGTTAACACGCGTTTAAAAATACTCGACGTAGAGTTAGCTAATCGGCTGAATTTAAAGGGAACCACCCTTCTATATTTCAAACATTCCTTCTAGATTTAGAAACTTAACTGGTTTTACAAGGACAAGATACGGACAATATTCTACCTTATCCATAATTTCTAATCAGCTTAATTGGTATTTGTTAAGAAATTCGCACTTGCCTGTAGCTGACTGGACAAGAACCAGTACAAATGTCACTCCTAAAACAATGTCAATGATGGCTCTCTGAAACATAGTTTGTACACCCGAATCGTTACAGTTCGTAGATATCCCCATCCTGACACGGAACACTACAGAACATGATATATCGGAGCGCATCCGGCTACATCATGAATCCTAATACGGTTACACCTACAAAGGTATTGATTTTTATCACCATCATCCATCACAGCTAATCATTGTCATGGAGACGATTCTCATTTGGCGTTGATTTCTGAAAGGCGATACTTTTCTACTATAAGCTATAAACACTCAGGTATATTAATGCATTTGTTAGTTGCTATGGAAATAAGATATATAAGGTCGGAGTGATCCTGACGATATGATATGATCTCAATCATTGTCCAGCTTCTATGTTAACCCGACATATATTTCTCGTTGATTTCGATTTTAAAACGAAAATTCCCTGTTAATTCTGATGTTTGAAGTGGAAGTACAACAAAGTAGTTCGTATACCTATAACAATGTTTACGGTTGACAATTTGATATCAAACTGTCAAGGGAACAAACTGAAGATTGACATATCGTTATGATAAACTACAACTAGGGGTAAATACACTGAAGGCAACAAAGAACATACTTAATTCGAACTCGGAGTTGGTGAAATGACAATGGTTAGGGTTTGAAGGCATGGATGTCACTATCTAGAAATACAACATTCACAATAGGCAAATCTTAAAAATCACACTAAATGTGGGAAACTGTCTCTGTTGGTTGTGTACTCGGAAAACAGCACCGGAAACGTTAAAAAATATGTCCAATCATTGATTTCAGTTTCTTTTTATTAAATAACAGACGAGAAATCATCTACAAAACTGAAATTGTGAAAATTGACAAGGTTATTGTGGCCTATCTGGTCAGCCCTTCGACAAATTCAGCCCCCTTAGAAAATAAGACAAGTCAGACAAGACAGGAGAACAATTTGTGTTCCCATAGATCCTACCACCAAAGTCGACGAAGGATTCTTGTAAACTTGCAGTTCAATCATTTTCAGGAGATCAGCCTTGGCTGTAGACGTACTTTTCAAGGAGCAGTGTGTTCATTGAAAACAATGTCACTTCTCGAGTAAACAGCATCGCCCTTAGCCTGTAGCATTTATTGAGTATAGTTGCAGTCAGGAACTCTGATAAGATGTTAAGATGGAGTGATTTTGAAGTATAGGAATCCAAGACGAGTTGGGCCCTTCGAAAGTATCAAATTAAAAATTGTCCTGATTTTTCGAAGTTATCAGACCTCCAGACTGGCAGATACTGCCAGATACTTGTGAAAATATAAACAAGTCAGATAAGCGCCAAACGTCTTACTGGATTCTCTTCCGTATAATGATAAGTTTGAAAAAATTTCCTCGCGTATTTATGTTATCGCCTTTTTACGCTGTCATATAGTCTCTCTTTCAACTTACAACGAGTGTAAATGTTGGGAGGACGGAAATGCATTTTACTTAAAGAAGAAAGTAGAGGGTCGCCAACACCAGAATCACAATCACGAACAACCAGTAAGAAGAGGAATTGATACAACCGTCACTTTGACGAGTCTCTCAATCCCAATTCTGAACTAAAGCAAGCACATCCATTATCCAATTCCAGAAGAAAGAAAAACGTGGTTACCTCTTCAAGAGCTGGTGTGATATTTTATTTTACAAGAATGGAAACAGGTGCCCCCAGTAAAATCGTCCTAAGCAGGTAAGCTATGTTTGACGAGCTGTAATAACAGTGAAGGTCACTTTGTGCATCATTATGGAATGTACATGGATGTTCCACATAGGAAGCGTGTATCCCACACAGGACAGGGGCGAAAGAAAATACTCATGTGTTAATCGTTTAATCTCAGTCAGGTAAATCTGTTATTGGGTATTTTTCACTGACGAAATTAATTAAGAACAACCAATATGTAGATTAAAACAATCAATATAATGCAGCATTTTTCGAAGTCTTTCCTATTTGCTGTAAAGCCATGCGCAATGGACTGTTATCAACTTCAGCCCGGCATTGACTGAGTCTGTGATTGGTAATAAACCTGGAAAACGTCTGTTAATATCAAGCGGTTACATTACTTTTTTCCAAATAATAAACTACAATAGTTTACAAAAACGGTTTGGGTGGAGAAACACTTAAAACAAACCTATGATAAAGATTTAAGAGTGTGTCTTCAATTTTCTACACACATTAAAAAAGGTCCCGATACCGATTCATGAGTCTCCGTGTAAATGTTTCTTTAGTTTCTATTTTGCCCTAGTTTTATGGAACATGAGGTATAATTATGTCGACATGTTGGTATTTGATTTTTCCCCACCGCCGTAAGTTATTATCAGTGTCGTCGAGCTTAATCGTCTATTGTTTGATATTTTTATGTTAATGTTTCTCTAAAACGAATTTACAAATCTCTTTTTACTGATCATTATTGATTCATGAATAACCATATGTATATCTTATCATATTGTAACGGGAATGTATTATTCGAGAGTTGTGTCCCTTTATGCAGACAATGTATTTCTGTATTTTATACCTAGTGTTCAGTAAACTATTTCTTTATGATTGTGTTTTATGTGTCAGGAATGTGTGACATATCGTCGGCTGGCTGACAAAACCTCGTAAGTCCATTTTTGTGGAAAACAGCTTTTTCACATAGCGCCAATTTACAAATTAAAATGCACCTCCTGACAAAATATTGTAATGCAGCACCAATGAAATTTTGAGATATAACCATGTGTTCAAAAATTGTACTTGCATTGGTCCAAATGAAAGTCGTGACAAGATCTCGTATGTCACATCTCCATTGAATTAACGTGTGATGAGAAGGTCTAACTTGTTCATCGGAGCCGAGGACCATTTGACGATATTCTGTGAGTAATTTTTTGCATTTGACTGCATTAATGAGCTGTATAGTAAACAAGAAATATTTCAATTTATTTATTTTTCTTTTTTTAAAACGAGACGTATAACTTTAGTAAGTTTATTTTCACATACGATATTTTAGACCTCTTTCTTGGGGTGTATGTCACATACGATAATTTGATGCATTTTACTTCTGTCTTTAAAACTGCATTTTTACTGCCTAGTTTCTAAACAGCGATTGGGTTCTTTTACTCCATATATCCACTTAAGACAATTTGGATCTATCACCACCCTCAGTTTTCCCATATTTTTTTGTGATTTGATGGACATACGACATTTTGAAAGTGTTTCCACTTCGCTTTCTATTTAGCAAAGTTTGGACATACTATATTTTGTCTTCCAATAGAAGCTCATTTTTAAGAAATAATACAAGTATTTTTATCTCAGAATTACACGGCATTTTATAGCATACAGACTATTAGACTAAATTACGAACAAGAAATTATAGGCATTGTCCTGAATTGACTGGAAAAAGCTTGAAAACTTACTACAGGTACTTTCAATATAGTCATGACTGTAATGAATCCTAATATAAAATTTCTTCTTACATAACAAACGTAACTTTGTGTTTGTATTGAAGGGGACATTGATATTGCTTGTCTATTTTATGACGTAACACTCGTAGCGTCTGGTTGGGACACTTGAGTGATGCTGTGCTTATTATATTGTAGGTAGTAATGTCAACATCTTCTTGTGAAGACTTTGAAAGAATATGGACATGTTGCCAATGTGATAGGGTTGCAAAAAATCCTTTTCATTTAGAAGATCAACAGTTAACTGGACAGTATGTTTTTACTGATACTGATGGAAAAATTTGGTTATGGTGTCTCTGTTGTCACCGATATTTCCATTATGAGTGCGTAGAAAACTTACCTGACAATTTAACAGAAGGTGACTTCGTAGAGGACTATTTATGTGCAGACTGTGGCTGGGGCATGTGATCCTTTAAGTATGAGTAACGTTTGGAAACGAAACGGCGCCGATATAAAAACTTTGATTAACTTCAAACACTATGAGCACTCGCAGTTGGAGTTACTGAGGGAACGTGAAAATGGAACATTTGCAAAGACAAACAACACCCAATACAATTTTATGCAATATTTTTATTACAGTATGTTTCCGTCCTCGACACCTAGATATTTAGTTATATCAAGAAAGGGCAATTCATATGAGCAAATTGAATTTAAGTTCCATCCAAACTGTAAAAACGGTTGCTAATGCTGTGGCTTTTTGAAACATCAAAAATATGCTTTCACGGGGTATGTTAATGGTTCGTCTTGCAAGACAGAATGCGGACAAATCAAACTCAAGTAACACCAATGAATACAACACCCACACAAGTTCTGGAGATGGCGTACATTGTACAGTGCAGGGTAGTACAATTACAGCTACAATTGCAAAAGAAATGCCTGATATTGCTTCCTGTGAGGCACTTCATTGTAGTATCCAGGGAGGTGCAATTACAGTTACCAGTGTAAAAGAAATTCCTGGTATTGCTTCTTGTGAGACACTTACAGAAACGGATTCATTTCAAAATAGTGAAGTAAGTAACAGTATTCCGAAAAACTCTGGAGATGACGTCCTTTCTAGCATCCAGCGTGGTACAATTACAGCTACCAATGTAAATGAGATTCCAGATATTGCTCCTAGTGATGCAGATATTCCAGATATTACTTGCTATGAGACCCTTCTGGAAACAGATAATGAATTTTCTGGTTCTAGTTTAAACGTCAAATCTCCAAATAGCAAAAGGCAAAATCTACAAGAAAATACTTTGGATGAAACAGAACATGATTTTTCAGAAGCTGATGACAGTTTTGATGATCCAGATTACGTACCAGAGAGTGATGCTGATGATCCTGTAGATGAAGATATGAAGGTAGATCATGAGGAAGTTGTCGATGAGAAACCAGTCAAAAGGAAGAAATGTAATAGTAATGAATGGGTAAAAAACAAAAACAAAATGCTGAGAATGTCAGGAAAACAGTATTCTGGACTGACAAAAAAAGACGGCAAATATCAGTTTTCGGCTCAAAGACCAGGTCGCATATTGGCCCCAAAAGGTTGTTCCAAAAAATGCCAAAACTCAAAAGTTAAAATGTGTGCAGAATTTAGTGAAGATGACAGGCTTGTTATTTTTAATAAATTTTGGAATAACCTTGACTGGAATCAACGAAAAGTGTATGTCAACTCGCTGGTGTCTAAATCTGAAACAAGTAGAAAAAGAACAGCAGCAGCCGAAAGTAGGAAAAGCCATAGCTTTGTTTATAGATTGTGGAAAGGCCAGGAAAAAGTTGTGGTATGTAAAAGTATGTTTTTAACAACTTTGGCTGTAGGAGAACAAACTGTTTATGGTTGGGTCAATATGTCGAGCACAGGTATTCCAATCAATCCACCTCCATCTAAGAAAGGAGACACGAGGAGAAAAAGAGACGCAGAGTTAAGGACGAGTGTTGTTGACTTTTTGAAAACACTTCCGAAACTAGAGTCTCATTACTGCAGGTCCTCAAGCTCTAAGCAATACTTGGAACCTCTTTTTACTACACTGACGGAGTTGCATCATGAATACAAACGATATTGTGATGAAAATAGCTTGAAAGCAGCGTGTCTTAAGTTGTTTAAATCCGAGTTTGATGACCAAAATCTGAGTCTTTTTTCTCCAAAAAAAGACCAGTGTGATCTGTGCTGTGGGTTTGAAACTGGCAATATTAAAGAGGAAGTGTTTCAGAAACACTTGTCAAGGAAACAAGCTGCAAGAGACGAAAAGAACAGAGACAAGGAAAAGTCGATATCTGACAATACCTACAGAGTTGTAACTATGGATCTTCAGTGCGTTCTTCTTTCACCAAGACTTCAGGCCAGCGCTCTTTATTATAAGACCAAGCTTGCATGCCATAATTTCACACTCTATGACTTAGCAACGAAAGATGTTACTTGCTACTTTTGGCACGAAGGTGAGGGTGATCTGACTGGAAATTCGTTTGCTTCTTGTATTGTCCACTTTATTGAAGACATGCTAGCTCAATCTGATAAAGAGATTAAAACAGTTGTACTTTACAGCGATGGTTGCACATACCAGAACCGGAACACGGTGTTAGCAAACGCATTGTCCAAATTAGCAAAAGAAAGGGGTTTAACTATCTTACAAAAATATTTGGAGAAAGGACATACCCAAATGGAGGTAGACAGCGTACACAGCACCATTGAAAGCAAACTGAAGAGAAAGCCAATTTATGTGCCACAGAATTACGTAGATATAATCAAATCTGTCCGTCCGTCTCAACCTTACCATGTTCACTACGTCGATCACACATTTTTCAAGAACTTTTCGCACATAAACTTGTATTCAAGTATCAGGCCAGGTACTAAAGTAGGTGATCCTGTTGTGACTGACATTCGTGTTTTGGAATATTCTCCCCATTGTGGTATTAGGTATAAGCTGATGTATGATCAGGAGTTTTGTGACTTTCCTAGAAAGGCCAAACTTAATGAACAAGCTACACCTGAAATGACAGTTGCACCACTTCACGCTACACAATGTAAGGTGAAAGAATCAAAGTACAAACACCTTCAAGAACTAAAAAATGTGATTCCACGGGATTTTCATCCGTTTTATGACGTACTACGCCATACATGAACCTGTTCAGTCTTGAAAATTATTTCTATCGTTTTCATATCGGATTATGTTATACTTAAACTGTTTAGATCTAAGAATCATTGAATCATTGAAACGCTTAGCAAAAAGTAAAAGGTGTTTAAAAGTAACATTTACAGAAAATACTTAATGTGATTATTATGTGAATCTATTGCTATACAGTTAAAGCTGAATTGTGTATTTTTTGTTGTTGATAAAAACAGACAGCCAGTCTAACAAATTATCTGTGTTGATTCCCGAATGTATATCTAATCTTGTATTAGGTGATCATCATTTTATAAGGACTGTGGTTTTTGCTTACATTTTTTATCCTTTTTTGAACTTTTATGCCGAAAAGCATGAATAATGTTTATACTTTTTTTTAAATTTTAATGCTGAAAACATGAATGATGTTTATACGCTATACGTTTTACTTTTGAAATAATTATTTATTTTTTTCTAGTCATACGAGAGGTTTAATTATTTCATTGATACTGTTGTTGAATTGCTTTGGTTTTGTTCATGTTAATTAAACTCTGTTTTATTGATTTATGAACGACTTTCGTTATTTTTATGGTTTTTTGTTAGATTTTAAAGTCGTAAATCAAAGCATACATTTTATGCAAAAATGTTGTATGTCCAAAATTGGCATAAATTTTCAGAACCAAAATATTGTATGTCCACTTCTTCATCAGGCGCATATTGATTTAACAACATGACCTTGGTATCTTAAATAAAGGTCGGTAAAAATAACCTTGGAACAACTTTAAGTAAGAAACACAGTTGCATTTGGTTTATAGAATGTTTTTTCTTCCCCCTGTAAAAAACAAATTTTGGACTTACGAGGTTTTGTCAGCCAGCCGACGATATGTAGTTTGAGAGTATTTGTGTATTTTATAAGCGCTGTGAGTAATAGTATTTGGGTTGAAAGTATTGTGAAAATGATTTTATACTAATTTAAATGTACCATCATTGTTTTGAATGTGTGATAGTATATATGTGAAACTATACGGAAGCCTGTATTTCTCCATGTTGTATATAAATTGTTACTCCCTAGCTATTTGTGTTTTTGGTTTGGTGTTGGTTGATACTCTGTGTTGCCAAAAGTTGTATTGAGTAAATAGAAGGAGTATCTCCAGTGATGTGTATGTCTGTTATTGAATGTATCGATGCTTGAAAGACCAACTCCAGCTTGGGTTGCTCTTGGTTGGTTTATAGGCACGACAAAACGAACCGTTATAACGTGTTACTGAACGTAATTGTAACTCTTCTTGTTTCAGACTAAATTTTCTCTTACTTGGGCTGCAAATAACAGCCGCCATGAAACCTCAGTCAATTACTTTCAACAACATTAATAGATGCACTTCTGAGCCCAAGTGTAGATGTTTTGTCGTGAATGAGGACGTTCGCAGCGGCGACCTTGCCCACCTGGGTGCAGACTGCTCTAGAAAAGGTCTTTCAAATGTACCTGTTTTCTCCCCGGATGTTACGTGGATAAGTCTCTCCGATAACAACCTTAGTGCATTCCCGAACGCATCAGACATCGGAAACAACGTTAAATTTCTCGATTTATCTCATAACAAATTAAGATCATTTAGAAAGGATACATTACAGAGATTAACAGATTTGATCACTTTGAATATTAGTAATAACCAGTTATCTTATAATACATCAATTTTCAAACCTGGAATATTTGAATCTTTGTCAAAATTGCAATTTTTGAATCTGAAACATAATGTCCACGAAGAGAACACTGAGTATCCACAATGTATCCGAGAACTTACATCACTGGAAACTCTCCATCTTGATGGAATAGACGGTGCCGACTTCCCGATGTCAAATCTAACAACCCTGGACTTCACAAGCCTCCAAGGAGGGTGTAAGATTAGATCTCTAGCCCAAACTATGTTTGTGGGAGTACCAATGATACAGTATCTGGACTTAGCCTTTTGTAATCTCACTCGTATAGAGAAAGGTGCCCTGGGTGTACTTAATCGGCTGAAGTATCTCAACGTGTCACACAACGTCTACCTGTCATTTTCCGTTTTATCGAACCTCACATTTAACTTACAGTGTACAGACATTCGTACTATAGATGCATCCAAGATACATTGTACATACGGAGTTGGGACTAACGTAGTAACAGACGATTTAAAATACCTGAAAAACACGACATTAGAGAATTTATACTTCGACAGTAATAGACTTAACTTGATACAGCTTGGTGTGGTGGATTGCCTTCCTCCAACATTACGGTATATATCGGGCCGGGACAATATGTATACTTTGGGAACGTACCTTTTTCAGTTGGCAGATTTAAACAATGTTCGTAAATTGGACATATCCTATTCCTTCACTACGCATGCGCCTTCTATCACCACCAATCGTTTTCTTAGTTGTAATGATTGGAGGGGCCCCGTGAAAGACGAAAGCGAGGTCATGCCATCCAATGACATGATGAAGAAGTTGACGTTGGAGCGCCTGGGTAGTAAAGAAAAGGGAATGATATTTATTTTCAATTTGCCGCGAAATCTTGAGATAGCCTCATTTGCCAACTGTTATTATCGTTATATTATTGTCTCACTACATTTTAGTAAGAACAGATTGACTCACATTTTCGCCCAAAATAATTTGTTTACTGAATGGAGAGGTCCAATATTCAATTTGACCAAACTTGAATATGTCGATTTATCAAATAACTTTTGTTCATATGTGTCAAAGGAATTCTTTCAATACGCTCCTTCACTTAAAACACTGATTATTAATACAAACCTTCTGGGTTTTATGATGAATCAGGATACATACGGCGAAACATTCAAAAACAATATATTGCTAACTAAATTGGATATGTCTATGAACAGAATAGATATGCTGTCACACAAAATATTTCACACACTGGTCAACATGAAATATTTAAATCTTAGTTTCAACTTGATGACGTCATTGGAGATAGACATAAGTCACATGAGGAACCTTACGAATTTCGATCTATCTCACAACCAGTTGTCCGAACTGACCAATCAGAACAGGCAACACATTGACGCAATTACCAAGACGGGAAACCTGATGGTAGATTTGAGTAACAACAGATTTGTGTGTTCCTGTCAGACTCTTCCATTTCTTCACTGGATTAACTTGAATCAAAAAATATTTAGAGGATTTCAAACATACCGCTGTAGTCTTGATAATAAAACCAGTGTCTTGTTCTCAGAGCTGGATTCAGTACTTCAACAGCTTGAGAAAGACTGTACTAGTTACATAGGTTTGATTGCTGGGCTCCTCTCCGCTATTGTGTTCTGTATAGCGATCGTGGTGCTTGGTCTGGTTTACAGGTATAGATGGAAACTCCGTTATTTATACTATATCACAAAAAATAAATACAGAGGATACGCCACGATCAGAGACGACCATAATCATGAGTACCGATATGACGCATTCATTTCGTATGCGGCAGAGGAGTCCGAATTTATCAAGAAGGATTTGATTAAAAACCTTGAGGAAAATCGTCCATTTCGACTATGTATTCATGAACGAGATTTTACACCTGGTATGGACATAGCTGCTAACATTACAGACGCCATACATTCCAGTCGGAAGACGGTCGTGATTATGAGTGAAAACTTTGTCGAGTCATATTGGTGCATGTATGAATTAAACATGGCGCGGATGGAGAGCATTTACTCACGAGAGGGGGCCTCTGTTTTGTTTCTGGTCATGTTCAGCCATGTGCCCATCGACGCCATTCCTTTACAGGTGATTGATGTCATCCGGTCCAAGACTTACATCGAGTATCCAAATGACCCCCAGGGAAACGTGGTATTCTGGGACAGAGTAGTAGAAGCCATATCTAAATAAGACTTGGACAACATATACTTGTCAGAAAATTCCGTTTGAACACGAGACTCATTTAGGTCAAGGTTTCTATAAATTAAAAATTACGTGGAGGAAATACTGTCAAATCATTAATTTTCATGGACTATTAATTTTAGCCTTAACCTACCAATTTATGTGTCCACGAACTCTTAAAATAAGTGTAAGTTGACTTAGTGAGCTATATCAATCAAAGCATGCAAATGAAAACGAAATAGTTTTTTTAGTAAATTATTTTACAGTGGCAGTTTCTAAAAACAAAATCATTTACGAAATCAATCTAAATTGGATTTTATGAGCCAACTCCGTCGTCGTATTGATGTCAGAAAGTTTGTATATAAACTTTCGACGACAACAATTATGTAAAGATTCATATTGCCGTGAAAGTTGTAAACAGTTATGAGCTTAAATAATACATGTTATGTACTTTTCCGTTGTCTATTTTTGACGTCCTCACGGTAACTACTTTTGTGTTGCTTTTCAATCGTTCAATGTTTCCTTCGATCGCCTTGTTGTTTGCGACGCTTCCTCTGCTTTTGTGTTGTTGTTTTTTCAATATGTCCTCCGCTTGTCCTGTTGTCTATTTTGATGGCGTCATGGTTCCTCTACTTTTGTGTTGGTTTTTTTTCAATATATCCTCCGCTTGTCCTGTTGTGATTTTTGTGGCGTCACGATCTCTCTACTTTTGTGTTGGTTTTATTTCAATATATCCTCCGCTTGTCCTGTTGTGATCTTTGTGGCGTCACGATCTCTCTACTTTTGTGTTGGTTTTATTTCAATATATCCTCCGCTTGTCCTGTTGTGATCTTTGTGGCGTCACGATCTCTCTACTTTTGTGTTGGTTTTATTTCAATATATCCTCCGCTTGTCCTGTTGTGATTTTTTAGGCGTCAAGATTCCTCTACTTTTTTGTTGGTTTTACTTCAATATGTCCTCCGCTCGTCCTGTTGTGATTTTTGTGGCGTCACGATTCCTCTATTTTTGTGTTGGTTTTACTTCAATGTGTCCTGTTGTCTATTTTGACAGCGTCATGGTTCCTCTACTTTATTGTTGGTTTTTTTTTTCAATATGTCCTCTGCTCGTCCTGTTGTGATTTTTGTGGCGTCACGATTCCTCTACTTTTGTGTTGGTGTCTCTTCAATGTGTCCTGTTGTCTATTCATAGCGACATCGAGGTCTCTCTACATTGTTGATTTCTCCTCAGTACCGACTCTGCACGTGCTGTTACTTCCGCAAAACACATCCCGTTTAATATGTTGTCTCTCCAGACCTTATTAAATATATAGCACATTAACATGTTCATCATGTTTTACGACATGTTGTATCGTGTCTATTTCATGATATGTGATGTGATTATCATGATTTGAAATACATTTCTTATAACACCCTCTTAACCACCCTATAACTTTTTAAGAATTTGTCAAAATTTGTCTTAACATTTTATGTCGATCGTTGTTCAAATCTGAAAACAGTCTGTGTACCTGTAATTTGCTGTCTGTATATGGTAAAACTGTTGCCTGGATCATGTATCATAATTATGTATATATCTTCGTGTTTTATGTCACCTGTGATTTTAAGAAAATAAATGAGTGAATAAATAAAAATCTGTTTTATTTGGAATCAGAATCTGACATATTACGGTTTCCTCTTTCTGTTTCGCAGAATCATTTCCCAACAACGAGGAAGTTCAATACGATCATGTACAATAGGATAATTAAATGTGTTGAGGCGAAATGGGAGGGAAACATAGTGAAAGTCGGGAAATCTAAACCATGGGTGTCATGTATTACTGGGTGTGACTTTACAGTATTACGTGGATACGGTAATTGAGTTAACGATTTTTTCCTGACATCTGAACTAGTGCTGTCGATAAAAACATTATGTTATTATCGCAGTGTAGCAACTAAACAAAACATTTACAGATCGAATAAATAAATGTGAATTTTGATGCTGTTAGATGTACATTTGTCTCCTCGCTGATAGGCCTTGTTCGAATCAAAACTTAAGGCAATACTACCAATACCTTAATAACTCAAGGACTGAACATAAACCTGTAATTTCTTACACAAATAAAAATGCAATTACTTACTTCTTAGATATTAAAGAGTTAGAGTTTTATCTTCAAATTTATTAAAAAATATCTAGATGGATACTTTCAAATTCGATCAAAAAATGTAAATATCTTCTCAATCCCTATTCTGTATGATGTATGACGCTATGTAAATATCTTCTCCATCCCTATTCTGTATGATGTATGACTCTATGTAAATATCTTCTCCATCCCTATTCTGTATGATGTATGACATTGTAAATATCTTCTCAATCCCTATTCTGTATGATGTATGTAACTATGTAAACATCTTCTCCATCCCTATTCTGTATGATGTATGACTCTATGTAAATATCTTCTCCATCCCTATTCTGTATGATGTATGAATCTATGTAAATATCTTCTCCATCCCTATTCTGTATGATGTATAACTCTATGTAAATATCTTCTCCATCCCTATTCTGTATGATGTATGACTCTATGTAAATATCTTCTCCATCCCTATTCTGTATGATGTATGACTCTATGTAAATATCTTCTCCATCCCTATTCTGTATGATGTATGATTCTGTGTAAATATCTTCTCCATCCCTATTCTGTATGATGTATGACTCTATGTAAATATCTTCTCCATCCCCATTCTGTATGATGTATGATTCTGTGTAAATATCTTCTCCATCCTTATTCTGTATGATGTATGAATCTATGTAAATATCTTCTCCATCCCTATTCTGTATGATGTATGAATCTATGTAAATATCTTCTCCATCCCTATTCTGTATGATTTACCGCATTTCCGTTCTCTCTGTTGAGTTGATTATTTGTTTTGTTTTGTTGTTGGTTCTTCTTCTCCGCCTTCTTCTCTTTCTTCTTCTTCTTCTTCTTCTTCTTCTTCTTCTTCTTCTTCTTCTTCTTCTTCTTCTTCTTCTTCTTCTTTCTTTCTTCTCTTTCTTTCTTCTTCTTCTTTCTTTCTCCTCCTTCTTCTTTCTTTCTCCTCCTTCTTCTTCTCCTCCTCCTCTTCTTCTTCTTCTTCTTCTTCTTCTTCTTCTTCTTCTCTTCTTCTTCTTCTTCTTCTTCTTCTTCTTCTTCTTCTTCTTCTTCTTCTTCTTCTTCTTCTTCTTCTTCTTCTTCTTCTTCTTCTTCTTCTTCTTCTTCTTCTTCTTCTTCTTCTTCTTCTTCTTCTTCTTCTTCTTCTTCTTCTTCTTCTCTTTCTTCTTATCCTCCTCCTCCTCCTCCTCCTCTTCTTCTTCTCCTCCTCTCTTCTCCTCCTCTTCTTCTTCTTCTTCTTCTTCTTCTTCTTCTTCTCCTTCTCCCTCTTCTTCTTCTTCTTCTTCTTCTTCTTCTTCTTCTTCTTCTTCTTCTTCTTCTTCTTCTTCTTCTCCTCCTTCTTCTTCTTCTTCTCCTCCTTCTTCTTCTTCTTCTTCTTCTTCTTCTTCTTCTCTTCTTCTTCTTCTTCTTCGTCTTCTGCCTCTTCTTCTTCTTCTTCTTCTCTCTCCTCTTCTTCTTCTTCTTTCTTCTTCTCCTTCTTCTTCTTCTCCTCTTTCTTCTTCTTCTTCTTCTTCTTCTTCTTCTTCTTCTTCTTCTTCTTCTTCTTCTTCTTCTTCTTCTCTTCTCCTCTCCTCCTCTTCTTTCTTCTTCTTCTTCTTCTTCTTCTCCTCATCCTCCTCCTTCTTCTTCTCCTCCTCCTTCTTCTTCTTCTTTCTTTCTTTCTTTCTTTCTTCTTCTTTCTTTCTCCTCCTTCTTCTTCTTCTCCTCCTCCTCCTCCTCCTCCTCCTCCTTCTTCTTCTTCTTCATTCTCCTTCTCCTCTTCTTCTTCTGGCGGACTTCTACTTCCGTTCTTTTTCTGTTCTCCAGTTTTCTATCTACCTTATATGTCTATATTTTTGTTGGTTGCAAAAACAAAGTGAACAACACAATATCTTGAAAACAGAAATAGATTTTAAAAAAATATCGATAACCTGATATTGTTAATAACTAGATTTTTTTGTTATCTTAACTGTTTATATAGTACAATATATCCCATCAAACTTTGGCTATAATAAACCTGTTATTTTATATTTACGAAATACAAGTAATTGCCTAAGGCAAAGTTACGTTTCCCATATGTATATTATACGTGTCGACCGTTGTGTTTTGTATCCTGCCTGAGGCCAGAGACAAGGTGATGTCTTACTTCTGTCTCAGCCTTGGGAACATCCATCACGTCCAAAACGACGTTTGTCCCATGTAGCTGTCAAAATACCAACAATGGCGGCCACTGTCAAACTTGTGATACAACCTAACAAGACTGGATTAACACAGCCCTTGTAATATCTGATGGTCATCTGTTATCCCAGCTTCAGAATCTACAGGTAAGTGTTTAACTTGTACATTTATTACTGTAGCCAAGGATATGTACTTTAGTCTGTAGGACGACAATTACGATATCTTTCATACAAATTTTGACATTGGCGCAAAGACAGAAAGGGCGTGAGTCACAAAAACAGACAAAATGAAAATGATGATTGTTTCGATTGTTGTCGCTGACACTAACAAATATATTACATACATCAATGAAAATGATATGAAAACTTCTAGTTCCTCTTGACTCGTAACCGTATCTAACGTTCCTGACCGAGGACATACAACTGTCCTTAAGACTAAAGTGTCAGGCCAATTTCATACCATGTTCTACCACTGTCCTTGTGACTAAAGTGTCATGTCACTATCATACCTTGTTCTACCACTGTCCTTGTAACTTAAGTGTCAGGTCACTATCATACCTTGTTCTACCACTGTCCTTGTGACTAAAGTGACAGGTCACTATCATACCTTGTTCTACCACTGTCCTTGTGACTAAAGTGACAGGTCACTATCATACCTTGTTCTACCACTGTCCTTGTGACTAAAGTGTCAGGTCACTATCATACCTTGTCAGGTCACTATCATACCTTGTT